TTCATTATATTGATTACATGACAACAACAACAAATATATTTATAATATATATGAACAAAGAAGAAAGGAAGGGAAAAGGGAAGAAAAAGAAATTTAGAAGAATAAGAAAGAGAGATGATAGGATAATACTACTGACCTTAAAATCTGTTACTATTTTTAATGTAGGTTTGGACTATATGGAAGATATTTTCATTGTCTTCATCTGACAAATTTGGAGAACCGTACATAATAACATTTAGAGAAATATTACAATAACGTGAGATATCATCAATCAAAATTTGTCTTTGTCTGATATACAGCATACAATCAAAAAAGTAATGGACTGCATTTTCACACTCATTTCCACATGCACACATTGGATCACCTACAATATTAACTCTATACAAATCATAATTTAAACTACTACATGAATGACGCAATCGTGTATGTAAAATATTTAGTTTTCGATTTCCTACATGAAAAAAAAAAGGCAACAAGTAACCTTGGTTACGCTTAATCGATGATTTAAAAATGTTAACGGATGGCTGCTCTCTGACAGTATTTGGTAAATCGTTCCATAGTCTTATAGAAGAAGGAATAAAGGATTGGAATGAACTAGACAGACGGAAATTGGGAACAGTGTAGTTTTCAGTATTTCTCAAGTTGTAGCTATTGCGTTCGCATACTTTAGGAGGAAGAATGTTAGTTAAATAAGAAGGTGTTTGTTTATTATGGAGTTTGTACATTAGGGAAAGTTTCTTAAGTTTTCTTCTTTCAGATAGAGGTTCAAGTTGGGATTCTTGATAAAGTGATTGTTTACTAGAAAAAGAGGGTAGGCCAGTAATAATTCTTGCTGCTTCAAGCTGAACTTGTTCAAGTTTAGTTAGATCTGCCAGAGAACAACCGTCCCAAACTTCACAGGCATATTCCAACACAGGCAACACAAATACTTTATATATTCTTAACAAAGTTTTCCTACTCAACAGTAATTTAAACTTTCGTAGTACTGATACCTTTTTCATGCATGTTTTTTGAATTTCGGAAATATGTAAAGACCATTTTGCATCTGCACTAAATATTACGCCTAAATGTTTATGACTTTCAACACAATTCAGAGTCTCAGTACCAAAACAAATCTGTAAAGGAAGTATATTTCGCGAATTAGATATAAATAACACATCAGTTTTCTGTTGATTAAATTTAGTAAGCCAGTCCCGTGACCATTTGTCAAGTTTTTCCAAATCTCTGTTTACACACATTTCAATATCAGCATGAGAAGACGAAGAATACATCAAAGAGGTATCATCAGCAAATAAGCGTGAAATACAATTTAAATTATCAACAATATCATTAATATAAACCAAAAATAACAGAGGACCTAACACACTTCCTTGTGGTACACCAGCATTTGTGTAACCTATATTAGAATACACACCTTTAACAAGAACCTGTTGTTGTCTGTTTGAAATGTAATTTTTAAACCAATGTAGTAAACCATCTCTAATACCATAAGCATGTAATTTATGTAAAAGACCCCTATGCCAAACTCGGTCAAAAGCCTTCGATATATCACAAAAAATTAGACAAGTATGTTTTTTTTCTTCTAATGAACAACATATCTTATGGTAAATTTCTATTAGCTGATGGACAGTGGAATGATGAATCGTAAAACCAGATTGTTTTTCGTAAAATAAAGAATGATCAAGCGGTAATTTGACACCAAGTGTCTATCCCCCTTTTTGAACAGAGGTAAAATAATACCCTGTTTCCATATTTCAGGGAATATTTTAGAATTTAGTGACATATTAAAAAGAATTGACAATGGCTTACACATAGAATTATCATTAAGATTATCTATAATATCACCAACACTATTATAAAACATTTCTCTTGCATATTTTTTCATATTATTAACCTTATTTCTTTGTCTTTAAAATTTATCTAAGTTGGATATGGACTTAACACGTTTAACGGCGTTATGTAACCGGTCTCGTAACTGAAAAGCTTTTCTTAATTGGGAATTCATCCACAATTTATCACGAGGTCTTATATAAACTGTTTTTTTAGGTATACATTTTTTAGCAAGTTTCAAAAATTGTTCAGTAAATTCAACACATGCTACATTAACAGAAATAAAGTTTTGAAAAAATGTAGGCCACTCAAAAGTATCTATTAAAAAATTTTAACCTATTAAAATCAGCATGTCTATAGGCCCAAATTTCTCGAGTGTAGGTATACGTACAAGAGAGATTAACAAGTATAGACAAAAATGCAATACATGCATCATGATCACTTATATTACGATCAATCGGAATTACATACGAATCAGTACATTTGGTAGGGTCAGTTAATAAAATAGGATCAAGTAAACTATTTCTGGTTGTTCCACGCCTAGTCGGCTCATTAATAACGTTAGTTAAGTCCATTTCCAACATGACTTGGTGTAAAATATGATTACGTGATAACGTTAGCATATCTACATTTATATCACCAACAATAATAACATTCGAAGTAATTTCTAAAGCTTTTTCAATCGAATACTTAAAATTCTCCCAAAAAGGGTGACGTGAATTTTCTGGTCTATAAACGGTACATATTAATACACTATTGTGACCTAATTCTACCTGTATCCAAATTATTTCTCCATCCAGAAATTCGAGATCATTCCTCCGGACACATTTTAAGGAAACAGAATAATATACTAAGATACCACCACCGGAGAAATTTCTGTCTTTTCTAAATGGTTCCACAAAACCCGGTAGAACTAGTTCAGAAGTAGGTACATACTCATCCAAATGTGTTTCAGTCATACATAAAATATTGAATTCATTTGTAATATTTTCAATATATTCTAATTTATTCCTTATACTTCTAACATTCAAATGAAAAAGAGATAATTTATTTACTGATGGACCTGGATTAGTTTCTACATCCATGTCCAATATAAGTAATAACAACAAAATATGGCAAAAAAATATGTTTTGAAACTGTGACTGTAAGCACATCAACATGAAAGATGCTACGCTTGCTTTAACACTAGATATAAAAAGAGTTTTGTAAAATATGTGATCACATTCGATATATAATCAGTATTTATGTGTATTACACTACGTATTTTTTTTAAAACATGATCCTCCATAAGCTATATTATAGAAGCAACCGATTGAAATCCTGTGCGATATTGCTGACATATCACCGATTAACCATTATCAAAAACAACATATTGCACAGGATTCCCCCCGGGAGCGTCTAAAGAAAACATATACATGTAACACCTGTCAAAGAAAAGAACTTCTTTGTATGTACGCATGAATGACTGCACGTGCCAAGTAGTCGATCTAAGGTCAAGATAGGGTAAACAGAGAGAAAGTTGACAGGGGAGATAACAGAGAAGTAGTAGAAAGAAGAATTTAAAGAGTAAACATGGCTGATGATTCAGCAGCGGTTTCATGGTTTTAGCAATACAAAAATACGAAAAAAATGGGATTTATCAATGACGATATGTATTATTGTACAATATTCACATTACCAGTGTCGATGTGTTCATTATTCGCATGCAACTTATCAACTAGAACAAACATGAAACACACACATACATGTATATATAACAACGTATTTACAACCCCTAATATTGAAAGGCTCATGCATGAATGTGAAGAAACACCAATAATTCATTTTACAAATACACACGCACGTACACCTATTTATACATACACTGTATAAGTTATTTATTTTCAAGTCTGATTTGCCTTTAAGTAAGGAGTAAGTACATGGACATACACGAATATACACATACATATATATATATATACAAACATGCTTGCATACATACATACATACATAGATACATACATATATATACACGCCCATACATACATACATACATAAGCAGCATGCATGTAATATTTAATTTGCTATGCATACAAGTAAACGTTCACATATATTATATTATATATAGTATTTAAATACTCGTGCATGTATATGAAATTAAATGAAATTAAATATCTCACCCTAACATACACAGAGTATATACACATACACTTATGGTTATACACAGGCTTATATATGTATGTAATCCACACATAAACACACGTACAAAATATACTCACACGCGTGTACCTATTTATACATATTTAAATACATACATTAGTAGCATGCATGTAATATTTATTATGCCAACCATGGATGGACATGTTTTTTTGTATGATATATGTATAACTATTTTAATGAACTGACATTATGTACAGAATGTCAAGTCATTTTTGGCTGTGTTTACTGTGTAAATATGACAGTCACTCAATGGCCCTCTGGTACAAGGTCCGATATGTCATTGTGTGTCTTGACGAGTATTTTGGGCGAGTCTTGTGCAACTTTATAGAAGACACGTCCATCGTTTGTCCAGTAAGAGTATTTTTTTTGCTTTTCTGGCCTTGCCTAGACTTTTGATTAATGTCTGACGATTAGCTGTTAAGTCCTCTGATATAAAAATGTTTTGCCTGGATTCTTTCAATTTACTTTTTGCCTGAAAAATTAAATTTTTGACCTTCCAGTTCCGCAGGCGACAAATGATCTGAGCTTTACCATTCCTCACTTTACCTATAACATGTGACCTATTAATGTCTTTCGATCCATGTGCGAGTGACGAGTTGTTTCTAAAATATCAGTTTGAAGTGCGCTCCGGGCGCTATTTCCCGCATATTATAGAGGGCCGGAGTTCTGACGTTACTCGACGACAGATCTAGACCGATATGAAAAAAGTTGATAAAACGTCAGAATAATTCGGACTACTCCCATCTTAGCTTTATTATAATTCAAACTTATTATTTATTTCCCTGATACTTATATATTATTGTAAAACATTTGGTTTCTTTAAGCTCCTAATCAATCAAATTATTATTATTATTTCAAGCACGGACTTATATATAATTAGATCTTATCTAATTCCGTGTTTCATGCAAGTCTGGTAAGATATTGTGTGATTCCGGTTCGGTTGCCGCATCAAATTTTATAAGTAATGTGCAGTTTCCGGCTGTCATCGACATCGGATTTTGAGAGTGGGTCTAGGTGTTCATCATTAACATGTTAACATACAAACATTTAAGTGGCAAAGTTAGTCATTTAATATATCTTAAGATTAATGCAATTGAGTTAAGAAACTGTCACAGGGTTAATAGCACAGAGTCAAAAATTTGGTCACAGCACACTTGTAACATACACAGATAAACAAACCGTCAAACGTTCGTTACAAATGTCTGAAATACTCATATGCAGCAATGATGCTATACTGATATGGGTCACATCACACATAAACAGTTGTTTGTTTATTTGTGCTGTAACCCATTTCAGTGCATAGCATATATATGTGTATTTCAGACAATTGTAACGAACCCCTGTGCTCTAGCCTAACATTGTTGGAACTTCGAGTGCCGAGAGCGTATGATATGAATATGAAAGTTTTATTTTAATTCGGTATAGTTACAAACTACAAACATAAGCTCTAATGAGCTTTTAACCGAATAGAATAACAAGACAACACCCAGCTCATCCCTATTTAGAGAGAGATATTTTAAATCAAATCTCCGGGAAAAAACTTGTTTTGCATTTCTGTTATAAAGCTCTTATATATAAGTACTGGACCGAAATATGTTATTAACTATAAAAACTTGTCACCAACAAATATGTGCATACCATAAAGTATCGATGACAACAAAATTTAGGACAGTCTCACAAGTGGAAGGAAGAACAGTGCGATTATATACTTGTTGTGTTTCGTTATTTCCCTTATACTGATACAAAAGCAATCAGGGGCCAATAAAATTGAATAAATGCACACAAGTTCATGTTCACGAATTGATTCTAGTAGGTGTTTGTTGCCAGAAATTAAACATACAGTAATTTAGATAATCATTTATTGCAATTAGTATTGTGTAAGTCATCTCAAGTTGTAAACACAAAGTTTGGTAAACCAGGGGGAGTGCATAGGTATCCTAGTGGAAAAATATGTCGCATCTTCTGCCATTTAATTGTGGCCACAAAATTACCTATAGACATGGAAGAAATTGCTTAAGAGTGATATGTAGTATGTGAAAATTATACAAGAGACACCCATTTACGTACCAACATTTTTATTTTTGAACCACACTCATTCAAATCACAATGTTACTGTAATATAATTACTTATTGATGAACATCTGTTCTCTATATATGGAACTGTGCAGCTATCTGTAATGGACTCGCAAAAAATACTCAGAAATCATGTTATTAATATGTTTAACCAACTATATGTACTATTGTAACTTTTATAATTGAGCTGACAGCAGAGGAAATTGTACAATTTCCTACAGTCAGAGTAAATCTGTGTGTGTGTAAAGTTAAATTTTGTGTGTATGTAAACATACATGTTACCATGATGCCATTCTCTGCTAAACACACACCTGCTGTCTCATATGTAACTCATATCCTGTGGATGAATGTTACATTCTTTTTCCATCAACAAAAAATAACGACATTTATCTTACAGATTAAAATTCCAATAATTTCACAATTTTATTTCAAGAATTTTACACTTGATAGTTGTTTGTTGACTGGCACTGTTGTAACATAATCAAAACAATACTATTCATGTACATAATCATTCTTTATGCAGGCACCTGTCCTTACCATGAAGAAATGTTCTCATGGATGGCATGAGGGTTTGATGAAATAATTCAACCACAGACTGCAGTCGAAAGAAAGTGAAATATTCTCCATATAAACTGAAGAATGAACATAATAAAGACCCTTTACCATGAAGTCTACACTCTCCGAGACTGGTTTGATAATTATCTTATCGAGTCCTTTAATGCCAACATCTGGCAGGCTGGTGACTCGGACAGGTAAGTTGCCAGGGGGATTGAACATCTTCTAATAGTCTGATTGAACCTTTGATAAATGTATATTTGGAGAAAAAAGAGAACTTCATAATTATTGCAGTCATTGGTTTTTTTCGTTATTATTTTTCGTTATTAACAAAATGAAATCCTTATTTGCATAAATAAAATAAACCCCTTTTGCTATATTTGCGAAAGCCTTTTGCCCTGGATAAATCACTAGGCCTAAATATTATGCATCTGCGTTGTCTTATAACATCAATATCGACAGAAAATGAACAAAAGTAGCATATCAACCAGAATGTGACTTTTGATTCAGTCAGCAAAACGCTTGAGTTACTAGTACGAATAACCCTTTCCGATGCAAACATATGTGACCGAGACAATCGAAGCGCTTAAAACCGAAAGTGGAAGTTGAATGGTTTCATCCGTCATTCCAAAGGAACAACTTTATTTAAATGATATTTTATCTCATATTTGCACTGTAGACAAGACACGTGATGAAATGACCACTTATAAACAAGTTATTGAGTTGTTGCAATTTAGGACTATCATGATTATACTTGTCCCGATCTTAATCGTATTAAAACAACATTATGAATGTTCCTGATTGTAACGTCCGGACGAATATAAAATATAAATATTGTGTCATGCACCATCCGCTGGAGCTCCTCTTGTCACATGAATTAAAAGATCATAATATATTGACATTGGCGATTTTTAAAAGAAGACCATTCTCAACTCATTTCAACCTGTTCCATCAATAATTAGATACTATTTCATTTATTGGAAATGGCAATTATTTACTCCTGTTACAGTGAAAAATATGTGTTTGTTAAATAGTTCTACTAGCCAAATAATTTGTTTCCTTCATTGTACTAACGACTAAAGATAAAAAAAAAAAAAGGAACACTGTCAAGGAGAACGTAAAGTTTGTGGTGAAAAAGAGGATTTTATTTATTTTTATTTTTACTTGTCAGTTTTTATTTCATTTTTTGATGAAAATTAAAAATATATAATCATGTGCATTAATACATAATTTTATTTGACCATTGATTTTGGTTAACTCGGACATAATTAAAACACTTAGAGAAGGTATGAAAATTTGAGAATTGGAATTTGAAACTGTTTTCATTGAATACAATATTCATGTGACATTTTGCTCACTTCCTTATGTCTGATTCTTATATACATGTAGCTGTACACTACGATACATTGACTGACTGTCCTTAATTTAGTCAGAATTTAGTCAAAAGCCATTACATAGAGGTGTCCAGTTTCACTATTTATTTATTTTATTTACTAATGCTGAAAATAGAATGACATTCCTTTAAAACATTTTAATTCAACATTTTGACTATCATGTAAAAGACAACTTAATTTAAATATCAAACTGCTATTGTAACGTCTATTTTGGACATCCAAACCAATAAGTAAAAGTTGCTAAAACCAATCACTATTTGCTAAAATAAAAAAGGTGCAATATTTTTTGGTCTAGAGTGAGCACAGGATCACTTGATTTGTTTTGTGTAACATCAGTTGTAATAAAATAATGTTATCAGCTTGTATTTGAGCACTATCATAGTCTTTCTAGTGGTTTCACAATTTATAACTCAAGTGGATAGAATTAGCGCACCTGTGAAAAACAACAGACACAAATTGATTTGCTTTCTACAACACTGGCTTTAATAGAATTGTTATCAGCTATATAAAGCTGGATGATTTGAGAAATACTTCAATCTGTAGTGGCATCACAATCTATAACTCTAGTGAAGAGAACTAAAACACATGTGAAAAACAATAAATTCAAATTTAGCAATCATAGTAAATTGCATCAGGCAGTGATGTAAGGGAGATAATCCTTAATTATATGTGTAAATGTTTCCAATCAAAACATGACCTGTGCTATTTATTACAGTTTTACAAGATTCCTTGACACAACAATGGTGGCAATACCTCGGGGAGCCAAGCGTTTATCAGTCACACCAACCCTCAGTCAGAACTCTCACCAAAGGGAGATAATCATGAGAGTCATAGAGGTATGTCTTTTACTGAATATACTGTCTTCTGATAAAAAGTACATGTGTGCAATGAATTTGAGCAAAGATCGCGAATAGAAACAAACATACACATGAGTGGTAAAAATGTTTCATGGTGTGAATCTTGGATGATGTCATTTTGGACATTATGGACCTATTGTAAACTTTTCCTAGATTTTTGTGGGTATACTGCCCTCATAAACCGTAGATCAGCCATTACAGCTTCAAAAGTTCTATCCAACCTAGTCTTTTATCTGAAACAAAGCCAGAATACTATTATTAGAGTAGGCCATTCATTGTACAAATCAGATTTCCCATATATCACTAGTACTGCTTGTATGTGTATTCAGAGACTCAACAGGAGGGAAGGAAGTGGCCAGAATGTCCTTTCACTGGGTTTTGGACAGGTAAGTATTTCATTCCTTTTCTAATTGATGTAGCTCTACATGGCTAGAATTTGCATATGCTATTCAGTTCAGCTTGATATAAAATTAAGTGTATGGTGTTCATGCCCATGCATATTATTACTATGTATCTGTCAAAATTTTATAATCAAATTAAGAGAAGGAACCCTTATGTCAATGAAACTCTTATATTGCATAATCAGCTCTTCAAAGCGTTTGAATTGCATAAATTCTAGTGTTTATATTGAAAACAGAGCTCAAACATATATAGATATAAATGTACATGTAAGTGGTGAGCATAGAGACTGATAGCTGGACAAGTTACTGTACATACACAAAGTCTAGCTGTGATGCATTAAGGATCCCTGTACCGCTACCAAAAACTGTAACTTGGTGTTGGAAACTGTTTTCCTGGCATGATTATAGCTTTGATAAGTCATTTATGAAAGAAAAACCATACCTTGCGGGACTTTTATGAGAAATAATAAAGATGGAAAAAAATAAAAATATAATGAACATTATTGTTATGAGTGGAAAAATGATCACTCTGACCAATTGAGCTACCTGGTCAACAGAAGTGTTCTTGCCCAACTGTGCTACAGTTATATCCAAACGAAAATTAACGGGAGGTTACTGTTTACTTTACACATTGCAGTGGGACAGGGACCCTTAAGGAGGAAAACACACACTTTATTGTTCAGATAAACTATCTATTCGCCACTGTATTGTCGACAGTTATTTACCTCAGATTCATAAGATATTTAATTTGCTTATACATAATGAAGTATTTAAGGTTTTTTTATCCACTATATTTTCCTTGTGCCCACTATAAAAACAATTTAATGATTCTTCAATACCCAATCACCCTTAGGGGGTTTCACAGATCCCAAACCCCATATACATTCTGCATAGACTTGTGATACATAATACATATATACAGATCGTGGAGTTGGGGATATGTGACACACTAGTACTCCTGTGCCATCACCCATATCATCATAATTGTAAGTGCATCTCTGATGCATCTCTGATGCATCTCTGAACCCCATATATTTTTATCTGGAATTGCCTAAAGTTAAATGATACTTTTGTCTACATTGTAATGTAGTGTTTCTTGTTAACAGGTGTCTGATGACCCAGATGCGTACATGTCCAATGTTGCTAGAGTGGAGTATCGCCATCCAAACAGTGCAGTCAACAGACTTCACTTCCCCGAGTGGAAGAAAGTCTTGTCAAGGTAGGCTGTCATACCTGGGTATAAGAAAATCATGGGATTGCTTTGAGACAAAGATCATCTTATAGTATTACAATCATTCTGCAGCTGTTTGTGCTTTTACATTTAATGTAGGAATGTTGATGTAGATAACATTAAGAGGAACATACACAACAAAGTCATTGATGTCAAATATATACAAATCCTCAGATGGTTTTTTTAATAACTGAGATGCTGAGGATCTTGATATTTTTCCAGTATCATGCTCAAGTGAATATCTTCACATTCCTCTAACAGAACAGCATGCCTTAAAGTATGCTGTCGTTAGTATGAAGGCCTGCAACTCCACTTTCAAGATCATAAGGATCAAATGAATCATTTTGGACGAGTTGATAAGTGCTGTCACATCAGTTGTATTTAATATTTGCTGACAACATGTTTGGTATACCCTGCAGCATCTGTTCATTAACTTTTCCTTCTTGTCACTCTCGCTTAACAAATATTTGTTTAAAATATATCTCGAAAGAATTTCTGTCACTTAGTTTTAGAAAAATTATGGAGCTTTAATTTTTTATACCAAAGTTTGTATACAGTTTAAATTCCTTGTTATTTTAACTGTATTCACCATCCTTTCTATGTTTATGTATGTTAGGGAGGCAGAGTATAACATACATAATTCAGGTTTTTGTCCAGAAGGAAGAGTTATTCCCCTTATGTGCAGAGTTATCGCCCTTCCTTTTTAATTCCCTGTTATTCCCCCACTCTTTTTTTTGTTGCTGCATGGTTCTATTCATGTTTACACGCATCATGGCACGTTCAGGGCCTTCAATTTTTATCAGGGCATATTCCAGGAGTGTAGACAAGAAATGTGTATTGAAAGCGGAACATCTGGATTTTGAAGATGATATTTTTCAGACATTCACAAAACTTATTGTCCTTACTTAGTTTGGGAATGCACAAAGTCACATTCTCAGATCAGGTCTTGTGTCCACTGTGTGCAAAATTGTGGCTCTGTGTTTATTACTTCATATGGGTCTTATTTTATTCAAACACAAGTTTTCAAATAGTCCGTTGATTTAATTACATATGTCAACATATTCATTTTAAAACAATTCTTTATGAAATGTTTTGGTAGCTGTGTGTTGGCAAACTCAGATTGATTCTTGATGTTTTCATTTAGTTCAAAGTTCAAGTAAGCATGCTAATTTTTTATGAATTTAGGAAATAACCATGTCTTTTGTGGATATTCATTGGATGCCACTGGGATAGAAACATACAGCTTTAGTAAGATTCACTTTGATTAATTATAATGGAAGTAAAAATTGATAAGAAATGTGTCCTTACAGGATTGGGGATACAATGATGGAATATCTTTTGGAGACTACTTCTATCTTCACGTTTGTACCACCATCTAACTATGTCCAGTTAACAGGTAATTACTTGATGAAACAGGTTTCGATATTAATAACAATCCAGGATGTACATTATTTGGGACAGGGGCAATTTATATCAGTCAGCATCCTCAAAATCCAAGGCTTGCATTTGCAATTAATGCACATACATGTATCATCTCTGCCTCCTTGGAAAATGACATAACAAAATCAAAGGCGTTCTGAAAGCTATTTGATTGGTTTCAGGTAACAAGCTGACCAATTGCTAGCTAGGCTGATACCTGTAGGTAACAAACTGACCAATTGCTAGCTAGGCTGATACCTGTCATGTGAAGGTAAAGGATCCCAGAGGAGCTACAGCCAACTTCAGAGCCTGTCAAGTTAACTGTTACACGGCTGCTGATCCCTTTGTTCTTCATCAAAGACATCAGATCAAGTCAGCTTTTATTATCCTCACATAGAGCCTTTAATTTTGTGGTGAAATATTTGAAGGATGTAGAGAAGATAATGTATATTGAAAGCAAAACCTTCAGAGTTTGAATGATCAATTGGGGCTGTTTCTAGAATTTCTCTGTTATGTATGTGTACAGTATTACCTATCGGTCATTTTCATTAATATTAACTTGTGTATTCAATATATTAGAAAATTCACTATGACAGACAGGAAGTTGAACAGGAAAACTAGAGGTGGGCAGTGTGTTTATTTACGCTAAATTGAGCTGACATGGCCAAAAATGTCATCTGGCAAACAATATTTTGGAATGATATTTTAAAAACTCTCTTGATTTCCTGAATATTTTTTTCTTAAAATCCACAAGGTGTAGAGTCATGGTAATGTTTTAATGGTAAAATGCTTGGGTTAAGACTATACCAAGTTTCATCAGATAAATGATCACCACAACCAATTTTCAAGGTAAAGAGTCAAATATGTTAAAAATATCAAAGGACTTCTTTTGGTGAACTACGAGACTAAGATTCAATATATTTGGTATTTGCTTATTTGTTGAAGACAGTGGTACCATTGCTATTCCCTTGAGATAAAAGCCAATCAATTTTCTTGCCTCCAGTAAATTTGTGTCATTCACAAGATGGTGTGTATAGAGGGACTTTGATTCTATCACGAGAAAGTCCATGGATGCAGAAAAAAAAATGTATATCTTAGCGAACAACGACTGAAGTCATGACTATAGTAAAAAAAAAGGTGTAGCTTTTAACATATTTTAGTTGAATATTTTTAATACACTTTTACTTCCTGGCCTTTAATGATCACTTAGAGACATTTGTTTCAGGTAGACCTGTTTTTGAGCTGTGGAAACCTAGCCTCTCGGTCAAGTGTCCTCAAAAAGTTCTCTCTGTAAAAAGATCCAAGAGAAAACACTGTGCACCTTTAGTCAAACATTTGAGTATGGAAACCGATTCCACTCAAACACTCAAATCCTGCATTGCAAAGGACTTGGAGGATCTGAAAGCCAAGGCAAAGACCTATGCCAGGGATCAAGGGTTCCCAAAAGATTTTCCCCGAAGAAAGAAGCAGAATCACCAGAAAAATGAGGCCATGGATTCAACCAGTGATGTAAAAGATAGAGAGGAGAAATGTTTGGAGGAGAATAAAATAGAACGGGGAGCAAATGCTACAAGTCAAGTGTTCAAACAAGATGATTTTGATATGAAGCAGGAGGGTTATGGAAATTGGGATGGTGATTTTGATGGAAAGCAGGTGGTTGATTTTGATGTCAATGAAGAAGATGATGGAAACCAGGAGGAAGATTTTAATGAAAACAAAGAGTGTGATAATGAAAGATGGCTCAGGCCTAAAGTCAGCAAGAAAGATAAAAGAAAAAGACAACGGCAGCAGAGTAGGGAAAAAAAGGCTTATGCTTGGATGCAGAAGATTCAAAGTGGAGAACAGGAAGCTGGTGGCAGTCAGGGTCAAATAAGGAATTCATTTGGCGGCTCAAAAAAAGAACGGCGGAAGATGCAGAGGTTTGAAAGGAGACTGGCAAAAAGTACCGGTTTGGCGGAGGATTATGCTACACGTTGGGGTATCAGTGACAGCAGCTACAGTCAGCAGGACAATGAGGGCCAACATGACGGTGAAGCTTCTAGTTCTAGATGGAAGAGGCAGAAACAAACAGCAACAAACGAAGAATATAAAACTTCATCCAGTTTACCCACTGTCCAGCCATCATTTGAAGGAAGGCCTCGGTGGAGACACCCTTACACTGCAGAACCGTCACAACAGTTTGCTTCATCTAGGCCTCAATCGCATCAGTTTAGTTCGTCTAGGTTTCAGTGGAGAAATCCTAATGCTTCAGAACCATCACAACAGTTTGGTTCCCCTAGGCCTCAATTGGGAAATCCAAATGCTTCAGAACCACCCCAACAGTTTCACTCATCTGGGCCTCAATGGAGAAATCCAAATGCTTCAGAACCACCCCAACAGTTTCACTCGCCTAGGCCTCAATGGAGAAATCCAAATGCTTCAGAACCACCCCAACAGTTTGGTTCATCAAAGTCTCAGGTTTCATTTGAAGGAGTATCTCACTGGAGACAACCTACCACATTAGAATCATCACAGCAAAGAGATCATACTAGAGGTAAATTTTATAAACAAATTACTGTATAATTGGATTTTTTTTGTCACAATTTAACTTTGCCTTTCTTGTTTTTTATAATGGGGTGAATTAATTCTGACAGCAGTTATAAGTATACATACAGATGTACATACACAGTTGTCCTGTATAGCAATCTACTAAAGTTCATGTGAAGGGCTTAACAATTAACATGGGACAAATATGGATTTTACAGGTGATGGGTAGAAACAACAGAATCTTTCCTTACTGTGAGGTTGTGCAGAGAAATTTCTAACACAGGGGGGGGGGGGGGAGAATTTTTAATATTGTTACTTTCCCATTTTTTGTAACAGATATACGAACATGTGAAGATATTACTTTTAGTATCGACCAATCAGAACAGTTCTTTCTATCCAATTCCTTCAAAGCTGTAGATTTTCAGTTCAAGATTTGCTAATCACACTTGTGAAAATATTTAGTATTATGCCAAACTTGTATTTATATATTTATATGGTATTTAACAGGATCCATTAAATATCTCTAACTAGTGCTTGCATTTTTATGGTGGTATCCCAGATATTACAGTGTGCAACAGACATATTGATTGAATCTGTAACTAAAAACTTAGTAAGAATTTAGTTATAACTGTGTTGATATTTTTTCCGATGTAGAAAACAAAAAAATGCAGAGGAAAATGAAACTTGACAGGAGGCGTCAGCGTAGAAATGAAATACAGGACAATCCAGTAAGTGTAAGTGGAACTGGGGACAATGTTGGTGAAGTAGAGCCGGTGAGTGGCAGTGAGTCTGGTCCAGGTGACATCACCACAGAAGGACCGAGTAGGTAAGTTGATCATGATACTGGGCTTATCTATCTAAATATCTGTTTTGATGGAACATAATTATAATGGAAACGCAAAGATTGTATTACCCATATCGGTAGTGTTTTTCAGCATGAAAGCTTTTATCAGCACTTGAACCTGAGCGATTTGTTTTATGTAATTGAGGAGCAGTTTTGACCACTAGTATTAAAAGCTTTATCTCCTGAAATAATAGACTCAGTGTTATAATGTTCATCTGTGTATTACCTTTGATTTAAATTTAGTTTATATTGTGAAGGGTTTTGGGTTATTTCCTTGTATTTCATACGGTTGACCAGTTAGCTGTTACTGCTTGGATTAAAATAACCTGTCCATTGAAATTTGTTTTATCATTTTATTTTGCATGCCTTTAGTATTGTTGATGATATCAGTAACTTTACAGTCTGATGTTCTGTTGTGTTTTAGCTTTCAGTACCGGTGTTTTCCAAGGAAGAGAATGTTCTGTTCCCGAGGACTCTTGGAGCAAATTCCAAAATCCTGTAATTATTTATTTAGAATTTAGAATTTCGACACACTGTTCATTTCCTGTTTATTAAATGCTGTAGGTTACTGGAGATCTGATTATGGTTCAAAACTGGTATGTTGCATACATTTTATTACATTTGTGATTAAATCATTTCAAAATGATAACAGTAGTAATTAAGATGCATAATAAAACTGTAAAATCAAAAATTGAATTCTGTATACAGGGTAATCTTTGGGGAAGTAACTTCAGCAATATTTAGTCAACCAGTTAAAACTTCAATCGTATGTATATATACCCAGCAATGCTAAAGTCACAAATTCAGCTCTTTTCAAATTACTTTTTTTTCCACATAAATAAAAAGAATAGAAAAGCTTGGTACTGTGTGAAACTATGTTGCATTTCACTGGTACAGATTATAGATAGTTCAATATACAATATTGTGAGAACTAGTCTCTTTATTGGTACTGATTTCAGCTTTATCCAAGCTTCAAATGAGTCACTAGAAATGAACATGCACATTTTTAGGTCAAAAGTCTCAAGTGACCTATTGCGATCGCCTTTTGTCTAGCGTCATCCGGCATGCGCCATCCATCGTGCGTCCGTAAACAATTTACATTTTCGACTTCTTCTCAAAAAACCCTGAACCAATTTCAATGAAATTTTGCAGAAACTTTTCATTCCATACAATTCAAACTTGGTTAGCATTATCAGTATTGGATAGCAGTTTGATGATTTGCACAAAATCAGCTCTGACTGACCCCCCGGGGTTGAAGGGTGGGGCCAAAAAGGGTTGAATTGACTGAAATTTCAAAAATTTTCTTCTCAAGACCAAGATATGGTAGAATCAAATACTCTTCATAGATGTAAGCTAGGGTCTTAAGGTGCTTAACCAAAATTGTGAATTTCATGACCCTGGGGTCTCATGTTTCCCCCTGGGGAGGGGTAAACTTTACTATAGTTTAATTGTGAATTATATGGTCCCCAGCCCCGTGGAGCCTGAGGGGCGTGGCCAAAAAGGGTCAAATTGACTAAAATTTCAAATATCTTCTCCTCAAGATCCAGATATATGGTAGAATCAAATACTCTTCATAGATGGAAGGGTCTTAAGGTGCTTTACCATAATTCAGCTGACTGACAGAACCACTATTTGTACATAGTACATCTTTCACACTACTTTTGCATTACATGTATAGTTCAAGTTACCTACAAAATGATTTATTGTTCATTTGGCAATATCGATAACATCAGTTTTTACATAACTCAGGTGACCGTTAAGGCCCATGGGCCTCTTGTTTCTTTACCTTGCTCCATCTGGCAGAAAACAATAAATACTTTATTAGAATCTGATAAGTGGTAGATCATTACCAGTAAGTTTAAGTGTTTTTATTATTTTTGTGCAGTAAGTTTAAGTGTTTTTATTATTTTTTGTGCATTTGCAGACATTTTGAATAGGCTGGCACAAGATGAAAACGGTGCTGGGGAGCTCTTTCAGGAAATATTCAAGGTAATTTAAAGGAGTAGGCCCTGAAAATATGTAAAATTTTAAACATGAATTAGTTATTTTTATTCTTTTTAAGCTTTTTAAAGGACAATAACTTAATATTTGTTGGTATTCCTATTGAACTACAATACATGGTATTAAAGTGGGTGTGCTTGCATCAGTTTTGAACATTTAACCTGTTTAATTACTTCTGCCGAATGAAAAAACAAATTCTAATTGAAAATTGCAATTAACATTATGTATTTCCAATGTTTGATATTGGCCACAGGAAGTCCAGGTAGACCAACAGACAGTTTTGTATAGGACCAAGGTGCTACCTACCCTGGAGAAAATGCTCAAGTTGCACAAGTAAGAATATAAGAGTACATGTATAATATATCAAAGAATTTTAATTGATGACTGATCATGCAATGCATTTTTCCCAGTGTTATACTGACAAAATATGTATCACATGTACTACAAAATGAACAATGCAAATACCTGAGGTTCAATACGTTGATCAAATATATATCTCAAGACTTGTGTAATATCAAACATATTGAAACAATACAATTGTTGGAAAAAAATTGTGTATGCCCATATTTTCTAATCAAGTCAATTATTTTTAATTATGGAAATGTTCGTTTATATATATATATGTATAAGCCTTCATATAGTTAATACAGGCTATAAAAAACTCCAGAAAATTGGAAGAGAACTTTGATAATCTTATAAACTTATATGTGTGTAAAAATGAGTCACATGTTGTTAATTATTTTCCAGGAGTTGTTCCTACCTGAGACAATTAAACTACAGTTGTAGTGGACGATACCAACAGTGTAAAATGGGAATACAGGGAAAAGGAGTGATAATTGCAGCAAGAGAGAGGATAAGGAAACAGTCTTACGGTATTCATAGTGTTTGTTGATTTATCAAGAATAGAGGCCAATTGGTGTATACAGTTAATGTGCAGCATTACATGAAGTTCAGTTTACTTTAAAAATTAAATGCTTTGGGGTTGAACTTGTTCATGTATCATATTAAACACAAACAGGAGAAGTGGACGGTGCCTTACTAAAGTGCATTTGACTAGGTGATCTCTATACCTTCAGGTTTGTGAGGATGTGTATGTTTGTGTGTGTTAGAATTTGTATAGATCTTGTATAGATGTCTTGCTAGTTTTGGATTTGTATTTCCAACAGCTCATTTGCAGTACCTTACTACTTGAATAAGGTAAAATTAAAGTCAAAGTTGCTGAAAATAATTGGTGGGCATCAAAGGTTCAATTTGTAATGCTTAATGGATGAATGTTATTTGTGTAAGAGAACTTATTTAGGGGGTATTTTTTATGTCATAAAGACCTATCATATATAGTTGCAAGCTGGCCTTAGTTCTGGAGTTTTGGTGACTATGTTATCACAGGAAAACAGGGGCCTATCTGGATGAATCAAAGAAAAGTAGGAAAAAGATGCTCACAGAAAGTTTCTACCAAAAGGATCCTGAGTCAACACCTTGGAATAAATGAGGTACATAGCGTACGTATATCTCATCCAGTGTTATCAATAGATTTTATTATTATAAATGATTTAAAAAAATCATGATACTTGAGCTGCTGCCCAATTTATGCAACTAGGCAGTGTTATTATTAAGTAGTACTGTTTGGAAACAATGGCCACAATTCCCTGCAAGGATTCAGTATAGGATGATCACTTGTTGGAATTATGGCTATTAATAGGTAAAAGGTACCTCTTCATGTGCACAAGCTGTAATATTGAAAAAAAATCTTCAATTCATCTGGGAGTATTCTAGATTAGAGTTACTTCCCTTGGTGAGGTATTCTACAATACCTGGATAATAACATTGATTGGTAAACGGTAGTGGATACATGTAAGTCCTTGCAATTGGTTCCTTCCCAGAATTTGTTGTTTTGTTTTTCTTTAGTTTCCTGAACAGATTGATTTTAGAACAATTCTCATTCTGTGAAATGCATCACAAGATGTTTTAGATATGAAATATATTTGTTGAAATATGAATTAATAATTAATATGTTTCAATAGTGGCAATATAATCCGAATGATATATTTTGAATGGGATGCTGCTGTGTACCTCTATAAATGTGTATTGCCTCTGTTCCAGATATACATGTTTCTGAGACGTGTGTTTTTCCATGTTATACCAAATGAGCTGCTTGGAAAAGCCAACAAGAAGATGCTTCACAAGTGTATCCTTAGACATCTGACATAGAACTGGGTTACTCATTGATCAACCACATTAATCAGTTAATTGTACATCTACATCAAGCATGCAGTATATTTTATACTACATGACTGTGTAGTTCAAATTTTGGAACCCAACAAGGAAAGTTACTGTTGATATAAAACTGTTTTATAATTGATGTCAAATATTCAACCATTTTATGCCCAGCGATTTTATTGGGGGAGAGAGGGGTGCATAGTTTGTCCCATGGCTGTCCCATCTTGTCCTGTCCTGTCTATTTACCAATTCAGTAGCATCACTCTAGTGACTTCTATTGGTTAAAAGATTATTCATACAAAGGTCAAGTATAAGAAGACCTCAAAAGAGATCCTGTTCAGGGTTCTAAGGTCAAGGCTAAGGTCGTTGTTACTATTCATAGAATTTGTCAACCAATGACACTTATTTGCTGTAGAGCTGGAGCATTTATGTCTTAGGGACAATTGATCAACTGTTTGGCCCTGTGTGACATCATTCTTTTGATGCGAGGCTGACACCTTCTGTTACCCATTATTCCACCGCCATATGCTGACATTATTTTTTGATGCGAGGCTAACACCTACATGTACTAATACCCATTATTCTGTGATGGTTCGTTACATCATACTTAACAAACCCTTCTGTACCTACTTGTACATCTTGAACTAAGCCATCTTGTTTGTCAGAGAATATGCAGATTGACAATTATAACATGTTCTTAAAAATGATATCCAAAAAGTGACTTTGCCACATATATAATTGAATTACAGATTGCTGAGGGCTAACTGAATTGACATTTATCAGAAACATTCTGATTTTACATTGTATAAAAGGAAACATATACTTTGACATGTTTTTAGACATAAATTAGGTTTCATGTATATTTATAAAATTATCAGTAGCTGTACATTGCACCATAATGATGTAGCTGACACAGTTTTAATTTGAATGATTTGACCTTGACATACTTCAGGTTTGAAACTGTTCCTAAAACTTGGCAAATATGACAAATTTTCCATGGCAGAGCTGAATGTGGAGAAGATGAAGGTAGGTTTTTAATATGGATGGAAAAACTTATTTCTTAGACACTAGTCAGAGAAAAATATATTTCAAGACTTTTAAATTTTATTCAGGATACATTAATTCAATGCAGAAAAAAGAGTATAAAGGAAGAATTTTACTCCCCGAAGGGCTGAGGTTCAGATAAGGAAAGTGACCTATACGAGGCATGCTGCTATATCACTGGGCCTCTTGTTTAATATTTTAGTAAACTTGTAAAATTGTATTGATTCCACATAGTCTAAAGACATGTTTCATTCCCAGGTGGAGAGAGTTCCATGGCTGGCTGATATTGTGTCCAGACCTGAGCAGATTCACCTTCTATCACAGGTTGTCTACTGGATTTTCAAGGACTACATCATGGTGCTGCTTAAGGTACATACCTATGTTGAACATTGTCTTATAAAACATGGTGTTGTGGTAAATGATGAGACTTTTGACTAAACGAAAAAATACTGAAATTCAATTTTGAAATGAAGAAATGAAGAAAAAAAATTGGTTGCAAAACTCAAATTGTTTTTAGTTAGAAAGTGAATATTGAAGCAAAGGTAGCAGTAGATCCAACCTAAGGGTTTTACTGGCGTCATGTGTCAATAGTCGTACTCTTGAAAGATTTGACATACTTTATTTGACATACTTTATTTGTCCTTATTTTCCTCTCCATTTAAGGAAATGGAAACATACATACACTCGCACTGTATGTATTGTAGTAGAACAGGCTCATCTAATATATGGTCAGGGTAGAAACGTCTGTTGCTGTTTACATTTTGTGGGATTCTCATTAATTACACACCAAAAAAGTCCCAGATATTTTTATAATCTTTTGCATTGTTGCTTTAAAAGATAATTATGTTCCATTAATTTTTGAAGGTCTAATATTGGTCCAGCTTTATGGGATTTTATTCAGTGAATATTTAGGTTATGTTAAGTATCTTGAAACCCTTGTTTAAATTTCAGTCATTCCTATATATAACCGAGACGGCACATCACCGCAACCAGTTACTTTACTTCAGAAAGAGAGACTGGTTACGACTCCACATGCGAGGCCTGAACAGTACAGTAATCTTTTTATTACACATATTATGACACTATAACAATGAGCTTGTGAAAATTATTGCATATAAACACTATAATTATGTCCCCCAAACGAAGTGGGGGGACATATTGTGTTTACTCCATTTCTTATGTAGTTGTGCATTCAAGTCTTTATTTTCAGATTGTTTCCATAGCAACCACACGGCCCGGAGGCTTCTGATTGGTCGAAATTTAGATATTGTTCGATATTTATGAAAATTGCTATGATGGGGTATTTGGGGACTGCGTATTCAACCGCATAGGTTACGTTGACAAAAGCAACCACATAAAAACGACACGGAGGCCTCTGTTTGGTCAAAATTTAGATATTGTTTCGATTTTTAGGAACATTGATATATAGGGGTATTAGGGGACTGCGAATTCAACCGTATATGTATTTGTTGTCATAGCAACCATATAGCGCAACCATGTGCACATTGAGGCTTCTGATTGGTGGAAATTAAGATATTGTTTGATTTAAATGAAAATTGCTATGTAGGGGTATTAGGGAACTGCAAATTCAACAGCATAGGTTTCATTACCATAGCAACCACACGGAGGCTTCTGATTGGTCGAAATTTATAAATTGTTCGATTTCACTCAAATTTAGTATGTATATTGTAAGTGTATTAGTATGTAGGTGTTTTATGGCATTGCGGTCCTTTTATGGTGCATCTTTGTGACTATGGGGGCAGTTTGGGGAACCTATGTAATGGTCCCCCATTGCAATAACTTCTTGTTTAATGTTGACTTGAATAATTAATTGACAGTCAAACCACACTGTAAAACCTTTTTTATTTTTTTATTTTTCTTTATCTTTTGAGATCAGATATAAGGTATTATGATCATTTGATTTGAAACTCGAACATCAGTATTGAAACTTTTAAATTTAAATCACAAATAGAACAAGTAGAGTAACTGATTTGTTGTATTGTACCGACTTTTTGTAATTTATTCTTTTCATTTAATGTTTTAAATGATGAAATTTTAGTGATATTTGTGTTAACTTTGATTCCAATATATAGAAGAAAGGACATTTCATTTGAAATAGAATCATATCTGAAATAATAATCTTGAAGTTAAGTTGAAGTTATAACATCAAGAAATAATTATTTACAAAGTATGTTTTTCAGCATTGTTGAACAAGAAGATGATGCTGCCGGTGCCTAAGGTAAGATCAGTTATATACGAGTAATGACATTCTTATTTGCCTGCATACTTCTCAACTGACTCGGATAGTCCAATCTGTTACTCCCAGATTTTGTACATTCAAACCCAACGGATAAAATACAGTTATTGAACAGAGATCCAGGGCTTGATGCAATGGTCTCTGGTCACTATTTAACCCTGAGGGTCTTAATGACCTAATCTATACTTCACTGTAGGGTTGGATTCTGTTACTTATGATTTACCCCCTAAAACTATCAAAGTCAGCTGTTTTAATTTACTGTAGTCAGTGTGTAAGATGTAGTGTGGATGAATTTGTTTTAAAAAGGGAAAACAACACTTGTGTGACGTACATAAGACAAATGATAAAATTGCCCTTGAAAAAAGCAAAAGTAATCACCAATAATGTTTTCCTTTTTCTCCACTATTGTCTGTTAAAAACGTCTATTTCAAATTGTACATTCACCTCAGAAAGCAGGAGAGGTGTTAACAAAACACAAATAACACCCCTCGACTAAAAAGTAGTTCTGTGCTTATCGTTAAACCAGGCAGGTGAATCAGGTAAGGTTTTACAAGCACTGTCAGAAATACATAAATCCCTGTCTGGTTTACATGTAATATTTATCTACACTCAAGAACAGGGTAAGAGGAACAGAATTTAATTAGATGCCACATGAAGATCTGATCATGAGGCCTAGGGACATGTTTGCTTTTATATGGACTGTTAATAAACATACAACATTAAACGCAATTTCTTTTTGTGTTATGACCAGACAGAGGCTTTGAAGCAGTTGGCAGAGGGTGACACCCTTGGTGTTTCAAACCTGCGTTTCCTCCCGAAGATGAAATCTCTTAGACCTATTGTCAACCTAGGGAGAAGACCTCCGCCTGGCTGTAAACAGGTCAGTTCTGTAAATATCAGTTAAAATGTTAACTCTCCTCTAAATCCTATTTGGGTTGTACTTATTTTTGTCTGAAGCATCAATTGCAAAATAAAGACTGATTAAAGGAAACTCAAATAAATGATGTCCTCGTAAAAAGTAAGGATAGGTGAGCTTGGGAAGTTAATTTTAAGCTTGTAGGAAATAAAAGTACTCTACAGAATGTATAAGAAACTTGAAGATTGAACATTAATTCTTTTTCTTCTTCTTTAAATTACAGACTATCCCGATCAACAAACAGCTGCTGAACTTGTTAAACATACTGAGCTATCACAAGGTAAAGGCTGAACTTGTTAAACATACTGAGCTATCACAAGCTTAAGGTAAAGGCTGAACTTGTTAAACATACTGAGCTATCACAAGGTAAAGTGCCAAAGTTTGTTGCCAAGTAAATGTTTGGATTCATTTTGTTTCATTTTTGATTTTAATGCATTTCAAATCTTTTCGAAAAGGTGCTTGATTGAGAGGCATATACAAATATAAACATTATTTACTACACAACAATCACAAAACAGGTTTATTCACCTTATATTGATATTTTTTGTTGGCCTGGATGGAAATTAGAAAGTCTTCAGGTGTAAAGAAATTTGAGTACTACCTGGAGAAATCCAAGTGGTCGAGTAAGTGACCCAATACCTCTTAATAAATATTGAGGTATCACTTTCCACTGCCCCACCTGAACACCCCAAAATTAGGAGAAATATTGAATTAACACAACTCTTAATACAACCTGCACTATCCAAAGAAAATTCTGTTGGAAAGAACATTCTGAAACTAAATTATAAGCATTAGAATATTTTGCTATGGTTGCAAAAAGTCAGGATCAAAATCACGGAATGCTCTTGTTGATACAATGTACCTTGGTTTGTCCAGATGTACTGTAGGGGAGGATGGATTGCCCTCAATGTTTTCCCTTATTGGAAGAATGTTTCCAGCTTGTTTTTTCCACTTTACAGGAGAAGGACCCTGTGTTGGTAGGGTCTGCCATATTTGGACTGGACAAAGTCTACCCCCTATGGAAACAGTTTGTCTCACCATATCAACAACGAGGACAGGAAAGGTCAATGTAATTCAATTCCTGTTTATCACCGTACATTAGATACATCATAAAGTGTATGGTTGTGTCCTGATTTTCTTTAACCAAAAAATTGGAAATAATTATAAGAGCTTATTTTGTATCTATCGTACGATCATCAGAATGTTTCAGCTAGACGTTTGTGGATTACAAGTATTCAGATGATCAGGCACTGTGATGCAGCTATGACTCAATCATCAGGATGTTTGAGATGATTGTGTTTTTGGTTAACAAGTGACAAGGATTCAGATGATCAGGCATTGTGATGCAGCTATTTATGATCCTTTTACCTTACGCTAAGCATACTCTCTTTTTAAACTGTTTTCATGTTGTTTTTTCCAGATCAGATATTAAGCAACTGTACTTTGTCAAAGTGGACATTGCAACCTGCTTTGAAGACATAGACCAAGAGAAGCTATTCTCTATAATAAAAAACATCATTCAAAAGGTATATTTTGAAAATATTAGTCAATACATCAAGTATATATACCTGAAGTATTAGAAAGTTCTGTAATTAATTACGTGGTACAATGTATCATATGGTGATAGACATATACACAGTTATATTCCGAGGTTTAAAGCAAAAAAAAAGATATAGTTGATTACCTTAGGTAGGTATGAATGTGGTTCTTGCATATTAGGATGATTAAGTTACCGGTAGTATCGTTATATTCCTGTTCAGGACATGGAATTCTGCTTCATGTTGTAGGATGATGACTACCAGATCAGGAAATATGTGACCATGCATGTTGCTGGGGGACAAGTGAAAAGGACCTTCAAGAGAAAAGCATCATCATTGCTGGAATTCAATCCCAACTTCACAAACTTTGTTAAGGAAAGGGTGGAGAAGGACGGCTTTACAAACATCATGTTTGTGGACCAGGTATGTAGACTTGTTGATTACGTGACACAAGGCGTGACTAAATGAGACTAGTGTTTGTGTGTAGTGTTGATTCTACTGTAGAATATATATAAGGTATGTAGACTTGTTGATTACGTGACACAAGGCTTGACTAATTAAATGAGACTAGTATTTGTGTGTAGTGTTGATTCTACTGTAGAATATAAGGTATGTAGACTTGTTGATTACGTGACACAAGGCTTGACTAATTAAATGAGACTAGTGTTTGCGTGTAGTGTTGATTCTACTGTAGAATATAAGGTATGTAGACTTGTTGATTACATGACACAAGGCTTGACTAATTAAATGAGACCAGTATTTGTGTGTAGTGTTGATTACGTGACACAAGGCGTGACTAAATGAGACTAGTATATGTGTGTAGTGTTGATTACGTGACACAAGGCTTAACTAAATGAGACCAGTATTTGTGTGTAGTGTTGATTACATGACACAATGCGTGACTAAATGAGACCAGTATTTGTGTGTAGTGTTGATTACGTGACACAAGGCGTGACTAAATGAGACCAGTATCTGTGTGTAGTGTTGATTACATAACACAACGCGTGACTAAATGAGACTAGTATTTGTGTGTAGTGTTGATTACGTGACACAAGGCGTGACTAAATGAGACCAGTATATGTGTGTAGTGTTGATTCTACTGTAAAATATAAGTAATCCTACCTTGCTTATATTTGATATACATGAAAGTTAAATTTTTCATACGTGCACATTAAAGAGACGTTCACATTAAAGAGTAGATATTGTGTCTTAAATGATTGAACCATTGAATGAAATACAGTGTCTTTAGTGTAACAATTTTACCACACCTGAAGTTGTTGCACCCCTTGTGGGACATTTGGAATAGAATTTGTGAAAGATTTATGATATAAACAGAGAAATATTAACCCAGGGTTAAGATTTTGGTATTCCAGAACAAGGCTTCAATGAGTTATAAAGACAACACTAGTCTTACCAGAATGGCTGTTATAGTTATATCGCTGTTGATCTCATTCCGAATCGCTGTCTACATTATACCTAGGTGTTAGCTATAGGTGATTGATTATTTTTCTCTCTTACTAGTCATTTTGTCATGAACTGAACTGAACGCAAGATATTAGATATCAACCCCAGTAACAGGGCTAGAAGTTAATTATAAGAACCACTAGTGAGTGGAGCTAGTACATCGTTCCCAATTTTACTAGTTACTGTACAAGTTCCACTAACCCAATAGTATTCAACATACCAGAAAGATTTAGTAATATCAAATTTTGATTTGTCAGTATAATTGGGTTAGCAGTTTTTAAAACCACATAGTTCATCTTGAGATTTCACCTGTTTCAGATTTGTGAATTGCCCTTATTGTCTGGCCCAGCTGGTTAGGTAGTACATTTCATGATACCTTTATTGATTCTGTCTTTCACACATATAAATTAAAGTAGAGTGTCACTAATGCAATCAGTAACTCAGGATCATTCTTTTCGCAGTATTTATTTTAGTTTTTAAGAGATTATAACAACAGTCATTATTATTCAATCCATATTTTTAATGTGGTTCTTGTGGAAACTTAATAGTGTATCATATTTGGTAGTAAATGGCAGTACCTTGAATGTGTTAGCTGTATGTGAGGGGGTTTGTATTGAATGTGTTAGTGTATGTGAGGGGGTTTGTATTGAATGTGTTAGTGTATGTGAGGGGGTTTGTATTGAATGTGTTAGTGTATGTGAGGGGGTTTGTATTGAATGTGTTAGTGTATGTGAGGGGGTTTGTATTGAATGTGTTAGTGTATGTGAGGGGGTTTGTATTGAATGTGTTAGTGTATGTGAGGGGGTTTGTATTGAATGTGTTAGTGTATGTGAGGGGGTTTGTATTGAATGTGTTAGTGTATGTGAGGGGGTTTGTATTGAATGTGTTAGTGTATGTGAGGGGGTTTGTATTGAATGTGTTAGTGTATGTGAGGGGGTTTGTATTGAATGTGTTAGTGTATGTGAGGGGGTTTGTATTGAATGTGTTAGTGTATGTGAGGGGGTTTGTATTGAATGTGTTAGTGTATGTGAGGGGGTTTGTATTGAATGTGTTAGTGTATGTGAGGGGGTTTGTATTGAATGTGTTAGTGTATGTGAGGGGGTTTGTATTGAATGTGTTAGTGTATGTGAGGGGGTTTGTATTGAATGTGTTAGTGTATGTGAGGGGGTTTGTATTGAATGTGTTAGTGTATGTGAGGGGGTTTGTATTGAATGTGTTAGTGTATGTGAGGGGGTTTGTATTGAATGTGTTAGTGTATGTGAGGGGGTTTGTATTGAATGTGTTAGTGTATGTGAGGGGGTTTGTATTGAATGTGTTAGTGTATGTGAGGGGGTTTGTATTGAATGTGTTAGTGTATGTGAGGGGGTTTGTATTGAATGTGTTAGTGTATGTGAGGGGGTTTGTATTGAATGTGTTAGTGTATGTGAGGGGGTTTGTATTGAATGTGTTAGTGTATGTGAGTGGGTTTGTATTAAATGGGTTAGTGTATGTGAGGGGGTTTGTATTGATTTCAATGTTTTGGTTGTAGGTGGTAACCCAGTCTGAGAGCTCTGTTCACCTGTTACAGCAGCTGAAATCTCATTTGTCCAACAATCTTGTCAAGGTAATGTTTCCAACTGGATTTCTATGTAAGGAAATAAGTTTTCATATCAAATTAACTTTTGCACTGGTCATACAAATGGAGATCAGTAAAATCTCTAGACCTTTTGACCTTCAATATGCTTTAATCACAACCTTTTGATCTTCAATATGTTTTAACCGACAAGCTTTTGATCTTCAATGTTTTAATCTACAACCTTTTGATCTTCAATATGTTTTAATTTATAACCTTTTTGACAGTACGTAATTTTGTTGGAAGTAAAATGAAGATTGGATGTATTTTCACTTATATTTTCCGATGGGAACATTATTCACAGAAAGATAACTGTTTACATCAGTTACTTGTTTATGATTTATTTATGGAATTTTCTGTCAGACTAAAAAATGTATAATATACAATTTTCTTTTTAATTCTGAGAAATACTTGTTAAATCTATGTTTCTTTCAGTGGCGACAGTAATAAGTAGTTGTTGAGAAAATATAGTGCAGGGCATTTCTTACAGTAGGGAGAATTTGCAAATTTTAAATTCTTATATATGTTGACTATAGTCATGCTTATGACAACTTGCACATCATGACATAATCCTGCATTAACCTCTGTCTTTGTATTATACTTCTCACTATGAATTTAGCCGTGTATACTGGATTTGTCTGCCTATCCGTAGAAAAATATTGTTTGGACAATTCCTTCTAAACACCAAATCAGTTTTGGTTCGTTCTGTAGATAAACTTTGGGATAGTCATCATTTTAACCATGTTATATTTACAGTCCCACAAATCTTGGATTACAGGACTAAATAAGTTAAAAAACTGGTTTCTATCTGACAGCTTTTGTGATTGTTAAGGACACAATGACTTAATCTTTTGTGCATGCACTATGGGGCTTACAGTTCTAGGTTATAGGTTAGGTTTCTTAAATAGCCGGTATCCAATGAAACTGCTCTATTAATATTGTACGAGAAACTAGTAATATTGGACTGTTACATTCATAGAGCATAGGTGTATAGAGTCTTAAGTTGTACATTTGTGTCAACAGGTAGGAAAAAGGTATTATCTCCAGGCATCAGGAATCAGCCAGGGTTCTGTTCTGTCTACCATCCTTTGTAACATGTACTATGGACACATGGAAAAGGAGTTGTTTCCCCTGTTGGAGGGAGAAGAGCTTCTGATGAGAATCGTTGATGATTCACTGTTTGTAACACCACACAAGAATCGGGCTGTGGACTTCCTCAATCTCATGTTTAAAGGTCAATATCTTTCCTTCTATACCTACATGTATATGTTATCTAAAAATGTTTAGATCTGCAATATCCTCCAAATAGTAATTTTGTATTGTTAAAAGGGATAGAGCAGTTTAAAGGCTGCTTCAATCATATAATATTTTTTGAAAATATGAATAGCTGAAGTCATAAGATAAGACTGTCAGGTGTGACATTGTTTATACAACTACATTTGTACATGTACTACAGGTAGCTGCAGGGAATCAGACATACTGAGTGATGAATGTGGTCAGCACAACAGTCACCATAATTAACAGTCACCATAACAGCCATTTTATAAAATTATAACGACTGCTGCAGTTTGTGACATCACACAACAGCTTCAGAGTCAGTTGAGTGATAATCTGAAGAAATGTAAATAATATTTTTATTTCCAGGAATACCAGATTACAATCTCCGTGTAAACACTGACAAAGTTCTGCTTAACTTTCCTCTGTCGCTGGATGACAGAGTTACCTTTCCTGTGACTCAAACAGGTAAGGATTTCACCCTGAACTGATCATTATATGATGCAAGCATTTTTGTGATTGAACTTTTAATTAATAAAAAGTAAAGAAATAATAATCAATAATAACTAACTCTTTCCTCACTTGAACTTGATATTCTGGACAGTGTTTTTGTCTGGTTGATACTTGGCAAGGTTTTAGTGACATCTCCTTCCCCTTTACTTTGTATACTGGACAACGTTTGAGAGTCACTCTTCCGACTGGTTAAATGATATAAGAGGCACATTTTCAATACACTTTTTCTCATAACCTTGAATACTAGAGGCACTGTTTGAAACACTCTTCGTAATCACCTAGCTCATGTAGCTTTTACACTTTACAAAATATCTTGTTATACCCCCCGCAACGAAGTTAGGGGGTATACTTGAATCAGGTCGTCCGTCCGTCCGTCTGTGGATGCAATGTAGTACCATGTACTCCTCCTAAACTACTGGATGGATTTCAATGATAAGAATCCTTGCAGCTTCATTGAAGATGTGCGTAAAGTACTTTGAATTGGGCTATTTCCTCTTTTCACGAAGTTATGGCCCTTTGTTCAATAAAAGCTTTTTTAGACCATGACATTGCACAGAAAATGCAAGAACCTTTTTATTTTTTATTCAATTCCTTCCAAATTTGGTATGGTAATACTAGAAGCAATAATATTTAACATACATGTATGTAACGTTTTTTTTGTGTTCAGGTTTCAACTTTCCGCGTTTTTGAAAGGTCAAAGGTCATGAATGAATTACATTACTGAAATGGCTAAATATCTCGGAAACGGAGGGTATTTTGTATACACATTCTGAGGTCGTGAGGTCAGAGGTCAAATGTCACGAATGAATTACATTACCAAAATGGCTAAATATCTTGGAAATAGTAGGTATTTGGTATACAAAGAGTATCGTAGCCAATTATGCAGGCTATATTATGACAAACTTCCAAGGTCATGAGGTCAAAGGTTAAAGGTCATAGATGCATTTTATTACTGAAATGTCTAATTATGGCAGAAACGGTAGGTATTTTGTATACACATACCTTGGAGTAAATGTAGCATTGATGCAAGCTACATTGTGACAAAATTCCAACATCATTGAGTCAAAGGTCACAGTAGTGGTGTTTGCCTTTTCCATCGGTCTGTCGATACAACCTCTGAGGTTAGACTTTTTCATGACCCTTGATCTTTCTATATATTTTTTCCGTTGTATATTAAGCTCCTACAGGGGCAACAAACACCTGGAATGCGGGGGGGGGGGGTATTAGTTAGCCCATAGGCGACAGTTCTAGTTTTTGACTGATGATAATATTAGGTGGTGCAGTGGAAAGCACATTTGCCTTTCACCAAGGCAGTGAATCATTCCCCAATCCGACTTGGAAGGTAAAGGGTCACCTGGCCGACCACATGGGTTTTCTCTCACTGGATTTTCTCCAAAATTATACCCCCAGCACCCTTACATCCACGCCAGCAAGATTGATTAATATAAGTTGAAATAACTTGTTTCATAATTTTTGTAAAATAGATAAAGTTAAATTTATATAAAATGCTGAATATATCCTTAATGGAAAGAACATTAAATTATAAGCAAGACCATGGAAAACACGTCGATCTTCAGTAAAAATATTTAGAATTTGATATTAAAAGACATCATTCTGAATATAAATCTGTGGAGTCCTATTTTATATATGAAAAATAGTTGACAAAGTTCATTCCTAGATTGTAAATTTATTCCATTAAGAAAAAATACAGAGCTATGAAATATTGCAATGCCAATAAGCTTAAAGTAACATGGTTGTAGATTGGTTTCCCTGGTGTGGGATGCTGTTTAATACTAAGACTCTCCAGGCCAGTATGGACTTCTCCAGATATGCTGGCATATGTGAGTCTTTTTTGTTTAATGAACCATGGCCATTGAAATGTAGATATCTCTCAAACTGCTTTTTGTTAACTGTTTTATTTCATATCCAAATGTATAAAACTAAATCTAAATGCTTTCAAAAGATTGTTATTCAAAATCTGACACCTGTTTCTATCAGTACATTTGGGTTTAATTGTGGTCAAATAGACCTCACAGCCAACAGGCACTTATAAATTTAGAGGTATATAGAGTATTTGACAGTCTTTAAAACACACATCTACTGTATTTAGGCATGCATACCTAGGTTTCAATCCCAGTATCAGGGGATTACAAAAATAGGATGAGTCTTTAGATAGTTATACAAGTACTACTGAACTTTAAATGAAAACAATGGATAAAAACTTTCACCAGTTTAAAAATAGAAATGTTCATGATCTTGAAATATAAATATTCACAATATATATATCCCATATATAATAGAGCTGTCATTTGAGAGAAGAAACGTCAGGAGAATATATTACTCTCCACAATGAGTATTTTGTTTGACCTATATGTGAACATTTTTAATTTGTAAAACACGTGATACCACATAGACAACCAGGAATTTGATGTTGCAATAAAAATAATAATGAAGTGTGTTTTTAAAAATATATGTTAAATGTAATTTTTTATTCCTGGCCCATGTAGGTGTTGCTGATACAATGAGTTTTGACCTTTCTCGTGATCCACTGATGACCTTGAAACACAAGCTCCTGAAGTATGTGTCCGTTTGACCTATGGCTCCAGCAATGAAAATACACAGAGAATATTATTTTTTGTAAAATACCATTATATTATATATTTCATAAGAGATGTAGGATATCAATAGTTTACAGGTATCATGCTCAACTTCTGTCATCTGAAGATAAACAATTTGATCTTATAATCACCCTGAGTACTTCATAGCAATTGATCAGGACACTATACTGTAAGTAATGTTATAACCCTCTTAGAGTCTGGAGACAGATTGATTGCTGACTGGTTTGTTAATAGTAGATAATTGCTTTTAATCTCTTGCAGTGCATTGAAGCCTAAGAGCCATGTTATCTACATGGATACTGAAGTAAGTATATATTTATATCAGTAATTATGACGGTTACACTCCACTTAAACAAATATTTAGTGTGAATTAATATGTTCTAAGTGAGTGATACTCTTTTCTGTGTGACCTACTCTTTTCTGTGTGACACACATCTTGGTATACACAGTTTGTTTGTGTTTTACGTCCTATGGTCATGTAAGGACGTGCCAGGTTTGTGGTGGAGGAAAGACGGCGTTCCCAGAGAAAAACCACCGACCTGCGGTCAGTACCTAGCAACTGCCCCACGTAGGCCTCGAACCCACAACACAGTGATGGAGGGCTAGTGGTAGCAGAGTTAGACACCTAAATAATAACCACTTGGCCACCGCGGCCCCTGGTACACGCAGAATAAAATCTGTATGATACTACCATATTTTGTTGATGATTTTGTGACCAGTGTCAACAAAAGGAAACAAAGTCACATTTAGATTTGGAAAGAAGAACTAATAGATACAATTATGAATATGTTTTAATACCGTTTCATGTAATATTTCAAAATCTATCTAAACCTTAGTGAAATACTTCATTGGAGTCAATGTTAATACTAGCAAGTCATACTAAGCTGTCTTACTTTTGTTGATTGTAAATTGGTATATTTTGTGATACAAATTTTGTAATTGTGTTTAAAACGACGTAATAAAAAGGGAGTTAAATTATGAGAAAAACAATCATAGTAGTTTATCCTTTGTTCGATTGAAAATTTGTATTCTGTTAAAAACAATGCAGTTAAAAGTAATTACACTAAAAGCTTGCTTATCTATACAAAATAGACATTGAAATCGTGTTAAACTGCTTACAGTTTCTCATTTTCTGAAATTTTAGTGATACATGTATTATGAATTAGGCAGATATATGAAGATATTTCTAAGAAAAAGGAAATGCTTCAAAATGGACAGTGAAACATGTTCGGTAAAACGCGATATGACCAGGAATTAGTAATTTAGTGTATTTAAATGTTTCTATAACCATGCACAATTATGTATCTTCTAAGATACAACTTGATGAACAAAATGCCTAGTAATTGTTGCTAATTGTTTCATGAAATAACACAAACTATGCTACAAAAGTAACATAGCCCTTCAAATGAACTGAATTTCACTTTCCAGCTGAACACGACAGAAATAGTTGTGACCAATATCTTCAAGATTTTCGTTCTGAATGCGATGAAATTCCACAGCTACCAGAGACGTCTTCCTCATAAGCTGCACCTCACATATCAGAAGAAATTCTTCATAGGTACAGAATCACTCTCATCTTAATATTACATACACATCCCATTCTTGTTTTAGGTGACAGCTCTGCCTTCTCTGAAGGAGTGTTTATGACAAAGTCTTGTCAGCATAAAGACACTGTTCATGTCGGATCGTCCTGAAGACATTTATTTTATCATACATTTAATATTATTATTGACAAGGAGTGTGAGTTGAGAGCCAATTGATTACCAGAGCAGTAATATAATGTAGTAAAAGGACGGCTATCTTAGATTGTAGTGATCTTCAAAATGGTGGGGACTGTTTTGTCAAAAAGTAAATTGATCAATAATATTTGTGCCCTGTTTGCAAAAGTTCATGTTGATAATATTTTTAAATGATTGAACTAATGTGGTTTGCAGTGTACTATAAAATAAGATTTGAAACTGTACTGTTCCTCACCACAAATAATGATAAAGCTTCAACATCTGTTTTATGTTAAATGTTTTTCAGTTATTGTAGATTATTTATTTTCGTAAAAGTTTAATTCACAAACCAATTTCTTTTGCAAGAGCTTCTATTTGTGTGTTTCACTCAGTGTGTGTACATGTATGTATACAATTGTTTGTATGATACTCTCATTTGCTATCAACAGTTAATGAGAGCTTTCTTTAAAATGACCATCAAACAAAGTATAAGCTTTCTTAGATTTGTATATGTTCATGGTTAACTGCTGCAGTAAAGTGAAACCTTTGTATATGATCATACACAGCCAGTGTAACTGTAGTTTACTATATAACCCTGCTTGTGAATTAGACACTTTTAAAATTTAATTTATTGGTTGATCATATTTTTTTTAAAGGTTTTGAAGACAACTAAAACAAATTAATTTATTTTTTCTTGATTATTACAGAGTTACTCATAGATCTTGGGAGCTATTTCTATCATCAGACTCGCACCTGTCTCACCAAGAAGGTAATAAGATATACAGACAATTAATAACACATCTGTCTAACTGAGAAGTTAAAGACAATGACACATCAAAAATATGCACTATAGACATATAACACCTATATCATCCTATATATACAAATTGTGGTTTTTGACAAAAAAATTAACTATATACTCAGATTGCCACATATCTCAGAAAAAAACAAACATCTACTCGAATACACACGTGTTACGTCAAAATGTTTAATTTAATGTTTCTAACAGAATAGGCTTCCTCACTATAATAACTCATCGTACAACCATCAGCTGCCTCTGTCAAGCATTTCCGTGCAATTAAGGATCATGATGCCACTACCAAAAATTGTAACCAAGTATTTTATACTGTTTTTAGATCATATCTGAAAAGAAAGCCTTGTTGGACTTTCATGAAAAACAAAACACATAAAGTGACAACATATAATCAACTCCAGTGCTCTGATTGTAAAAATTCAGTGGGCTAGACCAGGATTCGAATCTTGGACTTCAGACTGTTATACTATCGCTCAAATCAATTGAGCTACCTGGAATTCTGATCTAAATGTACTACATGTGCAGTTATGTGCAAATAGAAGTGAAGGGGGATTACTCTATATAGGACTAACCACAGTGCAGTGTGACAGGGATCCTATAGTGTGTTACCTTACCCAAACTTAGATGAGAAGCCTCCCTGATGTTGTGAGTAGTATGACTGAGGACTGTTTTTATTGTGTTCTTATAGGGTTCATTACCTGGTGTTTTCAACATACACAAGGATGTGGTACTGTGGTATGTAAATGATCTTACCTTCTGCTTATAAATTCATTAAAAACTAATGCTTGTACAATTGTTTCTCTTTAGTTGTAAGTTAAGTGTTAATTAAATAGGTCAATTTAAACTTCAAATATCTTGTAAATATTTGTCCTGACACCTTTTGAGATGAATTGTTCCTTATGCACTTTCAACTCGTCTGAAATCTGAAACTTAATTGCTGAATAAAATGTTTGTGCAATTAAGTACGTGGGTTTTTTTAATGGATAGTCCAACATAATGTCTCAAAATAAAATTATTGGTGTTCTGTTATTGGATTTTCTCGACTGTCTTTGACTATTTTAAGTTCCTTGGAAAAAAGTATCAGTTGTTAGATATGTACTTTAAAATTCAGCTCTCCTGTACGTGTGAAAATCGGTGGAAAAACAAGGTGTCTTGAAAATGTAATCTTTTAAGTCAAAGGGATCACTGACTTTTTTTCAGGTTATGTTTTAAGGGCTTTTCTGTCGTTCTGCAAAAGAATGGAAATGGATGGCAATACAAGGACTTCAGGAGAGCACTCAATCAGGAGCATAGGATCATCAATTCCAGACTTGAATTACAGGTAAGGCTGATACTGAGAGCCTCTCTTTGGTTTTCAGTGATCTACACTTTCATATTTGTGTGTCCAAGTTGGTCAGATGCCATTCTATACCCTACCAACATGGGATTGGCCAGCCATTTTCAAATCACAGAACAAGTGAAGGGAGGAAATTATGTTATTGTCTTCTTTGAATATGAAGAATATGCAATACACAGTTTATTTTTGGGACTTAACAAATGTGTTAATAATATATATTTCAAACTGTCTTAACATTGAATGAGATTTTGACCATTTCCAACTCTGTCGGTACATTGTTCTTAAGTTTTATATTCTGGTTATATGTTGGGCATGATTGGAAGTTTTTCAATTGTGTGATTAACTGTCAGAATCAGAAGTTATGGATCAGTAATCAAGTAAACTTATATGGGCCATATTGTAGATTGGATTGGATGACATAGAAAACACCCCGATTCAGTTTAGGTGGATAGTGATATATGTTTTACTTTGTATTTCGTCTTAGTGAAAAGTGATTTCACGATTCCACTTCACCATCAGACTTTGCTATTCAAGTTATCTCATAGAGATGATTGATTTGACTAAATCAGATTTTAATGACAAGTCAGCATTATTTTCATAAAGAGAAATTTGATGCTTGCATGTTAATTTTAACATGTGAAATGTATGAAAATAAAAATTATCACAAATTGAATGATCTAATATTTGTACATGTATATTTTGTGTATAGGTTAATATGATTTGATCTAAATTGAAATATGAAGTTGTGACTACTATCTTATTTTCTTTTAATAGGAGAAAGGACTATCTGATGTACTACTGAAGGTTTGTGGTGAACAGGTGCCTGATGAATTCATGGATCTCATTCCTTGAGCAGTCGACATGGGTCCCTGTGTCACTTGGATATGTTTCAAAGTGTGTTTGATTAACAGAAAGAAAATCTGTTCCACAAATCATTCATAGTAGAATAAGTGACATGAGATATTGGACAAAGCTTTATCTACAGGATTGTAAAACGTGAATCAAGCAGGTGTCTGCTATAAGCATCATTCACTCATCAGCAGACTTGTGTCCAGTGAGTATTAGAGAATGCCCCATTACACAGGATATGACGGGAAATATTTGGTATAGCCCTTGGTAATACTGTGCAATGGAAAATATTGAACGAGATGTATATTTGGAACTTAGTAAGAGTACTTTTCACTCTTTTAGTTTTAATTGATTCAAAGTCATTAAATCATCTTGTTTAGATACTATCACGTAAATTAATTGATATAAATGTGTAATTATATAGACATTTGAAAGTAATTAAAAATCACTGGATTTAAGTGGTTTTCGTCCGTGAAGGCATATGTAAAGAAGCTCGTCGTACATTAGCTTGTAGACTGTGAAATCCCTGATTTTTATGGTATTTTTTAGCATGTTATATGGAAAGAGAAAAGAGGGCACTTTTAATTGATATTGTACAGGGTTTAATGCTAAAGTAACGATTAAGATTTGCATTACTGGCCCAAGAAAACATAAGTGTGGGTGGTAAGGGATAGAAAAAGAAGTATCTCCCCTAATAATATATTTATTTCAACATATTTCATTGACATTGATGGCATATTGTCAAAGAGATTAGACAACATGCATAAATATAACCCGGGGATAACCCTGATAGACCATGGATGAAATCCCTGCGATAATGTTTGCCTCTGTGTTTTATGTATCAGTTTCATTTGTAATGGTTGTGTTCCGTTGTTACATGCGTTAATGTTAGCTATAGGACATTCTCGGAAATATTGTGTTTTTCTTACGGTAGTATTGATATAGTCCGATCTAAAAAACATGTCATGTTAACTATTGCATTTACTTTCATGTCTACTCGCATGTCCATAGCTAGGTGTATGAAGCTCAGTATACACTCATCGAGACGTCACGACTATCATAATGTAACTTTGGTTATCACTTTTTTATGAGCTAAACTTCGTATGTTCCGTACATAAAAATCGACTCGCCCAATCCGGTAGCCGGAGGTCAACACGGGTGGTCGTTATGGGTACACGTATGCATTGGTCAGTTCATGGATATTTTGAAACAAGGGATTTGATGTAATAATGAAACTGATGTAAATTTGCCTAATTGTTTTTTTCTCGCCGCCACGAAGTGGAAGCGGGACTATAAGGTGTGGCTTTTCCGGCGACGGCATCAACATTAAGATTTTGCGTTTAAGTTTGTTTCTCGAAAAGAATAAGTGCTAGACCAACCAACCTTGGACCATAGATGCATATTAGCTAGTACATCACAACCCATGCATCAAATGCTGGGTGCGGTCTACCTTTCATGGTCCATTGACTTTGTCAGCATCTCCATCAACATTAAGTTTTTGTGTTTAAGTTAGTTTCTCTGATACATTGTACGTGCATTGATGGTAAAAGCGGGGCATAGTTGCGACATATCAATCCGAATGGCTTGTATATTATAGTGTATGAATGTATATATGTGTACATTTTAGATACTATTGAATCTACTAGAATCCAATACCTTGTGGAGCCTATATCTTCGGTCTCTGTACTTGAAGGCGAAACAAGTATTTCCCAAAGCTTTATGCCAGGAAACTTATTTGATTTTAGAATATGTAACTTGTTACAGAATTGAATGTCGTCGTCCGCACATCACACTTCTGATGTATGACGTTTTTTCTCGTCATTAGTATGTTGACGATTTTGAAATGTTGTATTTAGTTGACAATGAAATTGAATTTGGTTGCAGTCGGTTTGATCTTAAATAGTAGACTGGTATGTCTGAGAAACAGCGCTGATTGGCTTGCTAAGTTATTGGTAATCTGGATGTCTATATATTTGTTCTAACATATCTAGTCAGATGAAGGCATTTATTAACTGGATCTTGTTTGTTTTGAACCTGATTAACGTTACGACAATATAATGTTTTTTTCTTAAATACATGTATATTGAAATATGCCACACTTAAAACTGAATATGTATCTATACAGATTCAAAGTACTCGTCTACAGAGAGTAATCATGTAAAGAAAGTAAATTGTCAGGTGTTCAGCATCCTCGATATCAAGGGGTTACGCGCACTCTTGCTCTTTTCACCCACGAATATGTCATAGCAAAATTGAAGGCTCAGTGTGCGCCACCTTGTTGATGAGACAAGAATACTAGTTCGATACTTTGATGTACATCAAAAGAATCTCGCGGTCACGTAATGGTAAAAATTGACAGGCTTTGAAGTCGGGCGTCTCTCCTTTGTAATCTTCAAAGGACAGGACTCAGCCTAGCGATTGGTCAGGTTTTTTTATCGGACACCAATCAAACAGCTATCTTCGTGCCTTCAATTTTGCTACCCCACAAGGTTAGCGCGGGTAAAGGAGGGAGGCCAACAGTGCTATATGGACCTATTAGTTAGGTAGGAATAACGGGATAAGCGAATAATGAACTAAAATCAATATCGGTTTATCTGACACAGCCAATAAGAGTAATATAACACCCTATCCAAGCAATTACAATCTATAATAAGATAAAACATATGGCAACATGATCTTATACACATAAAAGTAAATACAACAACAACCAAGTATCCTCCAACTACCTATCCATCCCCCTCCCACAAATCGTCCCCAACACTAACCCGGTCCATACAACTAACATCTGAATAAGCCCATACATCAATCAGCACATTTCTAACACCCAGCACCTCTTTCAAACCTACAACCCCCCTCACCCCCCCAACTCCCATCCATTCTATATCCAAATCCTAGCACTAAATCTCCCCCCTCCCCTCCCCACGTGTTTCATCTTTTCCCATACTAATAATCACACTATACACTAAAAACTAGAAATGTCGGAACGAGGAGCAGAATTAAGTGAAAGACAAGTCGAGGTATCTAAGAAAGATGACATTGGTATAAGTTCAGTCAAGTATATAATCAGTGAAGAATGATGAAGAAAGGAATTCAAGGAACGGACACCAAAAAAACAACAACAACTCAGCACATGCATGACACTAATCACTAACAACCAGTCCGTCGGATGGGACTATAAATGGTGGCCCGTGTGAGAACTGTCCAATTTCGCACGGAAAAAATCCCTCTGGGTTTTTCGAATAAGAGCAGGCGCGTACACGCCGACTCAGAGGATAGGAAAAATTTATTCAAATTTTAAAGGTAGGGTCTCTTTATTAAGATATTTAGAAGGACTTCCAAATTTTATACATAAACCAAATTCTTAAACTTAGGCGGGGCTGATGGGGCTGACGGCGGCACAGTACCTCACTTCCGGTCCAGAATTGGTGATGCTTCACAATGAGTGTTAGGTTAAGGCATTATAAGGCATAAGAGTCGTCTCACAAAAACTAGACAGTTAATATATATAGGATAGACGGCTCTTTATCTAATCTATCCCCCTCTTCTACTCTTTACTCCACACTTTATCCCTTCTACTCTTTTTCCTTTCTGTTCTTCGTCTGCTGGATAACCGATACATCCGGTAGTGAAGCGGACGTAAAACCTATCAATCAATCAATCAATCAATCAATCAGAGCGAAAGTGAGCGTAACCCCTGGATATCGAGGATGGGTGTTCAGCTGATCAGGTTTTGAACTTGGAACCCTAACTTTCTGTATTGAAGTATCTTTTTGTATTAAAACAATATTACTTAAATTGTCTCGTTTCTTAAAAAAAACCCATTAAAAATAGATCTGATTTGTGTTTTGTTGTTTCTGCTGTTTAACACAATAAACACTAATTTAATTTGCAACGGCAAATGAGTTAGTGGTTAGGTTTAAAGTAGTATACGGAAATACAGCATATTTTTATTTCGGTTATTTCACATTCATAAATACATCAAGAGGAACGTCTTTGAATACACATGAGCATGAACATTGGGTTCTGTCCAATACAGAACGACTTGGTCGGTCATCAGCCACTGTGTCGCCGTGCCCTGAACTCGTAGGGCCGTTTCTACAAAGTAATCCATAGGGATTGTTGTCGCTCCAACCTCTTCAACTGGGAAAATAAAGATTTACAACATCACTTTAATCAATATAATTCGATAAAAATCTTAAGGATTGTACATAATTGGAATTTTATATATGTATTTTGCAAAGATTATGAAATAAGTAATATTTAAGATAAACGTAGCAAACATAAACACACGCACGATATTACAGCTATAAAATTTGGTAATAGAGTCATAGGCCAAAATTAATTGATAGCACTGCATTATACATCAGTTTAGTAATTCTACGAATAACCGGTTATGCTGGAGGGTCAAACAGTTGGAAATCCAAATAAGTGTAAACTACTGTTAAACAGGGAAGGAGGGGATGGTGGGTTGTGTAAAAAATCCTTATTTATACGAATTTCAAATACATATAAAAAACACGCACTTGATTTCACATATAGAGTTTGGTAATACATGTAGATAAAAGCAGTTGGCAAAAATAAAACATTTTGGATCGTCGGTCCTAGCGAGCTGACATAAACATTAGACATCGTGCGAATTGAGTCATCTACATTAATTTTTATATAATTGTGTCAATTATTTACACCACCACAAAACAAATGTTAACACTAGAAAAGCATTGTAAACAAAGGGAATCGTACCTTCGTACATACGGCCGACCAGCGTTTGGTGGTATTGTTTGTTGTCCCTGGAAACTCTTATAAATCAGAATTCCATTGTTCTGTTGACGTCTAATTTTCTTTGGTATTATCTGTCAACACAAACTTGTATTTGCAAGGGATTTTATTTAGTCATGAACGATGCTCCTAAAATTTTTCCTTCAAATGCAGCTGAAATTGTGTTAATACTGCATTTGTTTTAAAACAAATGTAAGTCAAATGGGCAGGTAATATGTTACTTGTGCAATGTTAGAAGATACAAATACTGTATGTGTTGAATTGTCACCGAAGTAAAACTATGGATGTTTCACATGGCAGTGTAATTTCTAATTGCAAACGTGTCAACTTTTAAGGGTTCTAGTAGTCCGTATTATTCTGACGTTTTATCGACTTTTTTATATCGGTCTGGCGTCGTTAATCGTCGCCAGACCGATATAAAAAAAGTCGATAAAACGTCAGAATAATTCGGACTAGGGTGCTAGCTACGTAAAACATGCGTCTATCTATCTTTAGAATGTCTTCTTTTTATTCAACGTTCACAATGTTAGAAGGATAAATAGTTTAAAATACTTGTAATCAAAAGCAAACACCCAATCATACCCACCAAAGTTATTGTTTTCGATAACTGTAAATAACAAAGTATACATGAAAAAGGAAAACAAAACATGCGGAATATTGTGTATTGCTGTATGATTTGGGGCCTATCAGATAGGATGACATTGCGTATCATTTAAACCATAAATATTCAACAGAACATTTGCAGAAAGTACTGTACATTTCAAACAAAATGGCAACATTATTACAGATTACTGTTTTAAGTTAATTGTAAATCACTTGCCTGCATTTTCATTTTTGTATCACTTACCTGTATTTATCATGTACTGGCTCTACCGTGTAAAAAAAACGCCGATGTCCATTTTATCAAACAATGAATACTATTATTGTTTATGTTGCTTATACTGAATTTTTCTGCAATACATGTACATGTATATGATATTAACAAACATAACAACAAGTAATGTGATCAGAAAGCATATGTATATATGCTTCATGAATGTATCGTGGCAGCGAACATTAATACACAGCTTACCATATCAAGTATGTTCAGGTGAAGGATTCTCGGTACACAGTATTATCATCTACATACTACTTATACCACCTACCGATAGCGTGATACATTCATTATCATTGGTTGTCAGTATGAGAAGAAGTTGAGAACAACTTGAGATCGAATTTTCCCATTCCCCAGCACTTGGGAACGTATTTTCTGAAAAAAGAACGTCTGCTCGCGCCAGATGACGTCCGAAACCGGAAATAGTGTCCACAAAAGTGATCCTCGTAAGAATTAGTCCGTCATAAACATATCTATACAAAGCTAAACAATCCTATCGTCATTGGCTTTTCCGTATGCACATTTAAGTTTCATGTATTCCTCCGCGTACAGACAATCGTTTACCATTTAGCTTTTAGTCATTTGGAAAACATGGTGTTTAGTTGATTTTTCAAATGGAGAAATATAAAAGGTAATAGTATGTAGATGCTAAATAGTTTATCATAAGTATTTTCAGTGTTAGTCGTTCGAACAATTTTCTAGCTCATCTGTCGCACGTAGATAAAATCTCGAGTCCACCTGCGGTGGCCTCTCGATTTTATCCACGTGCTCGCGATGAGAAAATTGTTCTCACGACAAACCTTGAAAATACAATGTGATAATCTATATTAATTTACACTCTTCAGTATGAAAACCAACCATAGAAATGGTAGTTCCATATGGGGTCCGGATATAAGTTGTATAATTTTATATACATTGTAAAATCACATCAATTGAACACAATTTTTTCAACGGTACAAGTTATACAAACTTTATCTATGATGTCGTGGTAACGCATCTTTACGAATTATCTTGAGTTTGATGTAGTCAGATCTCACAAAATATCATTGAAATTAACCAAACCAAGACTGCTTATCTACCGAATGGATTGGATTTATATTTATATAACTTACACGTCTCATTCTTCAATCCAAATATAGAGGTGTTCGATTGTCTGCCATCACAGTCGACGTGACCTTGGGCGATAAAGGTAGTCAGTTAGCATACTTACAGTTTGAATTGTATGCATAATGGACCAAAAAATTGAAAACAAACGAAGATTGCATACATATTGTAGTTTTTAGAGGATATATACATACTTATTTTTCTATTCACCGCCCGGATTTAAATATATTTTAGATATGCCCTCAAAAAGCATTGTCACCTGTCAGTGAAATCCATTGGTCCAATGATATGGAAACGTCACAACTGGAGCAGTTGTCGTCACTCTTCGCTTGGCCATCAACAATACACTCTCCATTTATGAGACAATAACCTACGAATATGGTACAATGCATCGATCATATATAAAGATGTATCCTTCAAACATACTAGAACTTCCTCATGTATTTGGCAGTCTTCATATACATTTTTTTTAATTCATAGACAGAATCATACATATATATTTTACATAATAATATAAACACACACATGTACGCCTACACACATACACACACACAAACAAACACACAATACACAACCATAGTATGTATAACGTTATGTAACTTACATTACGGTACTATATTTGAATAGGAACAATATTTGAATATGCTCTTCATTTACAAGTATTTGCAAAACTCTACTTTGTGATTAAACTGATAAATTTACCATGCAATTTATACGATGCAGCATAACCTTGTACATGGTAATATGACCCATAGGAATTTATTGCACAATCCGTTACCTCTCAAACGTAGTAGCAAGTATATCATACCAATCACCAGTCATTAGGACTCAACATTTCCGACTGGAAATATTAGTAATGATAGTTGAAACAATCACACGAGCTATCTGTATCTGTCGGTCTGTTTTATTGGGTTGTATGTTGTCAAAGTGAAGAAGAAGAGACCTATCTTGTAGCAATCCCAATATCAGAATGAATGCTCACACAAGACTGGACTCTGCACTTATAAATGCAATAGCAAACAGTTACTAAGCAAAAATCCTCTCTAATGAAACTTATTTAGGTATCATCAAACATGTTGCTCTGGGTATATATGTTATTTTACCGCCACTTAGTGCAATTGCCATATCTGAATTTATCCATAAAATCTTGAAAATCTATATCTAGGGTATTTCCCTAGACTTTCACTTTACGATATCTATGGCTTGTTTTCAAAGAGTAGGCTATATAATATATATTACGCAAAACATTTTTTCGGGCAATACCCAATTATTAAGACCGAACTTCAACGAACAATGTAATATTACATTATAACAGATTAATTTAATAAAAATACAGTAACAAGTTTGTTTTATATATCTAATTTAGTACCTGGATTTCTACTCCACTGAAATCTTAATCGAGGATCAGCAGCTTGGCATACATGGCATAAATCCGATGGATGTGTATTTCCCTCTGGTATGCATACTCCGTCGATAAAGCAAAAGTTAACCTGAAAAAAATGTGTTACATACATGTATAAGTGATTACTGTCTAAAAAGGACGACCAAGAATGCGAGAAAATGGTCTTATAATGTGGATAACATGAACTAAATGCATGCAGGTATACTTTATAAGTATAAGCATTTGGTCTTATAGGCATGTGTTACTGTAAGCATAAAACAAAACTGCCACAACGGACTATCTGATGCCAAACACTATACATTACAGACCTGCATATACAATACCTAATGGGTAGCTTGCTTTCTAATTTTCGTAATTTTCGCAACAAAACTGAAACAAGTTAAAAAAAAGGGATGGTAAAATGCAAATGTTTATGGAATAATTTTGACTGTCTGTTCGCTTTTTATTTGCACTATTAGAACACTGTTTTAACAGTAATGATTTCAATTAATCAGTACAGTATTTGCTATTTTCACCAGACCTGTGAAACCGTCATTTGTTCCATTGCAAATGGCTGACCGTTCATAAAAGTGTCAATAAAAAAGCATCTTCAAGATCTAATATATTTAAACCTTGTATCATTCAGTGTCACAGGTTAAAATGCAGATGGATATAAAGCTAACGAATATATCACATACTTCCATCTCTACTGACAGCGTGCCATTTTGGACAACATTCTGACAAATGCCGTCGTAAACAATAAGATCCGAGACGTTTCCGAAATGCTGACCGTCATTGCTGACCCCAACTGACCATCTGTAGGCAAACCGATTCTTATCTTGATGGCTCAATGCGTACGGAGTCGGACAAAATACCTCCACAAGTGTGTTGAATTGCGCGTGAGATGTCCATTGCAGGAAATTTGTCTCTGTGCCGTTACTATGAATCTAAAAGTAAAATAGGCAAAAGATACAACAAAGCGTCAGCAAGCACAGACATAATCGAATGTTGACCTATTGCATAAAGACAGCAAAAGGAACCGAGTGACGTACAACGTAAGTAAAGACATCCAATGCCCAGTCAGAAACCATCTTTAATAACACCAGGTGCCTGACACAGTTATCTTTTCTAGCCGCACTCGTGGTACCATTCAAGAAACATCGAAACTAGTTTTGTTGATACAATGTAGTAACATTAGCATCTATTTTGTAAAATTACATCAATATAGAGTAGTTCGTTCGAAATGCATTGGAATTTCATCGCACCGCATTACAAGCATTTGTTGATTTATGACCTAAATTAGTGTGAAGAGTGGCTTAGAGAACTTCCTTTAATCTTTATTATCTATTATTGATAAAACGATTGACCTTCAACACAAATACCATTTTTGGTTTTCGATTTTCAAATATGTTTTTGTTGGAGCAAAATGAAATAAAATAAAATGGCTATTATATAATTCCTATGTAGGATGAGATGTCTATATAAGGTATAGTATTCACCTGATATAAGGTATTATGACACGTGAGACTACTGGTATCGATAAACGTCTCTCCTTCCACAATGGCCGTCTGGCATACGTTAAGGTCACACGTGTTGTTGGTGTCGAGGTTAACACCATATATGTGAGGAGGTTTGCGGATGTCTACGGAACAATCAGCGGCTCCGAAATACGTACTACACACACAGGTACCTACAAATATCCACCAGATGAATGCGGATGATACTGCCCGATTTACACTGATGAGCGTTTTATTAGAAACTCGGAAACATTTTGTTTTAACAGGTGTGAGATGCATACCAATTAACAAAGCATTCGATGCAGTAATTTGAGCACTTGTATATTAGCCGGCAGTATATTCAGATATACAAATAAATATTATACATGTCAAAAAAATACTGATCATTTTCAACTACATACCGGTACAAAATGTATCACTTACCATTGTCACACTGACCATGTCCATCACATTCGTTAGGACACGTGATCTCTTTAATTTGCCTAGCAATGGACGGTTGGTCATCCGAGTCCTCTTCCTGGTACGTGGTGTTCTGTTTCAGTTCCTTCAGACAGACGGATTTCATGGATTCCCTAGCGGAGGTAGCCCACATCGTTGTCTGGGTGGCCTACACATTTTACACTGTATTAGTACTACTTATCACACGGCATTACATTATAACAATAAACAAACATACTGTTATACTGTACAGTGATTGTTGACCTTTTCGGATCAAAAGATATTTAGACACTTACAACGCCTATGTCTAGGAGCGAAGACCAGGCCACGATCACTCATTTCCCAAACAATAGAAAAAGTCTTTTTTATGTCAATGTAAAATATAAGATATGATTTATTATGAAATGGTTCAGATTTCCAATAATTAATGAGCCTAGGACAAAACAACAATTTCCTTAAATATATTTTCAAAAATAAAAGAACGTACAATATAATGACACAAAGATAAATACAAAGATATTTGTTAAAGTGACAATTCAGTGAAGTAAGATATTTTATATAACCCTGTCTAAAAATTCTTAATGATTATATAGTTGTGTTCTCCTTATGAACAATTAATGTCGAGAAATTGACAAGAGACTACGTTTTCTTGGCGGTTTTAATCAATAACGGAGAAAGCCTTAACTGTACATCCGTACGTTTTAGCGGCAGTTGTCGGTGAATTTCCAGCGTACAAAAGTGTCTTTCCAGCCGAGGAGAGAAGATAACTTCTCGCTTTATTCACCTAGCCTCTCTGAATACAAGTGCATGGACCTATTCTGAATCAAAATCATCTTCTTACAGCATCTCAAACATCGGTATAAATGAGTGATATATTTTACGTTAAAGCCTATTGATATCGTACTTTCTTCGGATTGAAAATCTCCTTGCGGCAGCCCCTCTCTGGGTGCACGCTATAATTGAACCTGTTCGTTTTTATTCAAATCCAAATGTGAACAGAAATATCTGATTATAGGTTTATATTATGACAATTATGATTCTTACTTATAATGAAAATATCAACTTTTCCTCTGAGGTTTTTTGACGAAAACGAACCAGTCAGCGAGATTAAGGAAACCTCATATTTGCAAACAGTTTGCACAGAAAGCAAAATCTCATCTTTTTAAATTTTACGGTAAATAATTGTAAAAATTCAATTTCAACACGTCGCCTTTCCCGCATTGCGCCATCGGACGTTTACCGAATTCGTGACGTCACGTCATTGTTGACCCGTTGTCACACCCCTATCTTACACACACGGAAATTTGAAAAAGTTTGATTGCTTTGAATTACCAGGAAAAGGACAAAGATTCAGAATACATTTGAGATGCATAGCGATGGTACATTTGGCATGGATATGCTGAATGTAATATGTATATGTGCTATATTAACAATTTCTTTTGGAAAAGAACATATTTGAAGTACAGCAAAGCAACCAACCATAATATCAAGGACACATGTATCGATGGCATTGCCTGGGTCTGTTGCCGGAACTTGTTTGGCGCATGCATCAAATGATGTCGAGTCTCTGAGGTATTTTTCACAGTAGTCTGTGGCTTTGGTCATGTTCCATATCTGCTGTTGGGGACCCACCTATAAACGATTAAGGTATTTTCAATTGCTTACTAATTGTTTCGTACTATAAATATGTATCCGTTTTGAATCGCTTTTTCAAAATATAAACAAAACCTTAATGCAAATATGGGACCTCATTAGGCTATCACAAGGTTTTCGCGTACATTTACCTTGCAACTTTTCCGTGATGTCATGACATTACAAAATGACAGCTAAGATACTTTTTCGAGATATGAGGAAGAGCAAATTGATAAGTTTAATAAACCTGACTAAAACTACGGATGGTGGATAAGAAGGCCTCTGTTCTATTTTGGCTTATTGTGTCAATGATATGCTATCGGTTTTCAAAATACACAAAAGGCCCAATAGAAGGCATAAAGTTGCACCCATCCATTGTCGATAAAAGTGCATGAGTTATCTAAATAACGCACGTTTTATGATTCTATGATATAGGTCTGAAATTGTCTGTACCTACCAAAACAGGCGGGGTAGTATTAGGCATCAGAGAGATTGGGAGAAATGACCTAGACTTCCTGACCCTACATCCCTTCTGTTTAACCACGGGTGATTCGTCATCCCTGACACACGTCGCTATAGCACCAGGCGTACAGGAAATATTGCGTGACGGTCCGTTACACGTGCAAAACTGTGCATTATCTGTCTTATTCCACGTCGCCAATTTCTCGAGAGCGTCAGCAGACATTGTAATAAGGTTTTCTCCGTCGGTTACACTACGAAATAAAATGGTTTTGACGTCATATATATTGTAAACACATGATTCCACTTTGTCACTAGGGGCAAGTTCCATCAATTTAAGATTAAATAGACAGAATAATGCTATTATGCAAATGTAATGCAAGATTCATAATGTATTGTCAAGACAACGGCCCGTGTGCGACTACATCTGTTTGCGGATTGCAACTACATGCATATTGAGTGTCGTTAAACTTCTATGTGTATTAAGTCGACGTTCCATTTCTGTAAATGAATGAGAAAAAATACACCATATAGGAACCACATGACATCAAAATGAACAGAGAGAAAAGGGAAAATAACAGAAAACAAAATGAAACGAATGAAAGGAGCCAATGGACATGAAAAGAGAAAAGACAGAATTAATAACCAAAATATATCAAAAATAAAAGTGAAAGCATCATGAATTTCTGCAAAAATACTGTATGCAAAAACATTTACATCAGAATGGTAACAATTTCCTTGACTACACGTTGCATCCGTTATGATAGTTTCGTCAAATTCAGTAGCATTAAAGTCAAGATAAAGGAAGACGTCATTATTCACGGTAGACCATAACATATTTGACAGAAGAGATCCGGGCAATATGGCGACACAAATATATATTTGGTACATGGGCATCGAAACAATATGGCGACCAAAGTATTAAAATTTATATTGAATCCTTTCTGGTAGGTAGAAACTTTTAATCTCAAGTTGACACAGTTGAAGTTTGCTTTCGACACATTTTGCTCATTAGGTGTTAAAATGCACACAATAACGGACTCGTTAGGTAGCATAAGTAGTGAAGGTTTTTCATTCTGTGTTAAAGCACATATACTGATTGTAGCAATGGGTGTTGAGTTAACTCTTCCTCTACATATTACCATACGGTGGTTCAATCGTTCTCTCCATGAATAAATAGCGAATGTTGCAGAAATATGGAATACGTAAGCTTTTTCTATCAAGAAACGAGTTAAGGATAGGTTGATAAGCCTGAAATACACAAGAAAATCATCAAAATAAGATATTTATCAGAAATTACATAGAAAATGTGTATCCTATCGATACGTTTTACCTCCATGATCTTGAGAAAATATTATTATCTCCTGTAATTTGTCCATCCGGCTCGGCAAAATCGTCGTCCGTTTGTCCATTTAGCGTCCCACAAAGCCCTCGAGTGTGAAACGTGTCGGCAGCGGATGGATACATGTGCAGGTCCATGACGTCCTTCCCAGTGTAATGCATAAGCTTGGTACTAAGGTAAGTTCCACTCGGCAGGTATATCTAGGATTGGATATAAATACTTTTTATTTCCGAAAGGTTCCTTTTGTAATGAAAGTATAGAAGCTACAATACACCATTTCGTAAGCTCTTAACGCAATAACATATAGACATATTCCAGTAAATGGCAACTGTCGCATGTATAAATACGAAGGAGGGATAGCACGAACTAAATGTAGGTGATTTGATTATAATGTATATACAACACTAATGTTTATGTGTTTTATTTTTTTAAATACGTACATGCTATTTCAATATTATGGTAATTACCCGTAGGGCTTTACTTATAGACGATTTAAATAATAGGGGGAAAATCTCTCGCGAAGATAGAGTAATTTCCAATATCTAAATGTCAATGTTATCATTTGGCCGCATTAGCACATATACAGATATATTTGGAAATGCAAAAATGATATAAATGCGATTATTATAAGGTATTAAACAAGAGTTGAGTTATTATTATTTACTTTGTAGAAATGTTCGTTGATTTTCCTGACATCCAGTATGTGATCTTCACATGTGCGGAACTCAAATATGGGGCGATATATTCCCGGGCACCTGTCGATGACGAAAACGTCCCCACCTGCCCTCACGGCGATGGCGCACACACAAAACACATGAGCCGGAGGGTTACAGGGCGTCACCTTCATTTGTACCTGCATAAGACCGGATATGACTGAATATGAAGATGACATAATAAACAATGTATAATTGTTCTCGTGTAGACAGTTAGGATAACACGAATATGCTACTGAGATGATTACTTTTCATTCATGTTTTTCATTGATATCGTAGATGACACTGAAAGTACATTTTTTTCAAATATTTTTAGTGGGTAATATTGAAAATGAGCTTGAATTAATGTTCATTAAATTCTGATATTGATTTATTCCAATGTTATTCTTTTTTTGATATCAAACATCTTATTTTTTTTATCAAAATAATACACCCGTCCTCCAGCTAATTGTGATGTCCTCTATGCACTATATTTGAAACATTACATATGTACCTGAACTTTTTTGTTGGGATCATCATTTTCATAAAGGATAAAAGTTCCAGGGTTTTGATTTTCGTAGTTCCTAAAAAAGGAGCAATGAAGAGACGGTAGGACAACACATCTTTTGAAAGAGTCTGAGATTCATTTATCCAGAAACTTTCCGCTTAGCATATGAATACGTCAGAAACTTATTGCGGGAGGTAGTCCCATATATATATTTCATTTTTCTATCCGTTGTTTCTGAATAAACAAAAATGTATTTATATGTAATACTGTTTTAATGTTGTAATCGATTCAAAACAGCTTTTTATCTTAAAATGCCCACGTCTCTCAGTCTCATCTTTTAGACGTATCAGAAAACTTTCTAACTAAGACTAAATATATAACAATTGAATCCTAAATTTTGTATAAACCTCAACAGTACAAAGTACTGTTTCAATCGACTTATGATAAAAATGACCAAGTTTTTCTTTTAACTGATTATTTCCCTTTTCTATTTTTGACACTCTACTTAATTGTTTAGCAGTTTACCGTCTCTTATACATTAAAATGTTTTACTGAACGCATCAGATTTGCAACCAACATATTAATACCTGATACAGTTAAATTAAACCGAGCGATGAACATGTGTAAGAGTAACATTACTTGATAATGTTATTTGGATACTCTACCTGCCATCAAACGTTTTCATGTGAGGATCACATATAGCATGGCACTCTTTCCCCTTCCACAGGTTTGTGTTGTCGTCCATGACGACCTATGAAATTACACACCGTATTACAAAAATCAATGCCACATTTAATTCCACGTGTTGTGTATACTTGGTATATACATGACAAATATACTCTTGTATCTAGCCTCACTTTAAAGATCTTTTGATCAAATCTCATTTCACATATTGTGATAATAATTATATCATAACCGACGATACTTACGTTGACAACATCAAGGACAACGTTGCTCCAGATAGGATTATAATTATTGACAGCCGTACGGAGACTGACTTTGTAACTGTCCGGGTGACCGTTATACGTCTGATCGTCCAACCAGGCGATGTATATCTTGTGTTCCTGGTCCCACTCGTCATGGCGGATGTGTTTGCCACATGTCTGAGCTCCAGTAGGCAGAACGGCTCCAATGTTGGCCCTGTTTATGTTAATGTTAATGTGACGAAAACAACACTTTAACGAACTGCCATGATATCTGTAAACAATTGTCATTTCGCAAACTGCCATATAGACTTTATTCATCTATTGAGCTAATATTCACGGAAGAAATATATTTGTCTTTGAAATTCATTATTGCAAAATTAAATTCATATCAATTATCATAATGTCTGTAGTGGTTTTATGGGTTTCATGTACCAACGAAAATAATATTGCCGCAAATGTTCGTCGACATATCTGCTGGTACTTTATTTGTGCTAGTTCATCTAAACAAAAATATCTTATGGTACATCACCACCTACTGTTCGTCTCGTGAGACATATCCTATGGTAAATTACCATAACTTGGACATATGTAATGGTACCTTACCAACACTGGTATGACTGCCTAGATGCATGTGCTTGTACCTTACCTACACTCGTATATCTGCGTAGATGCATGTGGTTGAACTTACCTACACATGAATGTCTAGGCAGGGACATGTGCTGGTACCTTACCAACACTTGTATGTCTTGGTAGACACATGTGCTGGAACTTACTTACGTATGTTTGTTTTGGTATATCCATGTGCTAGTATCTTACTAACACGTGTATGTCTGTGTATATCCATATGCTTGTACCTTACCAATATTTGTATGTCTGGGTAGATCAATGTGCTGGTATCGTACCTACACTTGTATGTATGGGTAGATCAATGTGCTGGAACTTACCTACACTTGTATGTCTGGGTAGATCAATGTGCTGGAACTTACCAATACTTGTATGTCTGGGTAGATCAATGTGCTGGAACTTACCTACACCTGTATGTCTGGGTAGATCAATGTGCTGGAACTAACCTACACTTGTATGTCTCAGGAAGGAGCAGCTCGACTACAACTTCGCAGCCATCTTGAAAAAATGCCGGGCATCCAATTGGTACAGTAGGCTTCACCACAATGTATGCAGTTGGTGTCTCTCTATGCAAGGTTACGGACGGTGTAGACTAGATGAAATAAAATATTTATTATGAAACGCCGACGTTTTGGCTTATGGCTATTTTTGTGAATGCATTAATTGATATTATTCCAAATTCAAAATAATTGATTTGTTTATACATCGGTATCTATTGTTTCCCTAGGAAAATGCAGATTGATACAACAATTATCAGTGAAACGAAATACGGGTATTGGTGTTTTGGCAGTGAGCTGTAAAACACATGATTGATTTAACAGTTTTTGCTGCATTTGGACGAACACATCCTTATTCAACTGAGCACTGATACTTATTTCCCTAAAAGATCCGTTATATTGTTTTTCCATTTCTATGTGAACGCTGTATTGTATCCGTACTTTAATGCCGGCATAGAATGGATCACTTGTAGGTGACACTCGGCCAAAGACACCATCTGGTAACAATCGCGCTCTCACAGTGCATGCAACCTGCAAAATATGTATACGAAATCAGGACCAAGCATCAAAACAATTTCAACATATTTTTTTATTGCTTATTTCAAAAAGCTACCAGACAGCGTTGACGGGTGGACTAGAACGATCAGAACTGTTTTTATCACCTGCAAGGCCAGATGTCAACAGTTTATTAACATTTTGATTCATCTGATTATTTATGAACGATATATATATATATCGAAGATTTATTTATAAATTGCGATGAAAGAATAGATGAAACAAACTTCTTCAATATTGCAATTAAGTTTAAAATGTTTTAGCATGCGTCTTTGAGGTGTTTTGATTAATTGTTCATACCATTTATTTTACCCCTAAAATGTGTTACCAGTGCATTAACGCAATGGACAACAACGTTTCAATATTTACATTAACTCCAAGCTGTTCCAGTTGACCTGCTCCTTCTTCCAAAACCAATTGTTCAAGTTCTGTCCTGTTTGCGATCTTTGTTTCATTGATGGCCTTCCCATCGATATACCATATAACTTCGTACAGGAGGTCCTCGTCCAAAAGTTTGAAGCCACACACAAATTGTAGACCTTGTACATCCACGTTAAATACAGTGCTGAACGTGTTGACCAGTGAAACATTCACCGTTGGTTTGTGTATCTCAAAGAATGGTAACACAGCTAAAGACAGACAACAATAACATTATAAAGACATTCACTTAAAGTAATGCGGATATTTTAATTGCAAATCGAACATATAGGTTTCAAAAAAGTATGTCACGCTATTTGAATGTGTTTTTTTTACCTTTCTAGAAACTGCATCATCCTTTTTAATCAGAACCTGACAGGTTTTCAAACTATACAGCTTATTGAAATACGAAAAACGCGCAATATAGGAATTTCAATACACAAAAACAGGATTCGAGCAAAATGCAAATATTCAACAATCTGAACTGATCAGACAAAAAAAAGGCATCATAAACACCAACAAAAATACGGAACCGGAATAGGTGCAACGGGAGGTTGAGGTGTTTCCTCTTTCAAATGTTACACCAATAATAATGCCTCTTATTACATCCGGGGAAGTGTCGGGGTCACATGTAGTCGAAGATGATATTTAACACTGACACTTCTCGTGTGGTTTCACACCAGTTATGATGGCGACCATGGAATTTTCATTTTTATTTTGGATACAATAAAACACTGTATGTTCACATCCACCCTGACCATCTCAATGCTTTATGCACCTAGTATATGTTCCGGAACAGCGAATCAATTGTAAAATTCTCACTCTGTATAATTAGAGAATCCTGGATGGTTACAACTTAACTACAGGTTAAAGCAGGTACGACGATTGGTTTTAGATATATACCGTGGTGATGTTTTTTTAACTAGCTTAACGTCTGATTGACAGGTTTTGTTTAAAAAGTGAACTGTTCGGGTGTACATTTTTACCATGCCTTTTCTATGTCTTATTAACAGCCGGAGTAATTAGACAAACTTACCTCCAGCAGTAGTGGTCTCCTTAAGTTTATCTTTGCAGTCGACGTTTACTTGAGGAATATAAAAAATACATCATTATCAATCATACCGTATATTATACTTATAAATCACGCATTAAGGTCCCACCGTTCTTTGTATTGATATATAAAAGATGTTACTTCTACAAAGATGGTGCTATTTTACACTGTACCTATGTTTGCAGTCCATTGGTCGATTGATACAGAAACGTCACATCTGGAGCAGTTGTCGTGTCTCTTTACTTCGCCATCGGCAATGCACACTCCATTAATGAGACAGTTACCTTAACAAATATACGATAATCATCGTTTTGATTTTGTACTTTAATTACTTATTACTCTGTAGTTTTAGAGGGATTCGTACCAGAGGAGGCAGTGCATTTTGGTTATTGTAAACATCCTTTTTTGCGCAGTCATATTTGAATACATTATCGAATTTTAACAGATAAGCGTATTGTTGAGTTAGCGTCTTGAACAAAAATTTGCAACAATTGCAGAGCGAAAGGCGCTTAAATAATACTGCTAAAGTATTTACGTTTACACTATGCTCTGTCAGTGTTTGTGACTGTGTGTGTGGTTGCTGGCAATACTCATCATATGCGTAAGACCGAAAACAGTCATGCACATTGTATTTTATATATTTCACAAATGTTAAATTGTCAAAAGATATATACAAAAAGGAACAGTATTTAAAAAGCAAGATGTGTCCATCATTTTTCATCGGGAAAGCTGAACAGAAGATAGAGACTTTGTCCAATAGATTTGGGTAACAGAAATGTTACATACAAAAACTATGGAAATGATGAAATATGTTTCGCCCTGTAACGTTCTTTGAACTGAAAATCTTATATGAAGAGTATTATCCCTGGATTTTGAACAGTTATAAATGTAGACATTCTTAAGCATCATTAGAATAATTTTTCGTTGCACATATCAGTTAAGCAGGAGAACGAAATGCCGGCACTTCTGAAGAAGTAAGTAATAGTATACCCTCCATAATGTTATCCTTTAAATTGAAATTAATGTTCTATCCGTTTTAACCAATTGTAGTGACGGCCTTGATAGCATTGATCTGAACCTAAACATATTGGATAAGTTGTCATTACCAGGGTTTCTGCTCCATTGATATCTTGATGCAGGATCAGAGATTTGACATATCCAACATGACTCCGTTGGATTGATATTTCCTTCAGGTACACATACACCTCGAATAAAGCAAAAGTTATCCTGGAAGACATAAAATCATAAAATCATTACGCTTTAATATGGGCATGTTTACTATATCATAAAATACCTACAATTTAAGAGAATTTACTTCCATGAATTAGACAGAATTCCCACATAACGCCCAGTTGGCGTATGGATATGTTGACCTGTTTTCAAGACTGTTTTTTTTTTTTCGGGTTCAAATAATGCTTGCTTACTTAACAATATGTTTGTCCGTTTAAGAGATTATTAACAGTAAGACATGACATGGAAGATAACTACAATGACATCTATGTTCGACAAGTCATTTATATTGACGATGAAGTCACTTTAAAACTGTTCAATACTCAATGTACAATTTTCAAGTTGTTTTTTTCCTCAAAGAGAATTAATGTTCTGTTTAAATTCAGCGTTTAGTTGAAATATGTGTACCTATCGTGTATACTACTGAAAAATAGAATTGCAGGGTCAGTGATGTCTAGCGTTATAATTATGACGTCATAATAAAAATGACGTTAACATGTCAGTCATGGCATTTATAACTGATAGGCATACCATCTTATTTTGGTATGTTTATTTAGTGGTATTGTCATAGAGTGGTAAATGTATACGGCGTATACATCCCAAAGGGCTTTGAGACATTTCCCACACGACCGTGAGCTGCTGCGAAATATGTAATCATGTTGGTAAGTTATATGTATCAGCATCCCGTTTAGCTCAAAGCGTAGGCGTTAATCCTTAAATGTTTGTAGTTTGCTGGTTTTGTGTTGAAACTGTTGATTATTGTATGGTTTTGAATGCAATACAGACTAACAATTTCAAGGAAGAGAAGAGTTTGTGATGTTGAAAGTACATTACATTTTGTCTGCATATAAGATACAGACACAAGGGTCTTTACTGGTTCTTAGCAAAGGGCATAGACGAAGGGCACACATTAAACTGGGGATGAGCATTCATCATGATTGTGCGATGGAGACAGAAAAATCGTATTTCTGCCCCATCAAGCAGTTATATTTCCTTCCATGAATAAATTACATTTACATCAGTGATGTATGGACTATTTTCTTGTGATTTTTAAGCCCGTATGTAAGTAAGAGACATTCTATAAAGGAATGATATCAGTTCCCTTTTGCTTCAGACTGCTGTTATATTTAAATTGGTTCCAGACATCAAAACTATCTTAATAAAATTAACACTTTACATACTTGCATAAGTACGGACGATACGTTATCGTGTTCCACTTTTTGACAACCTCCATTGTAGACGATCAGGTCAGATTCTTTCCCGAAATTTTGTCCGTCATTGCTGACCCCTATTGACCAGCGCTGGGCAAATTCGTCACTGCTTGGAAGACTCCGTGTGTGCGGTAATGGACAAAATACCTCCATCAGTGTGTTAAATTGACCGGAAGTAGTAAATTGCTTATACAATTCTTCTGTATCGTCAGTGTGTATCTGGAAACGAACGAAACAAGTATATTAATTGATTTGGAAGGAACATGCAAGAACTGAGGGGTAAGGTGAAAATCACCGGTATAAAAAGTATATTTGCGATTGAAAACTAAATCATGCCGGGTTAAACCATTGAAAACTAAAATAGAAAAACAAAATGAATTATTACATGTACATCTTATATTCTTCAATGAATTTCTTTAAATGTTCAAAAATACAACTGCAGGAGGCAAGGAGTCTTTAAATCAGTGACATTAAAGTATTTACCTTATATAAAGTAATATGGCAGGTGAGGGTAGCAGTATCAACGAACGTATCTCCTTCAACAATCGCCATGGAACATACGTTAAGGTCACATGTGCTATTGGTGTCGAGGTTTACGCCATGTGTATCTGGAGGTATCCGAATGTCTACGGAACAATCGGCAGTTCCGAAATAGGCAATACACACACATGTACCTAAAACGAGCATACTTACACTAAACATGCATGTTTTAAAATTGTTTGATGTAAATGTTAAACCCTTCTTTCAAATTTCCTTCGTTCACTTATAATAAATAACTTAAAGAAGCTAGTTTTTGAGATGTTTAGACAATGTTTAAAGACAAATGACCTTTTGAGGCAAAACCACCTACCGTTGTCACACTGCCCATATCCACTACACTCGTTCGCACACGTGATCTCTTTAATTTGCTGGGCAATGGAAGGCCTGTCGGGCGAGTCCTCTTCCTGGTACGTGGTGTTCTGTTTCAGTTCCTTCAGACAGACGGATTTTAAGGATTCCCTAGCGGAGGTGGCCCACATTGTTGTCTGGGTGGCCTACACATAATTATATCCTCCTACATTATTTTACCAAACCTGTTCTATGGTGTACATTCCTGTTTTGTTAATTTTATAGGTTAATCGACTCTTTTGATATATTTTTATACAGTATGATTTACAGGACACATATATTATAATTCTCCCTCACAAAAATACACAAATCCTGTAAAATATCAAATTCACAGTGTGTTGAATGTAGAAAAGATTCATACACTACGTACAAGTCAATGAAATATACATTTATATATTTTTGATCAACTGAATATTGTTATCGTAAAAGGGTAATAGGGAGAAACGATGTATGAATAGAACAATGCCAACCATGATATCCAGGACACATGTATCGATAGAATTGCCCGGGTCTGTTGCTGGAACTTGTTCGGCACAAGCGTGAAAGGAAGTGGAATCTTTCATGATTTTTTCACAGTAAGCAGTAGCTGTTGACATGTTCCATATCTGCTGTTGGGGATCCACCTAAAAGGTTGAAACATGCCATTCTTTAAGGGTGTTATCTTCGCGATTTATCATTTCTAATGATAAAACTCGTTATTATTATCTTAATATAAACATAATGTTGTTTTACATCTACTTTACCTGATGTGCAATCGTGTGTTGAGTACAAATGACTATACAACACAAATATTTCTGTTTCGTCAGTAATTATATTTAAGTTGAAATTACGAAATATATTTTCAGTTTGTATAATTATGTGGACCGATTATGCATTGAACGTTTTGTACGTAGTAGTTTAGACAATTTTATAACACACGTAACATTTGACAAATAAAAAGGAAGTATTTTGATTTCCTGTACTTACAATTGAGGGTTGGGTTGTGTGAGGTATGGAAGAGATCGGGCGTAATGACCTTGACCTTTTTAACAAGCATCCCTTCTTTTTAACCACGGGTGATTCGTCATCCCTGACACACGTCGCTATGGCACCATGTGTACAGGAAATATTACGTGACGGTCCGTTACACGTGCAGAACTGTGTATTTTCTGTTTTATTCCAAGTTGCCAACTTTGCGAGATTATCAGCAGACATCGTAATAAGATTTTCATCCTCGTCGGTTACACTAAGAAACAGTACAAGTGGTCTCTATAATGTAGAGGCAGGTATCCAATCAATGTGGAACCTAAATAATCTATACAAAGCATCGAACATTATTTACTATTTTGCTCATTTCATACTGAACTGTCGTTAACTATTGAAGGATATGTAGAAAACACCGTAAACTGATCTTTACAAAAACAAGAAGGATAGCATGAGTTTCATATGGACATAAATAACACTAGTTTAAATTGATGTGGTCACTTTGATCACACGATGAGGGCTATGCTTATATTTTTCTTTCTTATAGATGATAGCGAGGATATTTATTAGTTCTTTGAAGAATATATATTTTAAGCGCATGGTAAGAATAACAAATACGTCATTCTTCTGCAAAACCAGTGAGGTATAAGTTGAACTAAACGTAAATATTTGTCAATGCCTTTTTATTTTTATTTCACATATTTGTGCTTACTTTTAAAAATGGAAAAAGATGAAAGCTTCATTGCTGATGCCATGTAGTAATGACGTCACACTTGGAAATTTGACGTGGTTATTGAACAGCATGTTACCATTTTCTGCGATTATGTAGTATGCTTTGTTTGCAAAAATGGTATTAATTTTGTAGTTTTGAAAAAAACTCAGTTTTGTCACCCATGCGTTTCAAGATGAATCACTTATTTTAAATCTACAATCGCGTTATCAGCAGCTAAACAGGAAATCGACGACTGTGGATGCAGTAAAGAAAATGTACCATTCTTGATTGGTCAAAATAAAATTAATATTTCTACTGAGTGAAGGATACCACTTAATCAAATGGACATAAATGTATGTCCCAGGTTAAAATTAGCTGTAGATAAGTTACCTCCAAGATTTAGCAAAGATATTATTATCTCCGGTAATCTGTCCATTAGGTTTAGTAAAATCGTCATCCGTTCGACCGTTGAGCGTCCCACATAGGCCTCGTGTGTGGAACGTGTCAGCAGCGGATGGAAACATGTGCAAGTCCATTACATCCTTTCCAGTGTAATGCCAAAGTCTGGCACTCAGGTAGGTACCGCTTGGCAAATAGATCTAGGTAGAAATATGGACAAATACAATGAACTATGGAATAAAATAACCAATAAACTTAACTAACCGCTAGGCCTTTCTACCTTCTTGGGATTCTTCAAACAAATCTGCCTTGAAAAGACTAAAAAGGACTTGCTTTTCATTACGTTCAATTATATTTTCATAAAAAACCTTTTTTCCCATATGCAGATTTTGTTAATAATTTCTTTTAGGAAAATATAAGAAAATCACTCTTATATGAAATTGACCCAATTATAGAAGATATATCGAATGCTATTTAATTGATTTACTGGTATGAGTATTTAAATTGAAATGTAAACAACCTTCATTATGGCAGTATGATACACAGAAGATATGCAGTTGATACAAGTGTAAGTGTTTAATATATCTTCGAAACATGACAATCAAAGTTCTAAAGCAAATTATGCACGATTAATGAAGTTACTTTGTAGAAATGTTCGTTGATTTTCCTGACATCCAGTATGTGATCTTCACATGAACGGAACTCAAATATCGGGCGATATATGCCAGGGCAACTGTCAATGACGAAAACGTCCCCACCAGCCCGCACAGCAATAGCGCATACACAAAACACGTGAGCCGGAGCGTTACAGGGCGTCACCTTCATTTGTACCTAAATTACAAAAAAGTTATACGCGCATATGCGACATGGAAACCTTCGAAATGTCTATAGTTACCTCATTTTCGTATTATATAATGCTGCTTTGAAAATATTCCATCTCGTTAACTATATTTGTATGCAACTCAAAATGATAACTCGAAATTTAAATCCGAATAATGAATAAATAAAGCATATGCTAATATACCTGATAGTGTGATTGAAATCTGTAGCAATACATTGAAAAGTAATAGATTAACAAAAATCTATGTTGATGCATAATCAAGTCATATGAAGCTATCATTGATATCATTCTAGCTTCCCAGCCATAACAATATAAAGTGATGTAATCAAGCGATATACAAATGTAGTTTCAAACACGCCATTGTTCTTCAATTATATATATATCCAATTACCTGGACTTTTTTGTTCGGATCATCGTTTTCATAAAAGATAAAAGTTCCATCATTTTGATTCTCGTAGTTCCTGAAAAGAGGGTGACAATGAACATGTGACGTTTCCCCACAAGGTAAGATGTTGGTATACTACAAAGCATACTTAGATTGGTTGATACATGTTTTAAAAAAGGATCATGTCTTTTCCGTTCCATTAACAAGTCTATAGTTGCATTATAAAAACACCTCTCTAACAAAACAGATATACAACAACTACATTTTAGATATCTTAAAGCAAGAATGAATCGATTACAATGAGGAGACATGCTCAAAATACATTACCTTCCATCAAACGTTTTCATGTGGGGGTCACAGATAGCATGACACTCTTTTCCCTTCCAAAGATGTGAGTTGTCCTCCATTATGACCTATGATAAGGTACGACGACAACAACAAATGCTTGTTTTTGAAGTACATTTGCTCAACGAAAGAGACTGTGTGCTTATTTATGATGATGTTACGAAATCTGATTTATCCCTAAACGCTAAGTTCGAGGGCGATTATAAAAAAACGTCAGTAGTGTATTCCTGTCCCGTTCCATTGGTGGCGGTTATCTTACATAGTATTTGTAAACATAATAGCATAAAAAAACCATCGATACAGTACAATATGTAACACGTTATGGTGTCAATAGTGAACTGTTTAGTATCTTGTATTACATAGTATTTGTTAACTTTATAAAAAAAAACCATCGATACAGTACAATATGTAACACGTTATGGTGTCAATAGTGAACTGTGAAATCCACATTATTTACAAACGGGAGAAAACCGTTATACATGGCATTTGTACGTAGAATTCCTATAATTTGGCTATGTCGAATTTAAACATTATTTAAAATCACAATGTCCCGTACTTACGTTGACATCACCAAGGACGACGTTGCTCCAGATAGGGTGATAGTTATTGATAGCTGTACGGAGACTGACTTTGTAATTGTCTGGATGACCGTTGTACGTCTGATCGTCCAGCCAGGCGATGTAGATATTATGTTCTTTGTCCCACTCGTCATGGCGGATATGTTTGCCACAAGTCTGAGCTCCGGTAGGCAGAACGGCTCCAATACTGCCCCTACATATACAATACACGAGGTATTTTCTCAGTCTTTGCTCGCTATACGCCAAATATGTTTGCATGTTAAACAAAATCAGACACCCGCCGTTATATCTTTGCTTTGTGGGTGATATAACATATTTACATGTAGTTTCCTTGAAATACTCTTGTTTGTCTCTTGTACGTATGCATTATCACCCGAACTACATTTGAACCATTTCTAGGACATATATTCTATTATCTAAAATACAAATGTACATCGCTAGGACATCTCTAATATTCTCTAAACTACATGTGGACATCGTTGGAACATATCTGCTATAATCTAAACTGCATATTGATATCACTTGGGCATAATTACTGATACCTTATAATGTACATACCGGTACCTTATTTCTGTAAGACATCGCTGGGATATATCGACAGGTACATGTACCTTACATTTTATCTACAGCTGAACGTTACTGGGACACGTGCATATTACTTATAGTTGTTCGGCTCTTTGACATATCTACTGTACCTTTGGTGTCTCGTGATACATATCTACTGTACCTTTGGTGTCTCGTGATACATATCTGCTGGTACCTTTTGTGTCTCGTGATACATATCTGCTGGTACCTTTTGTGTCTCGTGATACATACCTGCTGGTACCTTACCTACACTTGTACGTCTCAGGAAGGATAAGCTCTACAACCACTTCGCAGACATCTTGAAAGAGTGTCGGGCAGCCAACAGGTACGGTAGGTTTAACCACAATGTACGTAGTGGGTGATTCTCTGTGTAAAGTTACCGATGGAGTAGTCTGTGTAAAACACAATATTTGTGAATACAGAATATGAGTTGTATCCCCGTCTTTAGATCACTTATATACATAGTCATTTTCCAGCGTAGTCAATGATTTTCATTTCATAACACCACAAAGAGTATCGATAATGTTTAAAATAAAGCAAATTGGCGGAATCAAATGTTCACAACAATTTGTACATACCGTAATCCCAGCATAGAAGGGGTCACTTCTTGGAGACAACATTCCGGGGACGTCATTTGGTGTCAAACGCGTTCTCACGGCACAGGCCACCTACAACGTTAAGTGACAGAGAAAGGTGAGTAAGGGACCAGCACCTTGTGTATTTCTTATATTTCTATCTCCTAATAAATTATTTCATGTCGATTTTGGTATTCACTGAGAATCTTATTGAAATTTACGTAAACGTTCAATGCACTTAACGTCAGCGTAATTGTAATTTATAAAGTCAAACTACATTCTAAAAATAATTGGGAAATGTGCAAAAGAACCCAAAGGTCTAACTGTATAAACAAAACAAACACAATTTAGCTGCGTACCTATGCCATACCAACATAAGAGAAAACAGGGTGTATGGACTAGCTGTTTTTGTGTCAGCGCGAAATGTCGGGTAACGAGTAAAACTCATTAACATAGTACACGACAATATTTACATTGACTCCGAGTCGTTCCAGTTGACCTGGTTGTTCTTCCAAAACCAGTTGTTCAATCTCCGTCCTATTAGCGATCTTTGTTTCACTGATGGCCTTCCCATCTATATACCATATTACCTCGTACAGCAGGTCCTCACTCAGTAATGTGAAGTCACAAATAAACTGTAGACTTTGTAAGTCCACATGAAAGACAGGACTAATCTTGTTGACGAGTGAAACATTGACGGTAGGTTTCAGGATATCAAACTTCGGCGGCAACGCTTAAAAAAAAAAAAAAATCAATCATTTGACGTTTTCGTTAGTGACAAACAAAAAACAAAAAAAACCTGATATATAGAATTTGAATTGCTACGTAATCTGAACAAAACTGGAAAACAATCTTAACTCTATACACCTATTTTGTAGTGGAAAGTATTGTAGATTACTTTTCTGAATACATGTCTCTCTTACACATTTTCCAAACCAAACATTGAAGTGCTAGTTTTCAAAGTAACTGTTGCACCAAAAAAATGTTTTATACTGACATTTTTGTTTCGTACTGTAATAGAACATCCGTGGGAAGAGCCTACCCAGTGTCGGTAGATGAAACTGATCGACTACCGACAAATTGACCCGCGGCAATCCCCAAGAATGTCCCGTTGCCTCCGTGTACAGTCAAAGACGCAGGTCCGTCAGATGTGGAGGAGTACCAATCAACACCTTGGTTCAAAGTTACGTTTATTTGATAACACACGGATAAGCTAGCCGTTAAACATGGCAAACAATACGTACGTTAATAACAGTATACAAGTATAAAAGTTTAAAAGACAGAACAAAACCTACATTGTAGAGAACAGAATGAATTGTTTAGTGAACCTATAGATATCAACCACAATGTGGTAAAATAAGGCCTATAGGTAATTGTAACTATTCTATAACTATGACAATGAAAACACCCCCTCCCGTAGCACTGACATACGTTAAGCTAACAAGCCTTAAGCTTACGCTAACGTTCCCTTACGTGGGTGTACTGCTTTCAGTACATCGGTAGCACTGTCTTCAGCGCCTCGGTTGAGAGGTTTCCCCTCGTGGTATAGCCGGCTTTACGGCCACGCAAGTCTCCGATTTTGCCCGTGCATCCCTTTTTATACCCCAGCCTGGCCCTATGTAACCTTTATCGCGCACTCAGTCTGATTGGCCAAATCGACGGCATATGGGCAGTGAGGTTGGAACGTCTTCCGGCGACTCACAAAAATCCAGTCTCGAAAGCTTACACCAATGTAAACAAACAGACTGCACCGGCGATAGCTACTATACTCGACGGGAAGCATACGCCGAACAACTAGCCCTTCCGTTCCCGTTAGGTTACTTTTAGGATGGTATTAAAAAGAATACACAAAGACAACAGCAAATATAAAACAGTTCTTAGGCTAATGACCCATTTTCCCACTACTAGTTCCCTCAGAGTTTTATTATGAAAACAAGTACAATTTGTACTTACTATTTTCTGGGTACACTAAAAAGTAAAACAACGGACAGTATAGAAATGTTATCAAAACATTTCAATGGATTACTGGAGTAAATCTGAATTGGTAATTTATTGCATCTTGTAAATATAGTTCATTATTATGGCAATAAGTGTATGGATGTGAACATAAATACATTTATATTATTATATTTTAGGATGCCAACCAATAAATGCCACCAATATCTATTATAATTTCCTCAGTTGTTTATGTATTCAATTGGATATTTGATCTTTGTCGCATGTCATAACTTTTAAACTTTGTTAAATATCAATAGAAGTCTTTTAGCATTTTTTAAAAATTTGAATGTTATATATAAACAAATAAATGCAGATCTAAATTATGCCATGTCAATTTTCATAGGATATGCGCTCCGTCACTCTCTGTTCCTACCAATGTATAATGCAAGATGAACAAGATACTCTAATTGCTTAACTTTCTTTATTATGCAGTTGAAAGAACGTTTCTAATTGATGCGTCATTTTCATTTTACCAACAATTCACAATCAGTTGATGTACTAGCTACTGATCACTGCAGCTACTTGTCAGATGTTACCAGTTGAATGTCTCAATCGACTTGTATGCGTTCACTCAACAAATTATCTTTCTCTAAGAGTTGTCTGGTAACATTTTGTAACAGGTTTTATATTTTGCCAAATAAAAGAAGCACGAGTGAGCGTATTGGCCAAAAAAAATCAAAGTATCGTTCATTCACCAACAAAGTAGATTTTTTTTTTGCCCTTATACCTAAAAACGCAATCGTGTTCATTTTAAAAAGTGCTACGTAAACTTAAATAATATAAAAAGATAATGATCAGAATCATTATGAACTTACAAAAGCAGAATGCCGATGAAGTACTGGCTGGTCGTTTCAGAAAGTAAACTGAAAAGTCTCGACACATTTTTATCTTAATATTCATCGGATGTTGACAAAGACTACCGAACCCCACAGTGCAGACGACCCTGTCAACGATCCCATCTTGTCTCTGAGGTAAACTCCCTTAAACAAAAACACATTTACTCAGATACTTATTTATTGACAATGCAATATTGATACTATAATATGCAGTATAATTTTTGATGAGATATTAAAATAATCATTTATTTTTATAAGCTTCAACTCGGTCATTTCATTGTTTTCAAAACAAACATCACATTTTGTATAATAATACTGAAAATGTATGAAGATAGAATCAAGGCCGATGATTAAACTGTATGTAACATACACAAACATGTATATAATATATATAAATATACATTCATACTTTATATATTCATGTCATACATAACATGCCGCTTAGAAAGCCGGATGAACTATAAAATATGTGTCTTAAGGAAATTGGTGTGTGTTCTACTAATGAATAATACTCACCATTTAAATAGATGGGGAATACTGTTCCACACGCCTTGAGTTCATGAATGAATGAGACATTATTCAACATGTGCTGAGATTCCACCCTGTACCATTGTCCTTCGGCGGGGATATTGTAGTGATCATCAATGATATGACCACTCTGACCGAGGGTAGAATTGATACCCCGTTTGTCCATATCTGGTAGAACATGTTTTGAGTCGCACGGGTCATTTGCTGCAGCAGCTGGAATGGGATATAGTTCACTATCAATGATAAGATGTAAGCTTGGTATATACAGTCAATAGGAAATTCTGTTAGAAACGTCTATACAGATAAAACTGTCATACTATGTTCATTCTGCAGATTACAATAATGACATTTAATTGCAAACATATATATATATATATACCATAAATAGCACTAAAAGCACTACAATTATTGGTAATAAATCAGAAAACCGTGTTGTAGCTGTAGGATAAGTGTTTGTTGAACGTCCGAAATGGTCTTTACACATAAAAGGTGGTTAGGAATAATATACATGGTCATCCACATGTAATATAAGTCAAAACAAGCATTGGATTGGTGAGATAATATGGGTGGGTAGGTCAGATTAAGAACTATTAAGACAATGAAACAATAAGAAAATGTGGAATACGCCCAATATTTATGAACTGTATCTTGAATACTATTTACAAATGTGTAGAGCAGATACCTGTGTCTGAATATTAAAATTGTTAATTTTTAACTCACTTTTGAAACAGTAATATGTATTTCCCTGATCAGCCACATAGTTTTGATAGCATCAAATTTGTCATTGTAGTTTAGGGGTTCACCAAGGATAATTCAATTTTTCTATAATCATTAGGTCAATTTTATCATAATATTGTATCTCATTATTTATGATACCACCACCATTTCTAAATACTATTATTTTTTTGGACTGCTTAAATCTTTTGAAGTTTTTTAAAAATCTTTCAAGAGAACTTTTGCCTGTTACCTTTAATTTTTGCCTACAAAAATGTTGATAAAAATGTCTTAGATTATTTTATTTCTTAAATACTCCTCGATATTATCCTAATGATATTCTCTGTTGACCTGTTTAATTTCATTCTTTTCCATTCTTTTTTATCTATCAAGATGCTATGATGTACATTAAATACTTGATTATACCCTAGTCTGCAGTTTGTAAAACAAAACTCCCAGACTGACCTATGGTGCCCCATACACAAGCAAATCACTTAAAGGGAATCTCAAAACGATCTGGAACGGCTCTTTCGGCAACAATTACTCAATAATAAGCGATTAAAAGTAATACTACTGTAACGACAAATGCATGCTAATATATGGATCTGCCAGAACATAAGAAGTTCAGATTTATTTTTATCACCAATATGAAAACAGAGGTATAAGACATTTGATATTCAACATTTCCATGAAGAGTGTATATTACAATATTTTAATATTGTATCGACTATATTATCCTATAGTATATGGGCCATCAATATATATGAAGGTGGATATTAATTTTAAAGAGTTTCTATGATCTTAGAAATTTGCGAAATATGACATGTCTGAAGCAAAACACTCGCTAATAGAAAACAAGTATTGATTAAAGTTGATATTATTTTAAAGAAAAATGTTCCTTCTAATTTAATGCATATTTGAAAATGTATAAGAAAATTATATATACCATCAATACATAATATTTTGTGTATTATTCAGTTCAGCAACTCAAAGATCCGGATAAAAAGTACACCAAACACAAAGATAAACTACAAGAATCACAGAGTACCGAAACAAAATATCAGAGTCGTGAGCGTAGCCGAAAAACGGGAAGCGACGAAACAAGTGATCCAAAAATGTGAGCAATATAGTCACCAAAACTTTACTGATTTTTTGTCTCTTTTTGGCATATAAAAAAATGTCACGGATATATTTGTTCTTGTCCCTGTTTAATGAAAAAAACTACATGTATTTTATGGTACATGTTATTGGTGAGAAAACTGAAAAACAAAACACTTACCGACGGTAAGTAGACCCAACTCCAATAAATATACCAACACAACTTGGTAACTGCACCACCGCATCATGTCTGTATCGAAACACTGAATGGATAAAGTACGGTTATCATATTTAAACGCTACCATCACAGGGACCTGATAATTTGTTATAGCTATATTACGACCTAAACTAAGGTGTTTAGCGTAAGTTTACACCGAAAATTGATCTAAACCCCTCAAACGTGTAAATTTACTCTAAACAACATCATCATCGGGGGTGGCATCTTTACCGAAAATTGATCTAAACCTTCCAAACGTGTAACACTACCGTAAACATATTAGTTTAGGTCCAAATATAGATGTAACGAGTTCTCAGGTCCCTGTGGGCACGATGACGATCAATTAGGGATAGGTTTATATCCTTGTGGCCGAGAGAAATATTTTGGTTTCACAGAAACAACTCATGATGTACAGAAGCATGACAACACATCCGCTAATAAAACATTTACTTTTTAGTTAAGCTTTAAGTTGTTACGTGAGGTTTATCATTTACATTTGATATCCCATATAACACCACAAGTATTCCATGTAGGAGTACCTCTGAGAAAACCCCCACTAAATTAGTGATAGGGCAACATTGAAGAAAAAAATACAAGTTATACAATGATTACAGCTTTAACCAAATAATTCCTGTCACCTGAAAAATGAGTTTGAAAATGAAATAGTTTTATTTAACGCATCGTTTTGTGTTTGGCGATAAGCACCATTTAAATAAGATCTTGATGTCAAAATTTGCTATCAGCTATCTAGATGTCAAACATTACTATCAGCTATCTAGATGTCAACATTACTATCAGCTATCTAGATGTCAAACATTATTATCAGCTATCTAGATGTCAACTTTGCTATCAGCTATCTAGATTTCAACTTTGCTATCAGCTATCGAGATGTCAACTTTGCTATCAGTTATCTAGATGTCTATTTTGCTATCAGCTATCTAGATCTCGAACATTGCTATCAGCTATTTAGACGTCAACTTTGCTATCAGCTATCTAGCTGTCAACTTTGCTATCAGCTATGTAGATGTCGAACATTACTATCAGCTCTCTAGATGTCAACTTTGCTATTAGCTATCTAGATGTGAACTTTGCTATCAGCTATCTAGATTTCAACTTTGCTATCAGCTATCTAGATGTCGGACATTGCTATCAGCTAATTAGATGTCGAACATTACTATCATCTATTTAGATGTCGAACATTGTTATCAGCTATCTAGATGTCAACTTTTCTATCAGGTATCTGGATGTCAACTTTGCTATCAGTTATCTAGATGTCTATTTTGCTATCAGCTATCTAGATTTTAACTTTGCTATCCTCTATGTATATGGCTACTTTGCTATTAGCTATCTAGATGTGAACTTTGCTATCAGCTATCTAGATGTTAACTTTGCTATCAGCTATCTATATGTCAACTTTGCTATCAGCTCTCTAGATGTCGAACATTGCTATCAGCTAATTAGATGTCGAACATTCCTATCAGCCATCTAGATGATGAACATTGCTATCAGCTATATAGATGTCAACTTTGCTATTAGCTATCTAGATGTCGAACATTCCTATCAGCCATCTAGATGATGAACATTGCTATCAGCTATATAGATGTCAACTTTGCTATTAGCTATCTAGATGTGAACTTTGCTATCAGCTATCTAGCTGTCAACTTTGCTATCAGCTATCTATATGTCAACTTTGCTATCAGCTCTCTAGATGTCGAACATTGCTATCAGGATGTCGAACATTGCTATCAGCCATCTAGATGTCAACTTTGCTATGAGCTATCTAGATGTCTATTTTGCTATCAGCTATCTAGATCTCAACTTTGCTATCAGGTATCTAGTTTTCAACTTTTCTATCAGGTATCTAGATGTCAGCATTGCTATCAGCTATCTAGATGCCGAACATTGCTATCAGCTAATTAGATGTCGAACATTCCTATCAGCCATCTAGATGATGAACATTGCTATCAGCTATATAGATTTCAAAAATTACTATCAGCTATCTAGATGGCAAACATTATTATCAGCTATCTAGATGTCGAAGATTGCTATCAGCTATCTAGATGGCAAACATTATTATCAGCTATCTAGATGTCGACCATTGCTATCAGCTATTTAGACGTCAACTTTGCTATCAGCTATGTAGATGTCGAACATTACTATCAGTTTTTTAGATGTCGAACATTACTATCTGCTATTTAGATGTCGAACATTACTATCTGCTATTTAGATGTCGAACATTACTATCAGCTCTCTAGATGTCAACTTTGCTATGAGCTATCTAGATGTCTATTTTGCTATCAGCTATCTAGATTTCAACTTTGCTATCAGCTATCAAGATGTCAACTTTGCTATCAGCTCTCTAGATGTCGAACATTGCTATCAGCTATTTAGACGTCAACTTTGCTATCAGCTATATATATGTCAACTTTGCTATCAGCTATCAAGATGTCAACTTTGCTATCAGTTATCTAGATGTCTATTTTGCTATCAGCTATCTAGATGTCAAACATTATTATCAGCTATCTAGATGTCGACCATTGCTATCAGCTATTTAGACGTCAACTTTGCTATCAGCTATCTATATGTCAACTTTGCTATCAGCTCTCTAGATGTCGAACATTGCTATCAGCCATCTAGATGTCAACTTTGCTATGAGCTATCTAGATGTCTATTTTGCTATCAGCTATCTAGATGTCAATTTTGCTTTCAGCTATTTAGATGTCGAACATTGTTATCCGTCATCGAACATTACTATCAGCTATCTCGATTTCGAAAATTGCTATCAGCTATCTAGATGGCAAACATTATTATCAGCTATCTAGATGTCAATTTTGCTTTCAGCTATTTAGATGTCGAACCTTGCTATCAGCTATCTAGATCTCGATCTGTGCTATCATCTATCTAGATTTCGAACATTACTATCAGCTATTTAGAAGTCGATCATTGCTATCAGCTATCTAGATCTCAACTTTGCTATCAGCTATCTATATGTCAACTTTGCTATCAGCTATCAAGATGTCAACTTTGCTATCAGGCATCTAGAGGTGAACTTTGCTATCAGGTATCTAGTTTTCAACTTTTCTATCAGGTATCTGGATGTCAACTTTGCTATCAGTTATCTAGATGTCTATTTTGCTATCAGCTATCTAGATTTTAACTTTGCTATCCTCTATGTATATGGCTACTTTGCTATTAGCTATCTAGATGTCAACTTTGCTATCATCTATCTAGATGTCGAACATTACTAGCAGCTATCTCGATGTCGAAAATTGTTATCAGCTATCTAGATGTCGATCAGTGCTAACAGCTATCTAGATGTCGAACATTACTAGCAGCTATCTCGATGTCGAAAATTGCTATCAGCTATCTAGATCTCAACTTTGCTATCAGGTATCTAGTTTTCAACTTTTCTATCAGGTATCTGGATGTCAACTTTGCTATCAGTTATCTAGATGTCTATTTTGCTATCAGCTATCTAGATGTCGAACATTACTATCAGCTATCTCGATGTCGAAAATTGCTATCAGCTATCTAGATGTCAACTTTGCTATCAGCTATCTAGATGTCTATTTTGCTATCAGCTATCTAGATGTCAACTTTGCTATCAGGTATCTAAATGTCAACTTAGCTATCAGCTATCTAGATGTCAACTTTGATATCAGCTATCTAGCCGTCGAACTTTGCTTTCAGCTCCATTTGTATCTAGATTTCGATCATTACTATCAGCTATCTAGAAGTCGAACATTGCTATCAGCTATTTATAAGTCGGTCATTGCTATCAGCTATCTAGATGTCGAACATAGCTATCAGCTATCTAGATGTCAACTTTTCTATCAGGTATCTAGATGTCAACTTTGCTATCTAGATACCTGATAGCAAAGTTGACATCTAGATAGCTAATAGCAAAGTTGACATCTAGATAGCTGAAAGCAAAGTTGACATCTAGATAGCTGATTGCAAAGTTGACATCTAGATAGCTGATAGTAATGTTCGACATCTAAGTAGCTGATAGCAATGTTCGACATCTAGATACCTGATAGCAAAGTTAACATCTAGACACCTGATAGCAAAGTTGACATCTAGATACCTCATAGCAAAGTTGACATCTAGATACCTGATAGAAAAGTTGACATCTAGATAGCTGATAGCTATGTTCGACATCTAGATAGCTGATAGCAGTGATCGACATCTAGATAGCTGATATCAAAGTTGCTATCAGCTATCTAGATGTCAACTTTGCAATCAGCTATCTAGATGTCAACTTTGCTATTAGCTATCTAGATGTCAACTTTGCTATCAGCTATCTAGATGTCAACTTTGCTATCAGGTATCTAAATGTCAACTTTGCTATCAGCTATCTAGATGTCAACTTTGATATCAGCTATCTAGATGTCAACTTTGATATCAGCTATCTAGACGTCGAACTTTGCTTTCAGCTACATTTGTATCTAGATTTCGATCATTACTATCAGCTATCTAGATGTCGAACATTGCTATCAGCTATTTATAAGTCGGTCATTGCTATCAGCTATCTAGATGTCGAACATTGTTATCAGCTATCTAGATGTCGAACATTGTTATCCGTCATCTAGATGTCGATCATTGTTATCAGCTATCTAGATGTCGAACATTGTTATTCGTTATCTAGATGTCGAACATTGCTATCAGCTTTTTTAGATGTAAAACATTTCTATCTTTTCTCTGTTTTTTGAGATTTTTGAGTTTCATGTCGATTTATTTTAGATTACTTCAGCTCACTTCCTGGGAAAGCCCGTCTTGTTATTCAGTAAAGTCAGACTAGCCAGGGTTTTCATAAACATTTACATAAAGCCATCTTCACCGGACAAATTTCACAGTCATTATCAGGACTTCCACAGCTACATGTTTATAGCAATTGAGTATTTACCGGGATCAACATTCAGACTTGACAGTACACAATTTGACGAAAAATCATTTATCTCTTCGGAGCACCAGGATTTTCCTGTTAAAACTGTAATATGAACTTGTTTACTTTTTTAAACTTTGGACACCGTATCTGCGTTTAATACTTAAACATCTAATATCCTCAATCGGTGTTTATATAAAATTGAGATTTCAAGGCAAAGCAATATTTTAATGCTTGTTTTCAAGAATAATACAAAATCAGCTACTTACGCTTTCATAGAAAACCCAGTATGTTAACACGTTTAGACATTTGATAAACTTTTTTTTTCTTGTCTTCTGAAGGTCATTTATTTAAAGATCAAAAGCCCGATATCTTAGATCTATTAGTAATACATATACACTATATGGCCGACATTTTCTTTTGTTTTTCTCTTTACATGTACAAAAGTCTCAATTATTCTACAACAATTACGAAACAGGTCTTTTAACTTATATTAATCATTCGTGTTGGCCCGGATTGAAGCACGCAAGGATCTTAATGTGGGAGGAAACCGGAGTATTAGTGGAAACCCAAAGTGGTCGGGCATATGACTCACAGTTGTTGCACGTTCAATCTGGGAATCGAACCATGGCTACCTTGGAAAAAGGCGAGTGCGTTATCCACTGTTCTACCAAACATGCATATATTGTGAGCATATAATATGAATCGAGAGATAGGCTACTGTGTATATCATGTCGTTCTATGGATTATTTCATGGTTACTGAAACAACATCATTGGTTAAACTATAGTGATGTTGATTAAATATGAAATACACTGTAGAGTGTAAATGGGAATTATAAATACTGGCTGCACAGTGTGTTCTAGCTGTTCGGGTACAAGAACAAAACGGAAATCTCTAGCAATGTCAAAAGATGTCATTTAGGTTTAAAATACTGAAGACACAGAAGTAGTTGTGTGAGTCTCAGAGAAGCTATCTCCTGGCATTTTTCATACTAGTATATCAATGTATAGTACTCGTATCTTTAGTATACCATCTCCAGTCCTATCTAAAATATATGCAATTTGTGTTCATACACACTGAAATCGGAAATATCAGAACATAGCTACTAGGAATAACTGCAAGTGTTTGTAACTTGGTGGTAAGTTATAATGGGAGCGGCTAACCGTGCATGTGTGAAATGTACCGGTACATTGTATCAGTCTTAACATCATAAGTCGATATCCCGTGAATTATGATCTCATTATAGGTGCAGTGACCTGTTGGTAAAATGATGGCCATTGTATATTTGTACAATGCATTAGCGCATCGTTTGGAGGACAGAAGTCACAGATATCAATCAGTTAGAAAAACGCTTTATCTAAACCCGATATATAGAACCAATTTATAACTTGCACAAATGAAATTAAGTTCCAATCGCATTATGTTGTTAATGAATTTATTCGAGTCTATTAATTATTATCGAAATATAAAGCTCGCTTAGAGTTACTGAATCGTGTTAGTTTATAGCGTTTATTCCGTGTGACTTAATCGTTGTGTTTTTTTTACATACCAACGTTTTAGAACTAGTCGTTTGTCTATTTGATTTCAATAAGCCTACTCATTCTTTAAAAAAGATACAAGATATTTTAAATGACTACATCACTAGTTTAAACACATTTCATCTCCAATATGATAGCGGTACATCCGTGTGTACATAGCCGCGGGTATAACACATCACATCCTTCAGTATATTTACATACTGACGTTGTCAATGATTCACACGTGGGTTTTATCTTCAGCATTGGTAACGCGTACAAGTGTGTATTAATACGTAAAACATCAAACTTAATGTAATTGAAATATCGTAGATGCGAAATCCGGTAAAATCTTATCGGAATGAGTGAGAAGCACAAACATCAGGTGGGATTTGCATAATATTTGTCCTAGTTAAATGCTTTTGATGATTAGGTAATCTTTACAACAACGGCGTAAGCTGAGGTTGGGATGTTACCTAATCTTGGCCCGAGACTAGAGATAACCCAATCTTGCTCAGCTACAGGCGATTTAATTTTTTTCTCGCACCTTTCAGTTCGAAAAAAATATTCAGTTTTGCTAAAGACTGCGAGTATATCGTCATGGACCTCAAATATAAATGGCCTCTACTCTACTAAAGCTACATTTGAACGCTTTCGCGTAAAAAAAATAGTCCGTCCTTACAAAGAAGACAACTTACTTTACAGTGTAGATTACATTTTATCTACAACATCAGATATCATACAACAACAAATTAAAACACATACTGACAAAATGGAATATGTATAATTCAGTTTGTTAATTTCAGGCTCTTATCGCGCAGAGGAACACATTGCAGTTTGAAATTCCACGAAACGTCACGTTAAGTTACCAGACTGGTCTAACGAGATAGAAAAATCTAGCAGTGGGTTAGACGATGGATTTCCCTGTCTAAGGTGCGAAACAAATCTAGCTGTATTTACCAAAGAAGCAAACAGATGTATTCCCAAAAAATACCACCTTGTCATCAATAAGTGACAAAGAATACCTTAGTTCGAACTCAAATTCGAAATGAATAGGACGAAATGAAAGCAATAGAGATATTTACAATGAGATCTTTAGAAGAGTACAATGAGCATAAAACAAGATATGTCTAGAAAGTGTTGGCGTCTTTAGCGTCATAAATGACACCGCCATGTAAGTCTGAGTTATATATAAGTAATGTAACGTCCTCAGAGTAAGACCCGGGACCTTTATGTCAAACTAAAATAATGCATATTTCACAATGAGATGAGTATACATGTATCCACCACAACACTTGTCCATATTCTTTATCAACCTGAATCGTTGGAAACGCTGTGCTGTTATTTTGACCGTCAACCGTCGACATCTTTCACAGAAGTCAAGACAATCGGAGGAAATCCACGGACCAAATCATCGTCGTGACATGCTGGTGAAGCAAGGATCTTACTATCATAAAAGGAAAAATTCACAAAACCAGAAAGCCGACTCTGTTGATCAGGTCTTAAGATTGCGAAAACCGAAAACAAATGTGTAGAAGAAGATATAGTGTCATCGATATCAAGTTTAAGATGGTATAAAACTCGATGTGATTTATAACTTTGTTGATAAAAGTAGGATAAAAATAAGACGACACCTGTCAAATGTCACAACCGGATGAGAGGTCTCCTCTTACATAGTTGTATATATTGATATCGGTAACAGATAGGTTGTATTAACGCTATGAGGTCACATATATATAGTTACAATAACTGTGTAATTTATTCCTATCGTATATGTTACCGAGAGTATGTTCATCCATAGTGTTTAGCCCATACACTATACACTTGCATATCAACATAAATGGTTGTTTTTTTTCGCGTTTTATTTTTGTCTCCCTGAATAGTTGGCGAAAATGCTTACTTTTTTGACAAAATTATATTTATTCATCGCCTAAAGATGACAACAACCTAGTCTGAAATAGTCTTCTGTTTTGCAACACATTTGCTGATATTGCAATAGGTTCTTTGCTTAGTTTACAAATTAATTCGGATAAGAAAATGGACAACTACGCTAAAAATATAAAAGAGAGTTCACGTTACGTCATTATTTAGTAGAATCATCATTTAGATATTTTTTATTACATAAAGTTATAGTTATTTGGAAGGAAATTCAATATCAATCTGTGATATTTTGAGTAATGTTTTACAAAAAAATAGAACAGGCTTATCAAGTGGAGCTGTAAGTATGTAATAACAAGAACGAACTTGTTTCCAGGGGCCTGTTCGTTTATGCGGAACAACCGGTTTGACCGTTTATAAATGTAACAATTTCGGGTATAAATCCTGGCGGACCTGCAAATGTGTATGCAGGCTTTGCAAGGCTTTCTCAAGGCTCGCCTGAAAGCAGCATCGGATTACTAGGTCCGACCTTATTTAATAAACGAACAACAGTGGTCCGATCGGTTTGACCGTTTAAACGAAAACGGCCCTGTATTCACTAAGCACTTGTTTGTTTTGCATGTATTCATCAGCACATTACTTGTCATACCATTAGCGACGTCATCCGTGATATAACTTAAATACTATGTATTACGATTTCATTATCTAGATTATCAATTCTTTCTTTAGTAGCAACATTTCAATCTCTAAATGTTAGTTGCGTTTCCATATAACAGTTGGTTTTCTACTACAATGGCTGTTCCAAGAACCAGTTTCTAGAGTGGTTTAATGCTACGCTGAAGATATTTTACCGATATCATCATCATCTGAATGATAGTGTAGGCATTGATTAAAAATACTTGTTCACTGCATCCTAGATAGCTCAAATCGGTATACATGTTTGGATTATACATGACACACAAGGAAACTTCCGTGTAGTACCGGAAACGCTAACCAGTAAATAACACATAATTAAGTCAAGTTTATTTATTTATTCGTTTTGTTATGATGCCCCCTCCAATGTTATCCGTTCGTATCTTCTTCTGTTCGCTTATTTATTTATATTTGTAGTCTATTACCATCTGACCTTATGTCCTAAAACAGTATTAATCTGAATCTGTCTTTTAAAAATCAATATGATATATATTTCGAAACAAGTTTCGATTTGATGAAAAACGTTCATTTCGACATGACATAGTAAACTTACCACGTAAGAAATTATCAGCTCAACGAGGCGTTTTATCAGGTACGTGTTCTCATATTAACTCAGCGTAATATGGGGTCCCGTATCATAAAATATACACATACACTATTAACATATATACCTCTACATCATCATTCGACTCATTAGAAGGAGCGACACACTGACAGGATGATTTCATACACAGAGACAGTGCTGTTTCTATGTGCTGTCTGTGTATTACACTGTACCATTGGTAAGTGTACATTTAGGCATTTAAATAATCTATTGTGAATGAAGTTAAATTTAAGAGAAAAAAATATGAATTAGATTATATCACAACTAGTATATCATAGCCTGGGTGACTATGTAATTTGCCCGATGAACCCATTAATGGGCAAAACGCTAGCATCTTTGTTTTGTAGTTATTATTTATCCTTAATGTACCGATCACAAGTGCAATATCTAATTTATTTCTATTGTTGTCACGTAAAGCCAAAGTGGTAAGGCTATACTTAAACGATACAATTAACTGCTGATGCGTTTATAAAGTGCTTATATACAATGCTTTTTATTCCATACATGTTAAACAAAAATGGGTAAACTAATTCTGTGTGATACAATGTATACATAAATAAGAGGATTCGGAGCTCAAACTAAGCATTACTAAAAAGATACATAATTGAAACAATGTCCATTGAAATGATTTTTGAATCAGAAACTGCTAAATATAAAGATATAAATGACGTCATATCATCATGTGTTATGACATTATACTTTTTGACGAGTAAATACAGTTTTGTATATATAAATCTATTTACATGTTCACCACTGAGTGATAGTTCAAAAACATAGTTTATACACACAATGATAACAAGGAGACATTACAATTAATAGAGGATATTTAATGGTGTCTTCAGTAATAACAAATATATTTAACGAGTGTGGCTAATATTTTGATATTTGTCACGAGTGCGCATAGGATACTCAACTTAGTTCCAAAGTTTTCTACCTTTTCCTTGTAGGATTGTAAATACTAAGTGAGTGTACCAAACATTTACTAGAACAACCACTTATTCTAACGTCGCTTCATTTGAATCTGAACAAAAGATCGTTGCCTTTAAATGCAGCGAATAGAAAATACCGTTATGATTGGTCAATACCAAAACGCGATATTTTCACACTGTAAACAAATCCGATACTTCACTAGCAAAAAAGTAATAAAAATAACTAATCATTAAGATGGTATTGAGCAAGTGTTTCCTGCTGACAAATAAGCAGTACAGTAGCTACGGGTTTTTAACAGCGATGCCCTTATCTACGTCGATGACTTCCTGGTGACTTCCCATACGTTGAAGAATTCAATTTGTATCTGTATACATTGCATAACACGGGCTGATGCATGTTAAAGGACGAGTTATGGCCAACGATGGAAAAAAACATTTTTCTTATATCATAGCTTAGATGAAATGTTAGATTCTAGATAAAATTGGTGCTTTGCGGTAGTTCACTTTGCATGTAATGAGATCTGAGTTATCTTAGGGGAACTAATTTCTGTATCACTAATCTACTTTACCAAGTGATATCACCAACAATTCAGTGATAGTTTCAATACAAATATCCATGTTAACATAATACACTGATAGTGTGTGTTTACTTTGGTGACACCATATTGATATCCATGCGCCTGCAATATTTCACGTTTTTATAAAATTGGAGGCGATGCGGAACCTTTCATTCATGTAGAAAATACATTCAATGGAAAGTAACGATGCCTGAAAGTTCCTGCTTATGATATAAAATTAAAAAAAGTATCCTTAAAACGCTTCAGTTTATGCAGCGTTTTATAATATTTCCTTTTTTAAAAGATGTGTAGTTTACAAAGTTACAAAGTCGCATTATAGGCTTCGGGAAAACGGAAATTTCCTTAGCTCTGAGGTAGAGTGTCCGACTGGAAAATCGGTGTCAATTGTGCTATTCCTAGCGAGTTTCACTACTTACTAATTCTACCGATTGGTGCCGTTGACACTCGCATTTCATTGTGATGGAGAACACTCGTGGAGCAAACTAAAATGGGTTTAACCAAGTAAATGAGAAAAGGGTGAAGTATTGTGTAGAATTTATATTGTTCATAGTGTCAACATAACCTTTTTTGCGTCAGTTAGAGGGAATGTTCCGTTTAGCTTATCTGTAGAGCGTCTGACCAGAGATCGATCGGGAGGTGGAGGTTCGACTCCAAGCGAAGGCATAAGTTATTTTAACTCCTTTTTTTCTATTATAAATTGTGCCGTTGACCCACCCTTCAAGGTTGTGAATAACCATAAACGAGGGGCAAATAAACCAAGGTTGTGGCTGTTGAGTATTGCTTTGAGTGAGATCTGAGGAAAATAATTTATTTGTTACTAACTAAATATAGAATTTATTCAAATCACAACAATTATAGAACAATTATCCTTGTTGCCCGGACATTAGAGCGTATGGGTCTTGACGTGGTTCGGTAGTCCAATGGTAGGACGCCTGGCTCGTGACCGCTTTGAGACGACCTACAAACTAGGTTGTGATAAAACGGTTTATGAGAACCTCGAATTAATATTACTATTATCATGATGTGGAACGAAACAAGAGTACCCGGAGAAAACCTTCATGGTCGGGCAGGTGATCATATCCCTTCCCACGTCTTAGTGGGGATTCGAGCCCCGGTCGTCTTGCTGAAAGGCTAGTACCCTATCCATTTCGCCATCTGACCACTCTTACTAAATGTAACCTGATTGATACGATATAATATTCAAAATTATTTCGCTATGTAGCGACACATTCAAAATAAAACTGATAATAAAATGACTTCATTATAGATAATCCTATAAATCACATGCCAACAATTGAACATGACGTTAGCAGTTAAAATATGTACAATTAACACAGGATAACCTATTTACAACAACCTATATTAGATTAGATGACAGTGTTTCGAAACACCTATGCTGTTCAACAACAAACAATTAAGTGATATGCTTATCAGAAATACGATAAAGAATGTGTTTAAGTTCGCTGTTATAAAATATCACTGTTACCTGGCCTTTAGATAAACGGATGTACACAGTGCAGACTCGGCAATGCATCCATATTTGTAGGGGGGCTGACTTGGATATGACAGAATGTGTACATGCTGCAATGTAGCCGAAATCGAAGATTAATTTCAATATTTTATGTCCATTCTGTTCAGATTTACGTCAAAAATATATAAAGAAATATTATCGAAAACCAAATGTATTGAAGCTAGTTCAGCTTTTGTAAATGTGTATATTTGGCATTAAAGATAGTCATTGAATGGCTATTAACAGCGAAAGTCATTTAAGGACGTGCCTCCGTGTGTGTAATGTATGCGAGCTTGCGTGTTTGTATGCATGAGACAGGGTATGTTGGTGTGCTTGCCTCCTTGTAATAGCGTGGATCTGATGCCGACTTTATAGTGACTATCTCATCGAAATACCTTGCCAAAGGCACCCAGCTCAGCATTCCGCCCGATCACATTATACTGTCAACGGGTGAACCAGTTGTTGTCATTCCCCTTAATGCTGCACGTTAAGTAGGGAATAACAACTACCATTTTTATGTCCCGACTTGGGACAGAGCCCATTGCCTTACTCAACCAGGCGAACGCTCAACATTAATAAGGCCAAAGGTAAGGTGTTGTCAAACAAGGCGCTAAGAAATAAAAGGTAGTTAGAAGTAGAAAGAAAAATAAAGATCCGAAATACCTTGCCGAAGGCACCCAGCACAGCATTCCGCCCGGTCACATTATACTGTCAACGGGTGAACCAGTTGTTGTCATTTCCCTTAATGCTGCACGTTAAGTAGGGAATAACAACTACCATTTTTATGTCCCGACTTGGGACAGAGCCCATTGCCTTACTCAACCAGGCGAACGCTCAACATTAATAAGGCCAAAGGTGAGGTGTTGTCAAACAAGGCGCTAAGAAATAAAAGGTAGTTAGAAGTAGAAAGAAAAATAAAGATCCAAAATATTGCAATAGGTGCAGCAGATTTATTATGGTCGCTTTTGTGTCCCAAATAGAGGACACCAAGCAAATCCCCAAATCTTCAGGGTCTCCCACATTAGTCACCGCCTACGCTACATGCCGTGGGTAACAGCAGGTGTATCCTTTTCCCGATCGTCCACCCACAGGCATTCAAGAAAGGAAAACTAAATTGAGGGGCTTATTATGATACAATTAAATTTAAACATGAAAGCAGTCCGTTATGATTCACTCTTCGTTTGTTTGTTTATGCAACTTGTGAGTACTAAGGCCTAAGGAATAAAGAACACTGTACGTTGAACATTGACATATCTGTAACAACTGAACTAATCAAACCAAACTTTGATTTAATAGTAAGACAACTGGGTAACTGCATAAGTGAGAGTCGACTTTACATAGGAAGCTTCTTAAATTACACAGTAATAACTGTAAAAGTAATTCTACATTATATCAAACTGAATAGTATTTCACATTTTAAAAATTGTTTCCACTTAGTTGGTATCTTGAAGTATTGTCGTTTCTCAATTTGGTGCAAATGAGGCTTGGTAACCTCATCAAGGGTTCCTTGCCTCAACTCGTGCAGTCAATATATATATATATCATCAATTGTCCTTTTTCACTGGGGGGGGGGGGGGGCTTACATTAATGTGTTCTTGTCTAAATCTATTAATGAATAGCTATTTAACAATAAGTGTCTACGTAATGTACGTTTAATTGTTTACATAATATATTTTACAGCAGCTGACCTCGATCCTTGTGGCACTGTAAATTTGCTACCTAACATGGATAAACGGGGACTGAACGATACACCGAACGCAAGCCATCCTATTGATGACCGCTACAACATCCCGGACGGGGGTAGTTGGTACAGAGTAGAGGGCCAACAAATGCTTACCAACATATCGAATGCACATATACAGATGTGCAGCACTACATTTCCCATTTACTTACAAGGTAAATTGTCATATGGGATGATGTTTCCGAACACGCAATTGGTAGGACAATTATTCAGGAGGTGGGAGATTTAAAAGTGTCATTTAATCACAATTCAACAATGTTATACGGTTTCCCATTCTTACTACAATTTAATTAATTGAAATCCCCGTCGGCATCGTTTAAAATGTTTGAACAAGTTTGTTTGTAAATAAATTAAAACGTTATACTGAAAGTTTGATGTACATGTATAGAGTTTATATATTTCAAAATCAGTTAAATTGATGAAGGTTTTATTCACACCATCTCGATTAAGTAGGATGTGCACTTCTGTGGTATCATCAGTGATTCAATGAAACTAATTGTTACGTATTCGTGTTTAAGGAAATGTACCTAATATAGCCGACGGAGTAGTATCTAGGACAGCGTGTGTCATCACTTTTGGTAGCGAGTGCAGCCACCCACAGACGATAAAAATTAAAGTATGTCAGGACTTCACAGCGTATTTCCTTCCACCACCACTTGGTACCGCTTCAGCATACTGTTTTGGTAAGTGTTAGGAGAAGATAAGTGTCATTGCATCGCACAAATTGACCACAAATTGACAAAATTGAAAACAATTTTTGTTTTTTGATTTTGTATTTCAAAATGATATTATTTACTATATAACAGGCAATTCAATATACAATATTTATTTTTTTAATTTTTTTAACAGTACATAATACATTTACAATTCAACACTTTATTAAAGATACATATTTTTTACGTTCTATGTAGTTAATAGTATAACTGCATATAATTGTGATATGTACTTTTTTAAGAAAGAAAAGAATGAGAGATAGAAGAATTAAAGGAAGAATAGGATCAACATAGAAAAAGAGAACTTGAATAAGAGGGAGAAGGGGTACATGCTGACATTTAATAAAAGAAATAACTCAATCTATACTTGAATTCATGATTCCTAAGTAAAGTCTTTCATTGTTGTCATTTTTATCATAATTTTATATTGATATTAATATTGCCAGGGACTTTGACCAGTTTTTGTATTAACTATATATCCATACACATATATATTGTAATTATAGAGGATATAGACATCATTATAGAGGATATAAAAGTATGGCATTGATAGTAAATCATACCAAGATTCACTCAACTTGAGACTGAATCATAGTATATGATTCTGAACCATTTTAAGGCAAAGTTCACCACATTCATAGATTCTTGTATAAAAAGTAAAATGAAGAAAAATAACCTGAGAAAATTTTCAATAAGGAACAATGCTACTTTTAAAAAAGACTACAAGTCATAATAGTAGGACATACCAAGTTTTGTTGAGAGCAAAATCAGAAGATCTCCAGCCAAGATTATATACCGTTCAATTAAAATTTGGAGAAACAAGACATCATTGGAGATACAAATCATTCAAAAATGAAGTCACTGAGTGCTGACGAAAACTTTATATAAATAGTAACAGTGACCTTGTCCTTAGCACCCTGGAATATGAACTCGTTCAAGGTATTCCCATACTTGACCATTACATGAAGTTTGATCAAAATCTCTTTAAAAGATTATTGAAAACAATCTTCAACTCTGAAGAAAAATAAAAAATAAATTCATATCATAACACAGTCAACCAAATTTCAAAGAGATCAGTTAACAATATTAACTGAGAATAGAAAGATCCAAGATCCTCAACTAAGACTGAAGCAATGAGATAGCAAAGGGCAATAACTCTTACAGAAAAACACAACTTCCTATCATATTCATAAAGTTTACCAAGTTAACATATCAGTTACATATCAGTTACAATATAAGAAGTCATCGCCAGGCAAACAAGTCTATGCAGTGAACAGACATGGAAAACATATATCTCTTACAATTTTGAACAGAGAATGAAACATCTAAGCATTTCTGAATTTTATGTAGAGACCAGTAATCTTTCCCATTTTTTCCATTCGTTCTTAAAGATGGTAAAATTATTTTCCTCTTTACCAGTAGCTATATATTTTTGAGAGTAATATGTTTCTTTAATACAGTTTTTCAAAGCTGATAAAGACAGGCTCTTTTCCTGGCATCTTGTGTTGTACAAATATTGCTTCATAACTAAAAAAAATAAGTTATCAACATTGTTTTTTTCCCTTATAAAATCCAAAGATAAAAGTCTCTTTGTTGAAAGTAAAGGGAATAAATAATAAATCTAACAAAAATTCAAAATTTGTCAAAAACAACTGTACTTTTTCACATGCCCATATCCCATACTTATTTTCAGTATTACAACGACTGCCGAATGGACTATCAACTAGGCCTATTTTATAAAGAAATGAATTTGAAGTTAGAATATATTGATTTATTCTAAGTTGAAACCATTGTAATTTTGTATTTTTACCAATTTTGAATGGTGTTAAGTATATTTCCCTCCATATTTGTTCATCAAAATCAATCATTGCTTCCCATTTTCTTTTCCCAGTAGATGTTATATTATTTTGACACAAACCGTTATAAAAATATTTTTCTCCCTTTTTGTGTTTGAAAAAAATGTCTAAGTTGGTATGCACATGTATGTATGGCCGTTTTTAATTTCAGCAGAAATGTCTTCTTTATAATAGTTCTTTTTTATAGCGTTTATGACACCTTGATAAATAAAGAAGTTAAATTTCTCTATGAATTCTTGATAGCTGTAAAATATTCCGTTGCTATTTTCTTTAACTACGTCATTAATTATTATTACCCCTTTCCTATATAATCCCTGTAAAAAATGCTCTTATTTTCTAATGCTACTAAACTATTGTACCAAATGGGTTTTTTGAGAGCATCATTATTCTTATTCACAAAACATTCTGTTTTCTTGGAAAGCTTACTCCAACTTAATAGAACATCTTACCAGAATAAGTTTTTAGAAGATTATTGGCATTTTAAAATATAATTTGTACCACAATTTGCAAAATAATCTGTATTTCCAAAAGTTTAAAAAATTGATAGCCATTTCCCTTTACTCGTAAACAGCCGTCGAATCCATGTAAGCTTTAAAGATTCAATAACAGATTGTAACTGTATCATTGTCAGGCCCCTTCATTAAAGTTCTCAATAATTATATCCTTTTTTATCTTGTCTTATGAGCTGGAGAAATTATAAGAGATCAGGCCGATATTTTAAATGAAATCAAGTTATTTTATGAAAATTTATTTTCAAGAGAAAGTTTTTTTTAAATAGTGTTACTAATGATGTTCCCAAATTAAATCAGTCAGAATCTTGTTCTCTGGAGGGTGCCATTTTTATGGCTGAGGCCTCAAAGACCTTAAAAAAATTGAAAAATGTCCGGGGTCAGATGGTTCTACTGCAGATTTAAAAAAAATGTTTTTTGGGAAAGTTAGGTAATTTTATTGTAAAATCAATTAATTTTGGATTTATGAAGGGTGAATTATCAGAAATAAATTAATAAACAGTGATCAGACAGGTTCTATAACGGGGAGATATATCGGGGAAAATATAAGGTTAATTTATGATATCATGCAGTATGCAGAAGAAAATGAAATTCCGGGTATGCTTTTAATAATTGATTTTGAAAAGGCTTTTGACTCGGTTAGTTGGGAATATATTAACAAAGTGTAGGCTTTTTTTTAAATTTTGGAGTTGATATGCGTAAATGGATTAAAACCTTACATGCGAATATTATCTCTTCTATCAATCAGGGTGGAAATCTATCAACATTTTTTAGTATAAAAAGAGGTTGTCGTCAAGGCGATCCAATTGCCCTTTGCATATTCATTTTATGTGTTGAAATATTAGCAATAAGGTTAAGGAACAATAATAATATTAAAGGAATTAACATAGAAAATATCCCTCCACTAATATCTCAATACGCAGACGATACATCAATAATTTTAGATGGTTCTAAAAGTTCTTTAAAGAGTCATTTATAGAATTAAAGACTTTTGCAAACATTTCTGGGCTAAAGGTAAGTAAATGCAAAACTTAAGTAATATGGAAAGGTAGTAAAAAATATCGTAATCACGTACTATCCAGAATGGAATCTGCAGTGGGCAAATACAAGATTCACAGTTTTAGGCATTGAATTTAATGTGGATTTGCATCGAATTCCTAGACTAAATTACGACATAAAATTAGTAAAACTTAAGTAATTCATTAAGAAGGATTTTGACACCTATAGGAAGAATCCATATAATTAAGTCCCTCCCCATATCTCAGTTTAATCATCTTTTTATTACTTTGCCAAATCCTGATGATACATTTATTAAGAAACCAAATAAAGAAATGTATAATTTCCTATGGAACAGTTCATCAAACAATGGTTTATTAAATGAGTTGATTTGACGAAGGTAGAGACTTATTTATAACGTTCTAGAATTTTCGCTCTGATAATAAAGAACTAGTGATATATTGATATCAATCACTATTTCCCCCGTATGTTATTCCGTCTTTTCGTATTGCAGAGTTATCTGCTCTTGTGAGTAGGTGTTGATTGTGGCGTCATTTGTTTGTGAGAGTAACGTCATCAATTTTTGAGAAAACGACGTAATTTTCTCAAACAACCCAATGACGTAACAATCAATACCTTCTCACAAGAGAGGATAACTTTGCAATACGCAAAGACGGAATAGATAGCAATAACGCTATAATTTTAGCACTTTATAGTGCTGTGTAAATTGACATATGTCGCTAATTCTTAGGAATAATACGTTAGTATAAGAACGTTTGCGGTAAGTATGAGATGCACATACATATTTCAGGTATAATTGCCATTTTCTATTTCAGTATCTGAAGACAACAGTGAGTATTTTCTGTTCATATTTTGTTGTAAACTATATTTTAAACGTTAATGTAATTGAAGGAATATATATTCCTTTAATTTTCATATTGACGTAAACAATTCTATTCATTTGAAGGTAACACAATGACAGAATATATCCCGAATCCAATATATTATTTATATCATTACAATAGAAATTATTGCTGCTATGTTTTGTTTTGATGTCATGATTTATATTAATTTAAAGGTCATCCACCAGCGTATCCCATTCCGAAGCCTACGTTGTCTCACAAACTGGTAACAGTTGATATAAAGCAAATACTACAGTTCGTTTGTACATTCGTACCTTCAACCGAAGACCTTTATTATCAAGTATTTTGGTTCGTCGATAGTAAACCTACATACATCACAAAATTGGCGCAGAAAACATCACTGGATACATTGGTGTTTGAAGAAAAACAGGGTCAACTAGAAAAGCTTGGAATTAATGTAAGAACACATTCAGACACACGTTTCAAATCAAAATAAACAAATATATTTTTTTCATAGGTATTGGATATAAAACAGAATTGGTAACAGATGACCATGGCTAGTGGTTATAAAACAGAATCAGTAACAGAGGGCCATAGCTAGTGGTTATAAAACAGAATCAGTAACAGAGGGCCATAGCTAGTTGTCACAAAACAGAATGAGTAACAGATGACCATAGCTAGTGGTTATAACACAGCATGGGTAACAGATGACCATAGCTAGTGGTTATAAAACAGAATCAGTAACAGAGGGCCATAGCTAGTGGTTATAACACAGAATCAGTAACAGAAGGCCATAGCTAGTGGTTATAACACAGAATCAGTAACAGAGGGCCATAGCTAGTGGTTATAAAACAGAATCAGTAACAGAGGGCCATAGCTAGTGGTTATAGCACAGAATGGGTAACAGAGGACCATAGCTAGTGGTTATAGCACAGAATGGGTAACAGAGAACCATAGCTAGTGATTATAAAATAGAATGGGTAACAGAGGACCATAGCTAGTGGTTATAACACAGGATGGGTAACAGAGGATCATAGCTAGTGGTTATAACACAGGATGGGTAACAGAGGACCATAGCTAGTGGTCAAAAAACAGAATGGGTAACAGAGAACCATAGCTAGTGGTTATAAAACAGAATGAGTTACAGAGGACCATAGCTAGTGGTTATAAAACAGAATGGGTAACAGAGAACCATAGCTAGTGGTTATAAAACAGAATGAGTAACAGAGGACCATAGCTAGTGGTTATAAACATAATGGGTAACAGGGGACCATAGCTAGTGGTTATAAAACAGAATGGGTAACAGAGAACCATAGCTAGTGGTTATAAAACAGAATGAGTAACAGGACCATAGCTAGTGGTTATAACACAGCATGTGTAACAGAGGACCATAGCTAGTGGTTACAAAACAGAATGTGTAACAGAGGACCATGGCTAGTGGTTATAAAACAGTAACGGTTATTTCTAGCAAACATGTTATTGCAGAATGTATGGATGATTCAAACAAACGACAATATGGTAACGGTATTGGCAATACACATTTTGAACATTTTCGAATACCATTTTGAGTTCTAGTAAGAAGATGTCGTTTTTCTTTTTGTTTCATATCAATTTCATTGGTTCCTTGTCAGACGTTTTTATTATCATTTATCTTATTTATTTCATTTTTGTGTATGTTTCATTACAGTTGTTTTAAATTAACACAAAGATGCATTTTTTGTTTTAATCATGTCACTAGAAATGTTATTATGCTACTATAAGTTCTGTATACTGTTTATTGTTGTCTCTTCTAGGTTGCGTGCTCTGTTCGTGCTAAGAATAAACCAGGTGGTGTACCCGGTCATATGTCACAGACGAGTGAACAATTCTTCGCTGGAATAACTGTATGTTGACCAACGGTTCCGTTTAATCGGATCGGGTAGCAGACAATTAGTATCTATTCTGAGTACAGTTTTGTCCAGGAAGTAAATGTTTCATACAATTTAACTGACATGAATTGGATTGGTATATGTTATGTGGGTTTTGCACTATATTTGTTAATGATTACATTAAATGGTATATGTACATATTTCAAACAATGAAGAGAAGACAGAGCTATCAATACCATGCAGTTTATAAATAACTATTGCTCTATATGCTAACTTTCTACAGGTAAGAACGCCGACGGTAACTGTTTATCGCGGTAAAGCACACCATGGCCACTCGTACATCGTATTAAAACCGACAGTTCCCATCGGTTGTCCTATGCTCCCGAATCTGAGGTGTTTTGTTACAGTCGAGGTGAGCATTCCACACCAATATCAACACTGCACGGGAAACATCGGTGCGGTACAGCCAGGTGGAAATCACGGCTGTGGCGTCAATATTCACCACGACGAATGGGACCGTGAACATAGACTTGAAGTGTTTTGGGATGATAACCAGGCCTACAGTATACAAGCCGCTAATTACAGAGTCAGTTTGAGTACCACAACGAATGACTTTCGTCCCATTTGGGGCGAAATGAGCCTCTCTGATGTCAATGTAAGTAGTGTGTGATAATTGTCCTACACACTCGACGTTTAATGATTCCACATCATGATATACTAAACACATCATTGAAACCCTATCATAAGTTCTTGTTTCTGTTCATTGAAACATTGTTCGCCTCGCACGCATTACAACCATACATTTATCTAGGGTTAATAAAGTAGTAATTTGTCGTGACTCCATGCTTTCTATTGATTTTAATCAATCATATTCATGATGTGATCTATTTACGTCATTCCTGTGTACTATTATTTCATTTTAATGATTTTCTTGATTCGATACATTTACATGTCTCTCTGTGTCCCTTTTTGGCAATGATTGATGATTAGGAACATGTTTCGTTCAGTTGAGCCCTTTTGTTGAAGTTTAGTAAGGATGTTTGTCTCTTTAAAAAAAGAATGTCATTCAATCTGAATTTACTTTTTGATTAAAACTTTGTGTAGTGATACTTTTGCTCGTTTTAGGTTCAAGTTGAAGACGAAACGCACATATGGAAAGGAAAGGAATGCCACGCTATCTGTGATCCGCATATGAGAACATTTGATGACCGGTAATGTTAGATGAAGCTCATTTGTAACCCAACTGAACGAGATCAACATCGTTTATGTTAAAGTTGATCACTGTATATTGTTTTATGTATCTAAAGTGTCCAGACGCTATGATTTATTAATTACTTCTATGTAGGTAAGAAAACATATGTCTAGCTGTCTAATTACAAATAATAAGCCTTTCAAATTACTTTTTCTAAATAAGTGAATTTTGGGAGAATTTTGCATTTTTGTCAAATGCAAAAAACAAAATTTGAAACTAAGAAAAAAGGTTTCAATTCTGATATCTTGAGAATACGATACTTCACCGATAGTCAAAGTACACCATCCATGTCTTAAATGTAAGTTTACCTCAGGTTTATTGGCAATCATTGGTTGGCTGCTATTTGCGTATTACGACATAGTCATTATATTGAACTTCCATTAAACAGACACCATGTAACTATCAGGATACACATTCAGTTCTCCTTGCAATATATTGATTAGTTATTTTATGTTTCTTCTTTTTCTTCCTGATACAGTTTGATTTTTGTTATTGTCATTAAGGAAAGCGATATCTAAAACAAATAGAAAAATGTTTCTCTGAAAATCGGACTGTCGCCTCCGACTGGGTTACAGTTATGCTATCATAATAGGCCATCTTCCTTCTATCGAGTTTTACATTGGTTAATAATCACGTATTATTGGGCGATATTTTACGACCGACTTTGCACAAGCAGCCCTCTTTCTAAAACTCCCTCGTAAATGTAAATATGCGAACCGCAACACCGGTTTAATTTTCGAATGCTGTTATAAACATTTAATTTTATATATATTTGAAGATCTACTAGCGGGCAAACAAACAAGATAAATTCAACCTCTAGATCTACTAAAAGCCTGTCAGGCTAACGTTCAAAATGTTCCACTGAAGTTACCGCGAAAGTGACTTAAGCTAGTGTTTGTATATCTGTCGAATGCTATAAGATATAAAGCGTGGCGTCAGAGTTATTTGTCTATCATGTGTCGATAAATGGCGACTAAAAAACGGAAAAGTAATTCCCATATACATTTATGTTAAATACACAATATAGGACACCTGTCCACAGGGTCAGAAATGATAAAAACGCGCTTGAAATAAAGTCATACTTAAATGTTAGGCGTGGGAAAGTATTACGGTGGACTTTTAAACAGGGTATTCGAAAACATTGGAAAAAGTAGGTTGAATTTGGGTTCTAAAATTATTTGTTCAACCTTGTTATATATTTCACCATAATACACGCACATGTGTTGTTCATTTCATAATTTAATATGAAAACATTTGTATTTGATATGAAGCTGAAAGTCCTGAAATTCTAACGAAAATAAACGAAATGATATAATGTATTTGTGTAATTGCAGGTATTATGATAATCAGAACCCCGGTACGTTTATACTGTATGAACATGATGATTCCTCACGAAAAATGCAGGTAAAAATGGGACAAGTCACTGATTTCTATTTAGTGTTACTGAGTGACTGCACGATATCAATCTACCTCAGTAATGGTAATTTAATAATCATTAAGTTGAACTGATTTTTTAAAAAAAAAATTGATCCTACAAAAAGTTAAAAAAAAGTTAAAAAAATAATATTGCAAAAAATCAAAACTCCCAAAAATTAATGAAAAACATTTCACAATTCCTATGTAGTGTGTATGTTATGTCATACGTAACAAGTATCTCAGTACTGATTTAAAATTCCTAAATTCAGTTCTGACCTTTTATTTCAAAAGCTCATATCAATAAACATAATGTTTTCTCAACAAACTGACTTCTACACTGAAAAGTGTACGCGTGTTTATGAATGCTTCATGAGATGTATTGTTCCTCGATTAATTGAAAAGGATTCCTTTATTACACTTTGAAATGTATATGTACCTATTCTGGTTCTGATAAATTTCTTATTGGTTTATATACTGATAAATGTGACAACACTAATTCAAAAAAGAATAATTGAATATAAACTTAATATTACAAGTAAATCGGTTTAACATTATTTATAAAAAAAAAAAAAAAAAAAAAAAAATACTAATAGAGTTAATAAAAGACTGATAAATATTCATTGTCTATGGCCAGGTACAAATGAAAGTAACGTTTTGTAACCATCCGTTACAAGTTTTTTGTGTTTGCGCCATCGCTGTGAGAGCTGGAGGAGATGTCTTTGTCATCGACCGGTGCCCGGGGATATACCGCCCTATTTTTGAGTTTCGCTCTTGTGAAGACCACATCCTGGATGTCAGAAAAATCAATGAGAACAACTATAAGGTAGCAAATAATTCCTGTTAGTGTTATATGTTATAGTTTAATTGGTTGAATCATAATCGGGTAGAGATGGTGATTTAATGATATTATTCGGTGATGCTATTTTTAGAAACATCAGGTTAATATACACTTTATGAAGTCACTTCAATTGTAAAGTAACCATGCTTTCTGCTAAGTGGATTACTTTTTTTTCTCTCTTGACAACATGGTTTACGATCTTGCGTGTGATCTTCTCATCAAATATTACCATTTGGGTCTTTTGTTTCGGTGAATATAGACCCCGTCAATATCGCTTCTCAGGTTCATATAACCATTTTCGCCTTAACAAAAGCCTAAAATTGATTTGCATTTGGTTACATACATTTGGTTACATACATGGTTACATACATTTGTTTCAAATCATATTAGATAGGTTCATAATTTATATTTTCTTCTGATGTCTTATTTTGATTTTTTCCATGCGGAAGATTCCATATATTATTTTGACATAGTTTTACCTTTACTTTTTACAAGATTTACCTGCCGAGTGGTGCCTATCTGAACGCCAACCTTCGACACTACACTGGGAAAGACGTAATGGACCTACACATGTATCCGTCTACTGCGGACACTGGCCACACCAGGGGACTCTGTGGCACTCTAAATGAAAATAAAGACGACGATTTTCAAACTGCAGACGGACGAAGAACTAACGATAAAAATACATTTTCAAAGTCTTGGAGGTAACAAGATATGTCCCACTCCCATCTTCATTTTCTTTTATGTATAACAGAGTTTCCAAATATACAAGTAAGTTTACAATGTAAGTTATTCAATCATTTGGTATTCTTCTTATGCATTAGATTCAACTAAAACAGTTGATTATTGGTTTTTGTTAATGTGGGAAATGTTAAATTATTCATTTCGAGGTTTTTAGTGTCATAATTTGGTTTATTTTCGAGCATGACAAATGTTATTATTTCAACAGATTTTAAACAAAAAACATTGATACCAAGGTCTTTGATAACTGTGTATCCCATTACCTTTATTCTAGAGTAAAAAATAGTTTTTTCTGTAGCACTGGCTTTTATTTCAAATCTAGTGAAACAAATATTTCCTCTTAATCAAACGCTTAGATATAGACAAATTATAATCTCTGTACTTTTCTCATTCTCCAATATGGGGACATTTCGTATACATGTTATAAATAAGAAAATGAGGAGTTCTAGACGGTTATGTCATAGAACCAAATTTCCAAAAATAATGAGTCATGATCTAGAAGAATGAAGCACATAGAAGTTATGCACACTAATTTCACAATGTATCGCTGCTTTCACGAGTTAAATGGTACAAATGAAATCGGGAGTAATTTGCATTGTTTTAAAATACTAAACATCTGTTACATTTTTCAATTATATAAAATAACATCCATTACGTGTTAACGAAGATACATATTACTGGATAACCAGACATGTCTTTTTTACCCGGGTATTTTTTAAACCAGAATTCTTCCTTTTATTTATTTGCCGCAAACACATATATATAACTAGAAATTGTAGACTACCAATTTGACGGGCTTTTCACCGTTAGGACTGATTTGGAGAGCACTGTAGAGCAGTGTTTGTAGTCAATGAAAATTCAGTTATACCAAGTATCAGGCATGAACTTGTGCAAGGACGTCAGAGAAAGTATGGATATATATAGGCAGCCAATGGGTGGTGTTGTATACGAAAGTAGTCCGTAGCAATCATAAAGTCCTTCGACTTTATACATCAAGGCGATGAATAGACTGGGATTTTGTCTATATCGGTTGGGTTTGCCATGCTAAAGTATGGCTGACGATCCCCACCGTAGTAGAAATATAAACTGTCCATACTTTTAAGATTGAGAGTGCGTAGTAATTGGGGTTGAATTACCAGCGTGTACTAGACATGCTCAAGTTAGGAACGTTTCTCGGCGGTAAGATTTGAGATCAAAGGGATATTCAAAATAGCGTAGGACGTAAGCGGTAAACATTACAGAAAACTGAAGACAGCTGATTCATTTGGATGGAATTCCAGATGGACTGCATGAAGATTTTTTTCAAAAAAGGTAAAAAATTGATGACGTTTGACCCGACATAGGGGTTTAAAATTTGACATTATTTTCAGGCAATATCTGCGAATGTTATAATTCATGAACGATGTATAATCAACGTTTTTTTAGTTATGGCGGTTTTAAGATTTAACATACGTCAAGGCAGCTATATTCGATTTGATGTCGTAGTTGAAAATGTAGTAATAACATCTTTAAATCATGGCCTTTAATATACCCGAAAGACTTTGAACATGCATATGTCTGCTACCAATCAAAAGATTAGAACGCCAAAATCTCTCGAATCTGATGGTGAGAACCCCTCACAATGAGAACAACACTTTCGACCTCTATGACCTACAACCCATCTTTCCACTATGATTCTGCCTCAAAAATATCACTCTATGCTACGTGGTACAAGTCTATTTTGTCCCACATGAAAATCTAATCTCAAACAGGTTTTTTTTCTGCCAGTAACTCCAATATTCCTGTAAATGACAACTTTCTGTGAAACTTAAATTGTTGTTTTTTTTGATAATTTGGCGAGCCAGATTTCTGAATCACAGTAGAACGCGAGTAAGGTGCAAAGTGAAAATTCCGCTTACTTTTGTTGTCTTCAACATGTCATATGGGCTGATTTATTACCATCATTTTACCAATAGAGTCCAAGATGGGGATAATCTTATCACTATGGATTCGGATTCTTTGAATAAGTTGGATGCCTGGAATAAAACAGTACAGTTCTGCACATGCAACGCACCCACCCAAATAGACGAACCCGTACAGAACATCACCTGCTCCCAGAGTACCGTAGCAACGTGTGTGAAGAAAGACGAAGTGTCTGTGAAAAAGCAGCAGCGATGTAGAGTGAAGACCACCAGAGGACTACGTAAAAGATCAGTGATGACGTCACCGGGACATATCAGCAGACGAAGGGTAAGACATTGTACACAAGATTATCATTAAAGGACTATATCATGTCAGCATTTTATATTATGATTAGAAATTGAGGTTCTTTAAATCTCAAGTTCGTGAGTATAATCTCAGCCTTATCAGTCTCGTTATCTTTGTGGACAATTGTGTAAATTGCTATGTATGTAGAAAAACAATATTTCATTCATTGATATCTCCTGCAAGGCACAACATAGGTATTGACATAATGATAAAACATAAATCAATGTTATGATTTAATCAATTGTATCATTTAAGCATCATATAACGTCGAGTGCGCACTTGCATCAGGTATGCAAACTGATTTTAAAATACATGTACCAAAATATGCAGACTATTATTACGAGACGTAGTTTGCTTAAAAAACCGGACACACGTCTGAAATTGATCATTTAATGTCTAGATGTTGTGGCCGAATGACGTTTAGCGATATGCTCATTATTAGAAAATAGTTTCAACCATGTGTAAAACAATCACAGTATGACATAAACAAATCATTGTTTTAATCAGAGGGAAGCAACTGGTAATTGGAACAATACCGCAGCCAGTACATTTTGTGAGGACTTTGTTAAACGCTCGTCGTCGTTCGAGGCTTGCTCCAACGACGTGTCAGTAACTGACCCACAGTCATCAATAGACACGTGTGTTCTTGACATAATGGTATATCTTTTCCATTCCTTTTTAAACTTCACTGATGCTTGAAAAAGATAACTCTTTGTGCACTTAACTTATTCTGGTGAACATTTCCAACTTTTTGGCCCCCAGCATTACCGATGAGTCTTAGAAGGACAAAATAGCTGTACTTTGCACTGCTATTCATTTTTGGCATATTGTATCTGTTAATAAATGTTTAAAGTGCAGTCATCTGTGCGTTTGCACCGTTTATTTTACAGATTGATATATTATAATTGGTCACATACTAATTAATTGACTGGATATCTTCAATCTTTTTATCAACTTTATCCTCGTAGAGGACAAACAATATACTAGAACTTTTTGATGTGTAGGCCACCCACACAACGATGTGGGCCACCTCCGCTAGGGAATCCTTAAAATCCGTCTGTCTGAAGGAACTGAAACAGAACACCACGTACCAGGAAGAGGACTCGCCCGACAGGCCTTCCATTGCCCAGCAAATTAAAGAGATCACGTGTCCTAACGAGTGTAGTGGACATGGGCAGTGTGACAACGGTAAGTATATTGTCGAAGATCCTGACTGTTCCTATAGTGAACATTGTTTAACCCGAAATATATTACTATAGGTGTATATTATTTTTGAACTTAAATTGGCAATTTCGCTAATCATCATATTCGTTAAGGTATTAAAATAACTACCATTGCTCATTTCACAATCGACAAGAATTTAAAAGAATTCTTTAAACTTAAAACAAAACTATATAACTATATACCGAATGAGTAATATGATGATGCACCACACACTATGTTAAAGATTGAAAAAAAACCCAAGTAGAAACAATGTAATAAATCATGAAAAACCCCATATATATTATGAATAAGTTTGATCTCAGAGATATTTGAGGAGGGCAAAACCCAGATATACATCTATATACTTGGCATGGTCCAAACCGGAAGCAAGTATGATTAGATTATGTTCTAGCATCTTTAGATTTGACTGCATCTATTATTAAGTATGGCATTGGGATAAGCTATTTTCCAATATTAATCGCTTTCATTCATTTCGTTAAGATATTAAAATAGCTACCATCGCTCATTTCACAACCAACAAATATTTAACAGAATTCTTATAACTTTAAAAGAAAATATATATGTGTTTATGTATACCGAAAGAGTAATGTTTTGATGCATTGCCTTTCAGGAACCTGCATTTGTAATCCTAATTTTGGAGCCGCTGACTGTTCCATTGACGTACGTGTACCTCCTCATATATATGGCGTTAACATGGACTCCAACGGTACTTGTGACATCCGGACTTGTGACTCGGCTATTGTTGAAGGGGAGACGTTTGTAGACTTTGGCAACCTTACCTGTCATTATCAACTCTTTGAGGTAAGTGACCTTTACACTCAATATCATTACAGCAACGTGCTTATACATACCGTTACGCAATGCATGGCAAAGGATATATTCGAATCAATAAGCATGAAATAACATTGTATGTTTAAATAAGCCTCAGAATTGAAGCGATTCCGTGTGGAAACGTTGAGTATTGTCATGCTAAAACATTTGTATATATATAAACATTTAAACATATCTTTTATAATGAAATGATTGTGTTCGTTGTGGTAATTGCCACTTCGAGCAAAGTCAAGTTATGTAATTGAAGTTAGATGTCAATAAATTATTTTCGAGATATACTTTTTCAGATAAATATTAATGGTACTGAGGAGTTTTTTATGAACATGACATCCCGCGGACAGTTCAACACGCTGGTTGAGGTGTTCTGTCCCCTGCCAGACCTATGGAGTGCACGTGATACAGACCGTTCATCTGACCTGTCTTCATTCCGCCCGGTCCCCTTTGTCTATCGGTGGTCAGTTGGTGTCAGTAATGACGGCGAACACTTTGGAGAAGTCACTGACCTGATAGTTTACAACTCAGAATGTCAGCTTATAGGAGAGATTGATGACTTGATACTGGGATTGGAGGTAACGACATTTTGTAAATTCTTCCAAAGATTTGAATGTACCTGGTCATATCAAAAGCTGATTTGTCAGTCTGGAAACTAGGGAGTCTGGGAATCTGGGAGCTTCAATTTACATGATATTGTATGTTTGGATGTACATAATGTAAACTCACAACATATGTGAATGACCTATGCTAGGAAATGGAAAGAATACTTTGTAATATTGTAAAGGTTTGTTTGGGGGGATTGATGGCGCAGTGGAAAGGATACTAGCTTTCATCAAGACGACCGGGGAATCCCCGATGGGTCGAGCAACGGTATGGAATGACAAGGCCCCCACATGCGTTTCTCCGAGTTCTTAGGTTTCCTTCGATGTAAAGACCCTTTTGTACCCTTTCATCCGGACGAACAAGAGTGACGAATATAATCGCAACAACTGTATTCATCTTTTCAAAACGTTTACAGTTGAAAGTTTGTTTTTTCGTAGAAGTGAAGCAAGGTATGATTTTCTATTATATTGCAGAAGAATACACGCTGTAATTTATGTTTACAGTGCTAGGGTGATTCTCAATATTTCTGAAATTTTAAAGATGTTTGTTCTCCTTTGATACATATTTATGTATTCGGGAAAAGGAAAATTTATCTAAAAAATAATATTGAATGTTTCTTGACGTTTCAGGACGAGTATTGCTTTGTTAGGGGCACATGCGCACGAGACGGGGTAACAGACGCATCTGACCAGTGTTCCGTGTGTAAGCTTGATGCAACACGATTCGACTGGAGTACGAATAACGGTACGGTAATCTCCTTAATAACAAATAAGTGTCTTATCAAAGCGATAATGAATTTAAAAGGAACGGCGCATAATCTAGATTAACATCGTTTCAAATTAGTTAAAACTGTATAGCAAATCAATTGCCTTTTTCCCATTAATTGTATAACGTACGCTCACTTGTCAAAGTCAATGATTATCTATATAACCATAGAGCCATACATGAACTAGTTGAAAACATCGGACCATTATTTCAGTCAATGAAACCGTTGCAATGTTGTAATGTTTTCATGTGTTTACGAATAAATTTCTAAATCTTGTTTAAATATATATTAAGATTGATAGTAAAATTATATTTCAAGGAAACATTCATATAGATTCATTTGTTGTCGGATTATTGCTGGAACTGAGTCTGCGTGTTTGGTAATACTAATGGTGTTTGTTTATTAGATTATTGCCAGATCGCTGATCTTTGTGTGGCCAATAACTCCGTGGATACACAAAACAACTGCTCCATCTGCAACGTCGCTATATCTACTGATTCATGGAGTCATAATCCAGGTAATTACGGTAATACAATACGTCGATGTCTTATCCTAACTAGTCAGTTTTCAGCTTCTTCGAGATCTTGACTGAAACGCAATATTTCCTATTTTTTATTTATTTATTGTTGATAAGATTGAATTTCTCACAAACAGTTATAGGGGAACTTCAGTTCTAGTCTAACTCATCTTTTTGTGTTCCATCCTTGCCGATACAAGTTGGTATACTCTGCTAGTGTATTCTTAGTCTCCGAGGTTTGACTTGTCTGTTTTGAGTAGAGGCACAGTTAATATATCAACTTTAGTTATTATCAATTTGAAATTTACCAGTACTTCTGTTTTAAATTTTTAGATTTATATGATTAAGGTTTTTATGATTCCCCTTAGTTTAACAGCAATATTCTCCTTGGGTTAAAAGCTATAATTTATAAATATAGCAAACAGTGTCTTTCTTATTCTATATTAGTTCCTTTTATACCAGGTTGAATAGTCCACTGAAATAAAGTAATATTTGAGCATCTTCGCATTTCTACAGATAGTAATAACATTGAAACTAGGAACACTAAATCGTTGTCTACACGTATTTGTACGATGATAAAAAACATGATACTGATTCGCCTGTGCAGATTACTGTTTAGTGGACGAGGGGTGTATTCCCGATGGGTTTCACAAAAATGCGTCCTCCTGTCTGACTTGTGATACCTTCCGGAACGTCAATGAATGGTCGCCGTTCCAAGGTTGGTTTAGTTTTGATGAATTGTAAATATTTAAACATCTTTTCACTTTTTTGATACATGGTAGTTTCATCACTAATTGTTTTGCTATGTTTGTATGAATCTTATTTTTAAAACCATGCCATTTATAATGGTCCCGATCAATGACAATTAATGATGTAGACAATGTTACATTATGTCAATGTTAACATATAACATGTTCTATCATATTGACAAGGCTACTGTATGATCGATGACACATGTGTTGCTGATAACGTTACTAAGGAAGGAGATGCCTGTGCAGTGTGTAACGTCATACTTTCTACTTCGGCATGGAGCGGAAATACAGGTAAACGCACAGTTTAGGTGTAAAAAGTATCTAAACTTTCAGGACACTCGTTTTTGAATTCGGTGCTTTGTCCAGTTTGAAGATTATTTTCAAGAAAAATAATACATCGACATGGAAATAGCCTTAGACTTGATAGACTTTGTCTTATTAAGAAATATCCGTCATGTTTTCCTATATGTATTCATAATCGATATACACATGAATGATAAACATTCAATTGTAGTTAACTGGATGCATACTATTTTATTTCGTCTCGTAAAACAATCTTTGAACAGTCGCATATTTTTAGAAATAAACAATGCAGAATACAACTTAATATATATCCAGTTTTATATGCTTTGAACATTTATTGTGTCTTACATAATTGTATTCGTAAAGACAGCTGATTAACGTCATGTTTCCAGAGATGTTTGCCATTAATTGATAATATTGTTGTACTTAATGTCCATTGTACATGTAACGTGTTCTAAGCCTATATCTCTTTATGTATATGTTATGCTCAGGATACTGTATAATAGACGGCGTCTGTGTCACAACTGGTACTAGCAATTCAAATACGACATGTCTAAAATGTGACGTCACACATTTGTCGAATGACTGGACCCTTATGCCCGGTAAGATATAAAGGACAACTCTTGAGTTGGTTACTAATTAAAAATATATCAGACATTTGTATTTGTATTGGTTAATTATATGTAAACGTAATTGGGGTATAATTTCATTATGTTTCAAGGATGTATTAGTCACAATTATTGATACACAAGGCATATGTACACCATGTTGATGTATAGTACAATGTAGTTACCTGTTGTTCTAATTAACTTATAAGGATACTGTCTCATTGATGAGACGTGTGTTGCTGATAACGTGACCAAAGAAGGAGACGAGTGTTCCGTGTGTAACATCAGAATGTCTCATTCGACTTGGAGCGAAAATACAGGTGAACATACAGCTATCATGTAGGATGCACTTACATTGATGGTGAACATAGTTAGTAACATAGTTTCGAATTCTATTTTTTGTCGAAGTCAAGACATGGTTTTTTTGTATTTTTTTTATCTTATGTTGGAAGTATCAAACGTAAAGTGTCGTTTCCCAAAAAGATAATTTAGATGAAAATATAGCCGATAACGATATCTTGTCTCGGTGATTCATGCTTGTTTTTTGTATTTGTCGTACATATAAATATTTCTTGGTTGCGAATGACATGAGCCTTCTTGCCAATTTATGATTTTATAAAAATGTTCTGTAGATATTAGTTAGGTACGCTTAAGTAATCTTTAAAAAGGAACTTGCTAATTGTAAAAAATACAGATATTTTTTTATATTTTTCTTCGTGTTATACCTAGGATACTGTATAATAGATGGATCCTGTGTCCCCCACAGTACCAACAAATCTCACGTAATATGTCTTGAATGTGACGTCACACAATCGTCGAATGCCTGGACACTTAAATCTGGTAAGACATGTAGCTATGCGAGATGCCACTGGTATTAAAATTACTACGTTTAAGTGCAAGAATGAATAAGTGTAAAATAAATGTTTCATTATATCTTCAGCAATGACATATTTTCGAAATGTGATTTAAAAATGTATTAGTTATGTCTGTGAGATGCTAGTATTTATTTCAACTGTCTTAGAACATTAGTTCTGCCAAATGTCAAGAAATGTTGATATTGCTTTTTTCATCTTTATTGAATCACATATTAACACAATATGTTGTTCCATCATATTTACAAGGCTACTGTCTGATCGATGGCATATGTGTTACTAATAACGTGGCTAAGGAAGGAGATGACTGTTCAGTTTGTGACGTCAGTCTGTCTAACTCGACTTGGAGCGGAAATACAGGTGAACAAAACAATTCTTACGCCTCAAGGGCTGACATGTGCCCTTTGTTCGATTCCTCATAGTATCCCTGATATCGGTTACTTTGTTTAGGTACACCTTTTTAGTAACATCTATATTATACGGAAATCAAAGTCAGAAAAACAAATAGTTATACATTAATTACTTTTGAATACGGTTGTTTCACTATAAGATTCTGTCAAACAAACTTTAGATAACACGCTTCATTTAGAACCATTTATGTACCTGTAAGTCCTGTACCTTCGATATTAGTTTAACTAACGTTATTTGATAAATGAAATACTGTAATGTATATATACCAAATGTGTTTTCGAGTTATTATCATCATAACCTTATTCTCATTTTGTTAATTGTATGGAAAAAATGCATACCACTATTCTTAATGTCAGAATCATTGTTGGCATCATATACAAATATAATGATGGATGTATTTTGATATGCTATTGATGAACTGAATGGAAGAATGATTTAGGTATTCTTTAATTTAGGCTTTTGTAGAATAAACGGGACATGTATTCGCCATAACTCGCCGTCTGATAGTGAGACATGTTTGACGTGTGATGTACGACAGTCACGTGATCAATGGACAAGGACCTGTGGCAAAACAGGTAAAGTATGACAAAGGGAATACTACGTAAACATAACAACGTTTATGAAATCATGTGTAAAATAATATTCTGTGTTACTAAAAGGTTCTGGTGATCATCTAAGATAAATTTCAGTACATAAACGTGCTGGTTATATATGAAAAGTAAATTATAAAAATATCTCTGTTATTCATACTTGTAAATAAAACAACATAAAACTAAACTATTTTTTTACATTTCTTTCTAAAGATAATGCTTTTTCGTGTACAATTCTTAGATGCAACGGCTATACCAAATATACATTTATTGCTACGTGCATAGTTTGTATATAGTTTGTATATCCAGATAACTGCTTTGCTTGTTATAGCTATATCTTATTCATCATCAAATTAAACGCAGCAGATAAATTGAAAACAACCGACAACTCAAGCCCTACCTCGTCCCAAAAACTATAGAAAGTGAGACAATAATATCCTAATTATATTTCAAATGTGATCATAGAGCATCAATAACAATCAGCATTTGTAGAAAACGAGCAGAAATTCAGCCAGATAATGTGTGTATAATAACTACAGTAAGTTCCTGGTGATATTCAGCAGCCAAACTGTCTTCGAGGAGAATATAAATATATATCAAATTAAGTATCAATTGCAATGGAGAAATGAAATGACAAAGACTGATCTACCAAGGTACCAAGGTATTTTTCGCATTCAACGTGTGTAAGATAGAGCTGTCCAAGGTAAGAAAAGGGTGTTAGAAATTTCTATATTACATCCCATTTCACGTGATGTGACGTCACAATGGCTCCACATTGACATAACGTTACGAATTCGGAAAACTCAGATGCCGCAATGCGGAATAGGCGACGTGATGAAATTAAAACCTTTGACGATATATGTACCGTACACGTCAGAATAATGAAATTAACGTTTCTGCGAAAACTCTGTTTACGAATATGGGGTATGCTAAGTCTCGCTGATAGATTTGTTTTCGTCAAGAAAGCTCAGAGGAAAAGTTGATATTTTTAAAATGGTTCCCAGTTTTAACGCGTTTTCATGGTTTCTGAGCTTATTCTTGTAGTTGGAATGAGAGGAAAATACTTTTTCATGTCCAGGGGTGTACGATAGGGAAATTCCATCCTATGGATTTTCAAATTTTGCAAAACCCTCGGCAAATCCTCTTGTTTTACAAAATTTGAAAACCACTCGGATGGAATTTCCCTATCCTTCACATCTTGGCATGGACTTATAATCTCGTTAATATGTTTGGTGTGAGATAGATATGGTGCTGTGTAATAAATTTATAATTATCTAAAGTAGTATTTTTGTTCAAATATTAAAAAAGGGTATTTTTAATAGGGATTGAACGGCGTATTAAAAAAAAAAAAAATAATAATAATTTCTTTTATCAAAATTCTGGCTGATTCAAATGTAGAATATTTGTTTATTGACACTTTTTTCAAGTATAATTTGTAAGTATTTATCATTTGCGCATTAAAGAAAACTTGTTTGATAAGATTTGATCATATAGCGGGCAATTTGTTTACAGTACAAACGACCATTGTAATACCAGCCACATCAGAAGAGAACAAAACCCCAGGAGTGCAATACCATCAAACCACGGAAAGTGGTGACACTCCAAGCACAACACATGACCTTCAACCAACAACACCTAATGACATTTTCCCCACAACTGATGATGCCGTTCCCCATACCACATCCGACACTTCAAACAACATAGGAAACGGAGGTGGAGATGCAAACAAAGGAAAGGTTGGACAAGGGAAAGCCCCATCACGAGCCTGGATAGCAGGGCCTGTTATTGGAGTATTTGTCGTCGCAATGGTGATAGGTGCAATACTGCTTCGGAAAAACATTAGGTGGGTATTTACTTATAAATTTCTCAGAATTGTGCTGATAATATTCTCTGATAATTAACCGTTGATATGTTAAACATAAGGTAAGTTATCCATAATCGTTGTGTATCACTTCAAACTGATAGAAACATTATAGTAAAATTGTATAGAGAAAACATCTTTTTTACATTAATCTAATAATCTGTGTGTTTGTCAGAAAAACGGAAACCAACTACCAAGTCAGTTATGTAGCGTCAAACTCAAACCCAGAATGATATAGCAATTCCTGGATTAAAACTGGATTATGGCTGCCGAACTGTGAACATATTCATCATAAGCAACGCAATGCATCTCATTATGAACTGGGTACGTTGGTCATCTTATAGACTACACAATCGATCCAGGAAAAATGAATATACAAAAGATTTGTCCGATTGTATGTTAATGTAATATACTTAACATATACACAAGCTGTTGAAAAAAATGTATATTTATATTTTGATTATTGTATCTTTATTATCTTTCAGTAAAGTCCTATACAGTATACTTTTCTTTTCAGAAATATGTTATCAAAGCTATAGTAATGTCGGAAAATACAGTTTGTAATGGAACGTTTTAGGTTCTGGTAGTGATACAGGGATCCTTAAGTAACCTCAGGCTACCAAGGTGTTTGTAATTCATTGCATCAAAATGTCTATATGTTACAGTACTGAAGTATGACTACAATAATTATTAATCATTTATCAAAAAACAGAGTTTTTATTTCAATGTAATTTATTGTTTCCATATGAACTATTCACATCCACGCTAAGCCTATTACTTTAACGTTTTAGCTTTTTTTCTTTTTTTCTTTTTTTATAAATGTTGCTATCGGTAGAATATTTATACCGTATTATATCAATTTCAACATTTCTACCTCGCTAATACTATTATGGTTATCAATTCAAAAGTTAGTTGGTTTTTAGTGACAACAAGTAACAACTATGTTTTATAACGGACCGTTCATAACGAGTGGATTTTAAGCCAATCAAAACTCTTTGCAGATGTCGTAAGCGGTCTCTACAGTAAGCTCTGACGGCCTTTACTTTATATCAAAATGTGTATTACTTGATTCAAGGTCACCCTTGTGTTATGACCTATTGACGTTTTAAATTGATGATTTTTTAAACTCTACATCCTTTCTCTGAAATGTTCCATAGGCGTGTTGCAGACATGCAGTGGTACACTGTATTGGTTTATTTGATGATGGTTTAAAAAATATTATTACTACCTGTTGATATATATGTAAAAAAAGAAATATGGAATGTGTGACGACGTGTTGAACTTGATTCACTGCTAACTTACTGATGGACAACAAAGGGTATTAATAGATGGTTATAGGTCATACCCCAAGGCTCGGTTTTCGGGCCTTAATTATTTTAAATATGTATTAATGACCTAGAAGATAAACTCCACTCCCATGTCAAACTCTTTGCTGATGACACTTCTCTTTACGTTTTGATAGATGGTGATAACCCTAAGTGTGACTGTGGTTATATTATTAAAGATGCAAATCACTTCTTCCTCAATTGCCCGAAATATATAGATGAAAGACAAGTTTTATTCTATGTGTTATCTAACTATAACGAAATTGATAATACTACTACTTTTACAAGGCTGATATGAACCTTAGCAGTGAATCCAATAAATGTACTCACTCATGTGTTCTGGAGTAAATAGACTATAGTAATTGAAATGTTAAAATCTATGACATTCTAGTTATTGTTTTCTGTAAACATGTATTAAATGGTTCTAGTATTCTCCTATTAATTTGAACATACACTACATCTTCTCTATAATACTCTCTCTTTATATATATGAATGTATATATGAATGTATGAAATGCATGTATTTTCTTCTGGAAAGGGCTTTTATAGGCAATGCCTGTGGCTTATCCAATTGTGTTTTAAATACAATAAAACTGATTTGAAATTAAATTTTTATTTAAATAGTTTTGCCGCTGTTTCTATTCACAAGAGCGTTCATATGTAGATCGTAACGTAATGTATACGAGTTTAAACATTTGCATGACATCGTGCTTGTCCATATTTTGAAACTATTTTTACAAAGGAAACCGATGAATTATCAAAACTGCTTAATTGTCATATTATCAAATAATTTCAATCATATTATATGACAGTTCTTGTTACAATACGTCACACTAAGCGTTTCTCTCTATCTTGTGCTATACAAATTGTTCGATTTGCTTCATTATTCCAAATGTTACACGTTCTTATCAATGTCTGTGTATGACGTATCAAACTGCTAAATAGCAGATGTGTTGGTGTTAATAATAATAAAGTTATAGTCCCATAAACATGTACGTATACATGCCTTATTATGTTAACAAACTGACGGGCGTTAACTATGCTCGAAAATCTAAAAAACATGAATACTTGATAAATAGGTTCGAAAAAGTGCCGTTCTCACTCTACCGCGGTATAAAGGTGAATTTAAAAGTTTAAAAAAAAACCTTGTTTCTCATTTGAACTAGGGTATGAGATGTAGTATAAAGTTTAAGTTTAGCAGCATTAATTTGGCTTTATTGATGAAAATCGGGGAAAACCAAAACAACACACATGCACATCAACAGGTGCATCATCGACTTTGTATATATTGATGAACAAATAATTCTCATTCAAAGCTTTTCAAACTGTTATATATTGTGTATATTAAATAAAATACATGAAGTGATAATATTTCAGATGCTACCTAGCTCATGACAAATACATGATGTATACTATAATACCACCCTCTTATATAATTTAGTGGTTGCAAGTGAGTTAGAACAGGGATTGGCCAAACGCTTATCAATATACGTCTGTATTTTCCGTATCTATGTAATGTGAAGTAACAAAACACCATAGCATCGTTACTCAATGTCAACAGACAACAGTAGGAACTAAGAAGACACTGATACATGACAGTAGGAACTAAGGAGTCACTGATACAGACAACAGTAGGAACTAAGGGGTCACTGTAACAGACAACAGTAGGAACTAAGGAGACACTGATACAGACAGCAGTAGGAACTAAGGAGACACTGATAAAGGCAACAGTAGGAACTAAGAGACACTGATACATACAACAGTAGGAATTATTACCCAATAGTCTATATAAATTATAATTAGTCATTTTTGACTGTTTCTGGGTTTTTGTCCAATTTCTGCTGTAGGGGTGAAACAGTCAAAACTGTTTTCCCAGTCAGAGCGAAATGTTACCCGGCGCGAATTCGATGCGCAGAAATCCCCCCTCGAGAGCCCCCTTCAAGCGTTTCGGTGACCGCGACACAGTGTTGAAGCAATGGCAACATTGCATGCAGCATTGATACTAATATTTATTTGGTAATAAAACAATTGTTTCATGTTTATTTGGGGAACAGTTAAAACTATCATCCCTCGGTAGGGGGAAGCCCTGTGGAACTGTTTGCCCTTGGCCTAGCGGCCTCGGGCAAACAGTTCCCCATGGCTTCCCCCTACCTCGGGATGATAGTTTTGACTGTTCCCCAAATAGCCATGAAACAATTGTATACTAAGGAGACACTAATACAAACAACAGTAGGAACTAAGGAGACACTGATACCGGACAGTAGGAACTAAGGAGACACTGATACAGACAACAGTAGGAACTAAGGAGACACTGATACAGACAACAGTAGGAACTAAGGAGACACTGATACAGACAACAGTAGGAACTAAGGAGACACTGATACAGACAACAGTAGGAACTAAGGAGACACTGATACAGACAACAGTAGGAACTAAGGAGACACTGATACAGACAACAGTAGGAACTAAGGAGACACTGATACAGAGGACAGTAGGAACTAAGGAGACACTGATACAGACAACAGTAGGAACTAAGGAGACACTGATACAGACAACAGTAGGAACTAAGGAGACACTGATACAGACAACAGTAGGAACTAAGGAGACACTGATACAGACAACAGTAGGAACTAAGGAGACACTGATACAGACAACAGTAGGAACTAAGGAGACACTGATACAGACAACAGTAGGAACTAAGGAGACACTGATACAGACAACAGTAGGAACTAAGGAGACACTGATACAGACAACAGTAGGAACTAAGGAGACACTGATACAGACAACAGTAGGAACTAAGGAGACACTGATACAGACAACAGTAGGAACTAAGGAGACACTGATACAGACAACAGTAGGAACTAAGGAGACACTGATACAGACAACAGTAGGAACTAAGGAGACACTGATACAGACAACAGTAGGAACTAAGGAGACACTGATACCGGACAGTACGAACTAAGGATACACTGATACAGACAACAGTAGGAACTAAGGAGACACTGATAAAGGCAGCAGTAGGAACTAAGACGACACGAATACAGTCAACAGTAGGAACTAAGGAGACACTGATAAAGGCAACAGTAGGAACTAAGGAGACACTGATACAGACAGCAGTAGGAACTAAGGAGACACTACAGTAGGAACTAAGGAGTCACTGATACAGACAACAGTAGGAACTAAGGAGACCGTGATACCGGACAGTAGGAACTAAGGATACACTGATACAGACAACAGTAGGGACTAAGGAGACACTGATAAAGGCAGCAGTAGGAACTAAGACGACACGAATATAGTCAACAGTAGGAACTAAGGAGACACTGATAAAGGCAACAGTATGAACTAAGAAGACACTGATACAGACAACAGTAGGAACTAAGGACACACTGATACAGACAGCAGTAGGAACTAAGGAGACACTACAGTAGGAACTAAGGAGACACTGATACAGACAGCAGTAGCAACTAAGGAGACACTGATACCGGACAGTAGGAACTAAGGATACACTGATACAGACAACAGTAGGGACTAAGGAGACACTGATAAAGGCAGCAGTAGGAACTAAGACGACACGAATACAGTCAACAGTAGGAACTAAGGAGACACTGATACAGACAGCAGTAGCAACTAAGGAGACACTGATACCGGACAGTAGGAACTAAGGATACACTAATACAGACAACAGTAGGAACTAAGGAGACACTGATACCGGACAATAGGAACTAAGGTGACACTGATACAGACAACAGTAGGAACTAAGAAGACACTGATACAGACAACAGTAGGAACTAAGGATAAACTTATACAGACTACTGCAGGAACTAAGGAGACACTGATACAGACAACAGTATGAACTAAGGAGACACTGATAAAGGCAGCAGTAGGAACTAAGACGACACGAATACAGTCAACAGTAGGAACTAAGGAGACACTGATACCGGACAGAAGGAACTAAGGAGACACTGATACAGTCAACAGAAGGAACAAAGGAGACACTGATACAGACAACAGTAGGAACTAAGAAGACACTGATACAGACAACAGTAGGAACTAAGAAGACACTGATACAGACAACAGTAGGAACTAAGAAGACACTGATACAGACGATACAGACAACAGTAGCAACTAAGGAGACACTGATACCGGACAGTAGGAACTAAGGATACACTGATACAGACAACAGTAGGGACTAAGGAGACACTGATAAAGGCAGCAGTAGGAACTAAGACGACACGAATATAGTCAACAGTAGGAACTAAGGAGACACTGATAAAGGCAGCAGTAGGCACTAAGACGACACGAATACAGTCAACAGTAGGAACTAAAGAGACACTGATAAAGGCAACAGTAGGAACTAAGAAGACACTGATACAGACGATACAGACAACAGTAGCAACTAAGGAGACACTGATACCGGACAGTAGGAACTAAGGAGACACTAATACAGTCAACAGTAGGAACTAAGGAGACACTGATACAGACAACAGAAGGAACTAAGAAGACACTGATACAGACAACAGTAGGAACTAAGAAGACACTGATACAGACGATACAGACAACAGTAGCAACTAAGGAGACACTGATACCGGACAGTAGGAACTAAGGATACACTAATACAGACAACAGTAGGAACTAAGGAGACACTGATAGCGGACAGTAGGAACTAAGGATACACTGATAAAGGCAACAGTAGGAGCTAAGGATACACTGATACCGGACAGTAGGAACTAAGGATACACTAATACAGACAACAGTAGGAACTAAGGAGACACTGATACCGGACAGTAGGAACTAAGGATACACTGATAAAGGCAACAGTAGGAACTAAGGATACACTGATACCGGACAGTAGGAACTAAGGTGACACTGATACAGACAACAGTAGGAACTAATGAGACACTGATACCGGACAGTAGGAACTAAGGATACACTGATAAAGGCAACAGTAGGAACTAAGAAGACACTGATACAGACAACAGTAGGAACTAAGGAGTCACTGATACAGACAACAGTAGGAACTAAGGATACACTGATACTGGACAGTAGGAACTAAGGAGACACTGATAAAGGCAACAGTAGGAACTAAGGAGACACTGATACAGACAACAGTAGGAACTAAGGATACACTGATGAAGGCAACAGTAGGAACTAAGGACACACTCATACAGTCAACAGTAGGAACTAAGGAGACACTGATACAGACAACAGTAGGAACTAAGGAGTCACTGATACATACAGCAGTAGGAACTAAGGATACACTGATACTGGACAGTAGGAACTAAGGAGACACTAAGACAGACGACAGTAGGAACTAAGGATACACTGATGAAGGCAACAGTTGGAACTAAGGAGACACTGATACAGACACCGTAGGAAATAAGGAGCCACTGATACAGTCAACAGTAGGAACTAAGACGTCACTGATACAGACAACAGTAGGAACTCAGGAGACACTGATACAGGATAGCAGGAACTAAGGAGACGCTGATAAAGGCAACAGTAGGAACTAAGAGGACACTGATACAGACAACAGTAGGACCTAAGGAGACACTGATACAGGATAGCAGGAACTAAGGAGACGCTGATAAAGGCAACAGTAGGAACTAGTAGGAACTAAGGAGTCACTGATACAGACAACAGTAGGAACTAAGGGGACACTGATACAGACAACAGAAGGAACTAAGGAGACACTGATACAGTCAACAGTAGGAACTAAGGAGTCACTGATACAGACAACAGTAGGAACTAAGAAGACAGTGTTACAGACAACAGTAGGAACTAAGGAGCCCCTGATAAAGGCAACAGTAGGAACTAGTAGGAACTAAGGAGTCACTGATACAGACAACAGTAGGAACTAAGGGGACACTGATACAGACAACAGAAGGAACTAAGGAGACACTGATACAGGATGGCAGGAACTAAGGAGACACTGATAAAGGCAACAATAGGAACTAAGGAGACACTGATACATACAGCAGTAGGAACTAAGGATACAGAAGACACTGATACAGACAACAGTAGGCACTAAGGATACACTGATGAAGGCAACAGTAGGAACTAAGGAGACACTCATACATTCAACAGTAGGAACTAAGGAGACACTGATACAGACAACAGTAGGAACTAAGGAGACACTGATACAGGATAGCAGGAACTAAGGAGACACTGATAAAGGCAACAGTAGGAACTAAGAAGACACTGATACAGACAACAGTAGGAACTAAGGAGACACTGATACTTGACAGTAGGAACTAAGGAGACACTGATACAGGACAGTAGTAGGAACTAAGGAGACACTGATACAGACAACAGTAGGAACTAAGGACACACTGATATAGTCAACAGTAGGAACTAAGAGACACTGATACAGACAACAGTAGGAACTAAGGAGACACTGATACAGACAACAGTAGGAACTAAGGAGACACTAATACAGGACAGCAGGAACTAAGGAGACACTGATAAAGGCAACAGTAGGAACTAAGGAGACACTGAGACAGACAACAGTAGGAACTAAGGAGACACTGAGACAGACAACAGTAGGAACTAAGGAGACACTGATATAGGACAGTAGTAGGAACTAAGGATACACTGATACAGACAACAGTAGGAACTAAGGAGACACTGTTACAGACAACAGTTGGAACTAAGGAGACACTGATACAGACAACAGTAGGAACTAAGGAGACACAGATAAAGGCAACAATAGGAACTAAGGAGACACTGATACAGACACCAGAAGGGACACTGATAAAGGCAACAGTAGGAACTAAAGGAACTAAGGAACCACTGATAAAGGCAACAATAGGAACTAAGGAGACACTGATACAGACACCAGAAGGAACTAAGGAGACACTGATACAGACAGCAGTAGGAACTAAGGAGACACTGATAAAGGCAACAGTAGGAACTAAGGAGACACTGATACAGACAACAGTAGGAACTAAGGAGACACTGATACAGTCAACAGTAGGAACTAAGAGACACTGATACAGACAGCATTAGGAACTAAGGAGACACTGATACCGGACAGTAGGAACAAAGGAGACACTGATAAAGTCAACAGTAGGAACTAAGGAGACACTGATACAGACAACAGTAGGAACTAAGGAGACACTGATACAGGACAGCAGGAACTAAGGAGACACTGATACCGGACAGTAGGAACAAAGGAGACACTGATACAGACAACAGTAGGAACTAAGGATACACTGATACCGGACAGTAGGAACTAAGGAGACACTGACACAGTCAACAGTAGGAACTAAGGAGACACTGATACAGGACAGCAGGAACTAAGGGGACACTGATACCGGACAGTAGGAACAAAGGAGACACTAATAAAGTCAAAAGTAGGAACTAAGGAGACACTGATACAGACAACAGGAGGAACTAAGGAGACACTGATACAGACAACAGGAGGAACTAAGGAGACACTGATACAGACAACAGTAGGAACTAAGGGGACACTGTTACAGACAACAGTAGGAACTAAGGGGACACTGTTACACACAACAGTAGGAACTAAGGGGACACTGTTACAGACAACAGTAGGAACTAAGGGGACACTGTTACAGACAACAGTAGGAACTAAGAAGACATTGTTACAGACAACAGTAGGAACTAAGGAGACACTGATACCGGACAGTAGGAACTAAGGAGACACTGATAGAGTCAACAGTAGGAACTAAGGGGGCACTGATACAGACAACAGTAGGAACTAAGAAGACACTGTTACAGACAACAGTAGGGACTAAGGAGACACTGATAAAGGCAACAGTAGGAACTAAGGAGACACTGATAGAGTCAACAGTAGGAACTAAGGAGACACTGATACAGACACCGTAGGAACTAAGGAGACACTGATACAGTCAACAGTAGGAACTAAGGAGACACTGATACATACAGCAGTAGGAACTAAGGATACACTGATACAGACAACAGTATGAACTAAGGAGACACTGATACAGACAACAGGAGGAACTAAGGATACACTGATACCGGACAGTAGGAACTAAGGGGATCCTGATACAAACAACAGTAGGAACTAAGAGACACTGATACAGACAACAGTAGGAACTAAGAGACACTGATACAGACAACAGTAGTAGGAACTTAGGAGACACTGATACAGACAACAGTAGGAACTAAGAAGACACTGATACAGACAACAGTAGGAACTAAGGAGACACTGATACAGACAACAGTAGGAACTAAGAGACACTGATACAGACAACAGTATGAACTAAGGAGACACTGATACATACAAACAACAGTAGGAACTAAGGAGACACTGATACAGACAACAGTAGGAACTAAGAGACACTGATACAGACAACAGTATGAACTAAGGAGACACTGATACATACAAACAACAGTAGGAACTAAGGAGACACTGATACAGACAACAGTAGGAACTAAGGAGACACTGATATCGGACAGTAGGAACTAAGGAGACACTGGTACAGGAATAATTCGTGAGCCGAATTACACTGCAGTAAATCACTACTTGCCACGACTTTAACATACAATATGCTAGTGTATCTAAGGTAATGCTGGTCTACACCAACTAAAACAAATGGAAGAAAAGTAAATAGCTCATTGAAAAATAATAAAGCTTTATTTAAATATAGTTATATAGTTATATAAATATAGTAATATGTGTCTCTCGCCGTCTCATAATATCACAAATAATTGTGTAATCTGGGGCATATATTTATTTCTAATGAACTACAGACGAAACAAGTGAACAAAACGGAAAACAGAGGGTTATAATTTCTCACTAAATAGTAAACTAATAACCAGTATATGTCACATATCTACTTTCAAGCTGTACGTACTTAACAGCCCCGGACATCATGTTTTATATGAAAAAGTGAATGCAGGTTTGATGTCTCAGTAAAATGTGCGTACAACAACAGGACTTATCCCTTTCCACTAGTATGACAATACACATTACGTCTGCTCCCCATGAAATCCTATGTAAGTATGATTAATACGACATTTCAAATGCGATTATAAGGCATTATAGAGTGAAAACAGACTAACACAATGCAACGTTATTGATCTGCATAGAACGCTGCAAGAATGCTTAGATAGTAATACACCATTGAACCTTACATACATGCGTAAGTGTAACGAGGAAGGGCCACAGCATGACATTCAAAAACATATTGTATGTTTTCTGTATATTATCACTAACATTTGGAATACCGTCGGGAGGTGAGTATTGTTTTCATTTTAAGTTAATACGGTACTGACTGTGATTGAATGCGAAAACGAATCATTAGATAAATTTACCATCAGGTCATTCCATCTGCACGTACTTACTGCAGCGGAAATTATATCATTTGTGTGGGACTGACTCTGATCCTAAAGTACTCATTTAAGAACAGCAATACGGTTTTATTTGTTTTGTTTGTATTTATATTGAACAGATCGTCGTACGCATTGATATGCAGAGAAAGTGTTTTACTCTTGCCCACACAACTCCAACAACCAATGTGGGGTATAAACTGGTCTGGGATGGATGTTGTGGTATCTGTGCTGTAGCATATGTAACATATTGAATGAAGTTGCTAAGTGTTTAAATTAAATCAGTTGTTGATTTTCTAGATATAGCAACAGTGACCTTGGCCTGACCTTGGAACCCTGAAACACAAGGGTATACCCATATTTGACTATTTATAAAGTTTGACCAAAATCTGTGAAAAAATTAAGTTGCTAAGTGTTTAAATTGAATCAGTTGATGATTTTCTATATGTACATTTAGCAAGTATGACCTTTGATCCCTGAAATACAACGATTTATGAAGTATACTCATACTTAAAACTGTCAAAGAATGAAGTTGCTAAGTGTATAAATTGAATCCAGACAGGACATGACTTGACGGGATGATTTAGCAAAGTAACCTTGGCCTTGGATCCCTGAAACACAAAGATACCCGAAGTATACCCATACTTGACCTTTGTACAAAGTTTGACCAAAATCTGTCAATGAATGAAGTTGCTAAGTGTTTACATTGAATCGGGATGCGATGCAACCGGACGGACCAGGACACCAGACGCCGCACCAGGGCAAAAGTTCACTTCTCCTTGGCAGGTGAGCTAAAAACAGATAGAAGGACAGACAGACGTAAAATCTGATTGGAGAATCCCCCTTTGGGACCCCACTCCTCCCCCTAGGGAGCCAGAGTATTATGAGAGAGACCCTCTGTTAAACAGCATTCTGTCTTCTTAACCAAGTAATGCTCCAGACCATTGGTTTGAAAACATCATCAAGCCATACAGAAGGACTTCAAAGGATGTACTGAATCAGGTGACTTATGTCCTCGCAACAGCCAGGATCATACGAGGACGGGTGTCACCTATAGAAGAAAACTGCAATTTGAAGGAAGTGCATGTGTTGACGGAAAAAATACAGTTACTTATAAGAATTTCCTATGTGCAAAGGGCTATAACTCCAGAAAAAATAGAACATGGACACTGGATTCTAACTCAAACT